CTCCTCTTCCTGCCAAGAACGTGATCGCTTGCTGGGCAGAACTGGCTGACTGGATGTGATCTTGGTTTACCGGCTTTCCAGGTTCGATCGCGCTGCAATCGGACGAGTGTTGGAGCTGAAGGCGTACTTCTAAACTGATCTTCCGAGCTGACGTGCCCTATCCTGGTACACACTGCATGGATCATGCGGCACACGTTTGAGGGTACCGGCAGCTACGGTTTACTCTCTTAGGACCCGCTTTAGAGGAGCCGTGCTGTCCTAGGTATGCTGCCATGTCTGTTTTGTCCGCCCCCCGAGTGCACACTATTTGCTTGTAGATTTCTGCTCCGGGGACAGGGCTTTCATCTTTGGCTGGATAGCCTCATAGGAACACCGGCCTTGTGATGTTGAGCTTCTCCGTGCACCGTACAGGGCATCTTTGGTCAAGTTTTTGCTTACCCCGCGGTGGTAGTTCATGTGGGGTTTGCTCGGTGTGAGGACGGCTTTTGAGCCGTAGGTGCAAAGCACCTCGCTAGCTGCCGGTTCAATCCTTCACACCCATCGGGTGAGTGCATACAATGGATGCTTTTCCCCATAGATCTCTGCGCCACCCTGTCAGGTTAAATAGGTGCTTGTTGAGTTCATCATGCTAGAGGCGTGTCCTCCGGACCCAAAGCTTTCCGAAAGAAGACGGCCCCTATACTATAGAACCCTACTATAGATCCCTTGTAGTAACCCCTTTAAAGGAACCCCTTTCTAACTGTCAAAGCCCCAAACTCTAAAACTCTCCCTAAATCCTATAGATCCCGTTTAAAGGAACCCCTATAGATCCCTTAAAGGAAGCCCTCTAAGGACCCCCTTCAAGAAGCCTTAAACTTTAAAACCGTCGGGAGCCCGGTCCTACGCCGAAGGTCGACGCCACCCGACATCTTAGCGAGGCACTGGGTGTTGGGGTCCCTAAAAGGGTTCCTTTAAAGGGATCTATAAGGGTTCCTGTAGAGGGATCCATAAGGGATCTATAGGTTTTTACGGGTTTAGGGTTTAGAGGTTGTTGGGGGACCACCTGGGGTTTTGGGTTTAGGGGTATAGGGTTGGCGGTGTATTCAGGGTCACTACCTGTCTCCATCCCAGTCCCTTTACTCTTGGGGTTACCCCGCTGTATCTTTAGGGCCCCGACAATTCACAAGGTTGCGGGGTTTAGGGTTTTGGATTCAGGGTTTAGGGCTTCGGGAGTCCTGATTGTGTTACCTGGCGTCCCTTCGATCTTTGACGAAAGTGAAGCTCTCACGTCTAGACTTCACGGTTTAGGAGTTTAGGGTTTAGGGGGTTGGGGCCTAGGTTCGGGTTATGTTTTTCGGATTTTGAGGGTCTAAGGATTTAGGATTTAGGGTTTAGGGCCTCAAGGCCACCGGACACGCTGCTTGAGCGATGCAGGCTTGAGAGAGTTCACGCAAGATGACTGGTGTTGGGTTTCTCTAGTCCAGACAGCCCAACTTGATATTGATTGTGCTCGTGAAGATGTAAGGTGCGAGGACGGCCGAGCCTTCTAACGTTTGCAAGTCTCTTGCTCGTGTTTGTGACGTGCGCAACCCCGGTGAGACTAGGAAAGGTTTACCCACCTCGTCAAAGCGGAGCGATCATGCTAAATTGTTCGTAAGCCCGACTTTGAGGGGCGGACTACCCACCGAATTCATATTTTCAGTTCCCTCTTTTAAACTAAACCGCAAGACCCATCTTAATTGTCATGCCCCCTACTGAACTGTGAGCACTAGCCTCTGGCCCTAGTTGCTGCACCCAAAACGCATCCAAAGACCCAAAAGTGATCGGAGAAGGAAGAGACGGAGGAATGGTCCGAGGGTGGGTCAGGTCCTCGGCACTTCTTAAAGCAAAGTTTCGGATGTAGTATAGGAGCCTTAATAATTGCCTATACTATTTTGGGGGTTCCATATTATAGTTATAGTATAATGGGCCCCAAAACAATGATTGAGGCCCCGAAAATAGAGCTCCTACTATAGATCCCCGGAAGACCCCTTTAAAGGACCCCCGAAAGGAACCCTATTCTCATTATTAAGGCCCTGCATTAGGGGTTTGGGTTGTAGGGTTAGGGTTAAGGGCAGAAGCAGGAGTCGTACACTTCTCCCTGGTACTTTGCAGGGTGTCGGAGTTTAGAGATTCAAGCTTTGGGTGTACGGCTTAGGGTTTAGGGTTTAGGATTTCGGGCTTTGGGTATAGAGTCCAGGGCTCGGAGTTTAGGGAACAGGATTGAGGTTTCAAGATAAGTATACTGGGTTCGCAAGAGCGAGGACCTCGCACGGCGCAGATAATGCAGGTCCTATGCAGCAGGGGGGGGGGGGGCCAGGAAAGAGTTTGGGGTAAAAGCTTTAGGGGCTGAGGTTCCCTAAATGCCTAAACCTAAACCCCTAAACCCTAAACCCTGTAGGACTCGGGATGTCTTGGGGATTCGGCGTGAGGGAAGTAATCCACCCCGAAGTTCACGCCTCGTATGGCGTCATGGCCTCTGGCTGCATACTGCACCAAGCGTTCTGTGCTCGGGCTCCAGGGGCTTAAAGTTTAGGGTTTAGGGTTTAAGGTTTACAGTAGGGTTTAGGGTTTAAGGTTTAGGGTTTAGGGTAACTGAAAGATTCGTGGTACACCCTAACCCCCTAAACCCTAAACCCCTAACACCCTAAACCCCTAAAACCAAGACCTGTAACCGCTTCAATATGGGAGTTTCCGAAAATAGGGGACCCTAATATAGTACCATAAATAGTAGGATCCTCATTATAAGGACCCCCAACTAAGGTACCCCTAATTTTCGGAAACTCCCATATCTGTGGCTGAGGTTTCAGGCTCTTGGCAACCAAAGAGTTTCTTGATTCTTTGGTCTGTGCTGTACTTGACTAGGTATCGATTTGGGATAATTTCTAAGTAATTTTCCTTTTTGCGCAATATAGAGCCCTAACTATAGAACAAGTTCGGGGACTGTTGAAATCGAAACCGGTTGAGGGTTTGGGACGGGGTAGCCTTTGGCATCGTGTTTTTCCCTGCCAGATCCCCGGGGGTCTTCTGAGCCTTAGATTCTCAGATGTATGCCTTCGGACTTAGGATTCATGGTTTGGGGTTCAGGGTAAGGGTCAAGAATTTAGGCTTTAAGGTTTGGGGTTCATGACCTGACGGCCGCAAAGTAGCAAAGCTCACCGACTCATGTACTCTCTTCGTTTCACGCTGCCCGCTTGACGCTCCGTACTTGTGAATGTTGCTGAGCCCAGCAAGCCTTTCTTTCTAAAAATTCTTCACGAACATGCTCGAACGCCCTTTAAAGGGAACTCCAGAAAGTTGGAATATGGATTAATGGTAGGATCCCCTATAATTTACCTTAAAGGGGTTACGATAATGATATTCCAACTTTCTGGCTTCTACTGGACATCCCGAAGAGAGCACCTAGCAGACCTGACTCGTCAGACCTTGGTCGTAACGCCAAACTAGGAAGATCCTTCAGTGCCCAGGCCTGTGAAATGCCTTTGCAAAGATTCGGCGGAGATGCCACTCGGTATTTTAAGCTACGGTTTCGGGTTTAGGGCTTCCGGTGTAGGCTCAGCATTAGGGATGCTGGGGCTTTGCGTGATTTCAGAATCATCTTGTGGCTCCTGCGAGGATCCAAGGTATGTGAGCGGATTTTGTTAATTAGGCTTCGTCGCCAGCGGCCCCAGCGTGAGGCCCGATCTCCACTAAGACCCTACTAAACTTGTGTTTCTCTGGAGTATCCGACCACCACAAAAGAGGCTGCAGGCAAACATGGCAATACGCACGCAGGCTCTGCCAGGGGCCAGGTAAACATCGTAGAATATGCGCCGACAGCATACTCAGAATGATTGAGGCCCCTAAGATTGGTTAAGAGTTACACTCGGCAGTTGTTTTACACGTAAGGCCGAATTTCAGTTTCAATTGGGTTTTAAATTCGAGTTTCAGCCTCTCTCCTCTGGGAATCCGGTTCCTCTCCCTCTCCGGCCTCATCCCTTCTTTTGCTGTAGGTGAGGAGTTTTTAGAGTTTCCTTTCGATCCCATCACCATAAACCCTGAACACCAACATGTCAAAGCACCCCTGTTCGGGGAGAACTTCCCGTTCAAACTTCGGATTCTAGAAGTCTGGCTGCTGTTTATGGGGGGGGCTGAGTAGGCACAGGCATCATACCCGATACCCCAGCTTAGGTTGCTTCTCTATACTACTTTGATACTCAAACAAAGCCGAAAAAGCAGGTCCCAGCCTGGATTTGGCTTACCTTTGGTCTCGTCCGTACTGTTGATGATATAAATCCTGCATTACCCATAGTAAGGAATATACCATAATTCCCATAGTTTAGGGTCCTTAAGGTAATGCAGGATTTATATTATCAACCGTATCGTGTCTATTTCGAGCCCCCTCGCCAACGGTACCTTGGACCTCTTGTGCCGGTCGCGGGGTTCGGGTCGCATGTAGGAACCTGATTAAGAAACTTTGGGTCAAAGGGGTCCATAAGGGTTACTATAAGGGATCTATAAGGGTACTATAATAATGTAGGAACCTGATTAAGAAGCTTTGGGTCAAAGGGGTCCATAAGGGTTACTAGAAGGGATCTAGAAGGGTATGTAGAATTCTGCCCCTAGGACCCCTCTTGAGTTTTCAGACTTGTGTCTTTCGCTGCGTTTGGCCCGTAGGCTTGGCTTCGGAATGTATGCCTTGGGTCACGACTTTTACACAGCGTAAGTCTTTCAAGGTAGCGTCAACTAGACAAGTGCGTAATCGCACGTTTGCTAGGACCTACGTACTTTCGTTGCTGTGTTGCGAAAAGGTTAGGAGCGTGCGAGGGTTCATGGGCCACCGGTGAGCGGCGAAGGCCTGGAGATCTCCAATCTTTATCGAGCACAAATCGAGAAGTATACCATCTTTATCCTGGAACTGGGACTCTTGAGGACTCCTATCTGTTCTTTGGATTCTATAGGTTATGAGTTCCCAAGACGCTCCCTCGCGGAACTCTGGGAGCATGGAAGGGGCTCAGGCAAGTGAGAGACTTGCAGAGAGCTCTGGGAATGCAGGGCTGCTGAGTGGCTATGGGGCTGTTCAGGCAGCAGTGACGTCTACTTCGGGGAGCTTCTCTGGAAGGGCTGTTGAAGGTTCAGTTCAGGAGGGTCAGACCGAAGTTCCGGATGTCGTTGTGGAAGGGCCTGTAGTGGGCCAGACGGACATGCCTCAGGCCACCAGTGGCATGAGTACAGAGGCCCCTCCGAGCGGTGCTGCTGCGGATTCGGGAAGTTCTTCTGGCAGGGATGTTTTTTATTCAGCTGGAAGGACGACGCCGCAAGACACTGCTCAGGTTGCTCAGATGATTCAGGTCCAAGGACAACCACAGCTGTTTGGACCGGAAGCCAACTTCCGGCTGGCGCAACTGGAAAGGGAAGCCCCTCACTTGTATGGAGGCGGGATCGCTATGACTTCAGGAGCAGCCAGATCGGACTCTTCTGGGTTCAGCGCTGGGGAGATTCAGGCAGAGGTTCATCGGCAGCTTGAGCTTGTTCGGAGGGAGCATGCACTTCAGATGAGAGCATTGGCAGCTGAGAATGAAGCCTTGAGGAATAGATCTCTGCTGTTTGAGGGCCGAAGGCCTGTACAGGTAGAATCCTCTGGTGCGGGTTGGGGAAATCAGGCCGCGAAGGTGATGGAGTGGTTTGGTTTAGGGCAGGGTGCGTTCCCGTCGTTCGTGCCGAGAAACCCTAACCCCGTAAGTCCTGGCACGAATCCCCTTGGACCGCAGGCCTCAGGAGATGCCCAGGTCCTTCTTCAGGGCACGGGTCACTCTGTGACCTCGGAAGGCATGCAAGCGGCAGGTGTGCATTCAGGTCAGGTGCCAATGCAAGGTGCACTACCACAGGCTTCAGGTGTGCAGTCAGGCTTGCCAATGCAAGGTGCACTACCACAGGCTTCAGGTGTGCAGTCAGGCGTGCTGATGCAAGGTGCACTACCACAGGCTTCAGGTGTGCAGTCAGGCGTGCCGATGCAAGGTGCACTACCGCAGGCTTCAGGTGTGCAGTCAGGCGTGCCGATGCAAGGTGCACTTCCGCAGGCTTCAGGTGTGCAGTCAGGCTTCCTGATGCAAGGTGCACTACCGCAGGCTTCAGGTGTGCAGTCAGGTCCACTGATGCGCAGGCTTCAGGTGTGCAGTCAGGTCCACCGATGCAAGGAGCACTTCCGCAGGCTTCAGGTGTGCAGTCAGGTCAGATGTTGCACACAGGTGCACTTCCGCAGGCTTCAGGTGTGCCACCAGGTTCCTCCGCTGAGGCCTCGAGTGCCCAGCAACAGTGGCCTTGGCATGGCTTGTTCCAGAGAGCGTGGGATGCCAGTGGAGTCAATCAAGGACTTGGATCGTCAGGTCTCTCTCCAGATGCAGCTGGCATTCTGGCAGGTCTCCAGGCTTTGGTGTCTCAGCAGAACGGAAGTTCGTCTCCGACTGAAGGGAAGGCGGAACAGGTGAAACACTCTTGGTCGGAGCTTCCGAAGCTTCCAGAGCTAGGACCTGAGTCCTCCCTTGCGTTTTCGGACTGGCTTCACCTAGTCGCCCCACTGGTCGAGGACATGTCAGCCACGAGTGCTCAGTACTGGGCCCTTCTCACGCGAGAGGCCGAAGAGGTTTACCGAAGGTACTTAGCTAGTGACCCCATGGGCAGGATTTCACTGAATCCAGTGGAAACTCCGGAGCTTAAGTCCCCGGTTTGGTCCAGACTCGCCAAGCGCTTGGAGGCTCTTTTGATCACGGCAGCTCCGAAGCAGGTGCGCGAAGAGTTGGTCCAGAGCCGACAAGTCTCCACTTCACCTTCTCTACCGCCTTCATGTGCTGTACGCCCCGGGAGGTGTACAAGAGAGGGAGCACGCCCTGCGCAGCCTCCAGCACACGAGCTCCGCTACCACTCCCCAGGCCGCTCTGGATGCGCTCCGCCAATGGAGACGGTGGCTCTCTAGGACCGAGGCCCTTGGAGGTTCGTTGCCCGACCCGGTGATAGACTGTGCTTGAGGGCAATGCTGAGGTGCAGTTTAGAGTGGGACTTGTGAAGGCAGCCCTGAGAGCTGAGACGGCCCCTACCGTCGCAGTGGTTCACCAGCTCCACGCGGCCTTGCTCTCTGAAGTAGAAGGCCTAGCTAGGACTCAGACCTTGAAGCCGAAGGCGACTCCCTCTGCAGCCGCAGTGAACGTCCCTGAGGTGCCAGCTGCAAACCCAAAGGCCTCATCGGCTTCCCAAGGAAAAGGCTCTGGGAAGTCAGAGTCCTCTGGAGGCCGGACAGCAGACACCACAATCACTGTCCCTCAAGGTGCCTGCAGGTTCTATGTCCAAGGCATTGGGTGTAACAGGGGTGATAAGTGCCGCAACGCCCACAATTGGCAAGACATCCCCAGTAAGGATAAGAAGTCCAGGTGTATGTCGTGTGGTGGCACCGGCCACCAAAAGGCGTCATGCCCGCATGCTTCAGGAGGTTCAGGCCCGCCGAAGGCCCCGAACCCAGCTCCCCCTCGAAGAGCTGACAAACCCGAGAGGCCTAAGGCAGCAGCAGTGGCGGCCCAGGTTGCAACCGCTCAAGACGCCAATTCGAGCCAGGTCCAGGCCCTCTTGGATGATGCGGCGAAGGTTTTGAAGGCCATACAGGCGCCAGGGAGCCAGGTGAGGGATCCCCCCGTTGCACCGAGGGCGGAGGCAGCAGCGCCAAAGGCGACTCCAGTGCTTCAAGGAACCCCTGTGACGGTGGCTACTCTTCAGAGCCACTTGGATGCCATTCGGCAGGCCATCCCAGAGGTCCAGCAGACTTCTGAGAAGCCTTCGATCAAGGCCATCGTAAGCTTGGCCATGCCCTTGGAGGAGGAAGGTCCGCTGGAGGAGGCAGACCTTGACGAGCAGGTGGGCTTGTTGGACAGCGGTGCGACGCATGCTGTTCGTGCGCGCGAGGAAAGAGACCAGGATCTCACTGCAACGGAGGTTGTTTTGGCGGGAGGAGCTACCCAATCCTTGCTCCAAAACCCGGGTGGGACGATCCTAACCAATGGTCCCTCGCAGCCCATAGTGCCCCTCGGGAGCTTAGTGCGACTGCTGGGTTGTAGTGTCACCTGGACCCCTACGCGGTTAGTGGTCAAGCATCCGGTGTTTGGGAAGCTAAGGGTGAAGATTAAGCAGGGGTGTCCAGTCCTTGCCGAGGCCCGTGCTCTAGAGTTGATCCAACAACTCGAGGAGCGACGCCTTGAGAAACTACGCGGGCAAGTGGATGAGACGGAGGCCGTGCTCCGAGCCCTCACTTCCAAGGTGCCGCTGGTTATAAGGCGGTAGATAGGGCTAAGGAGGAAGGTACGCGAGCAGATGTGATGCAGACAGCCCTTTCGTGCGGTGTTTTTGAGCACCACCACCTCCAGTCCATAGCTACCACAATCCCTAGGGAGGAACGCGAGCTCCGGCACACCCTGAAAGGCTTGTCACTTCCCCGGCGCCGCCGGCGAGCGTTGGAGCAGTCCAAGGATTGGTTTGTGAACCTTCAATTCGGGAAGGAGCCAGCGGCGGTCAGTGAGAATGTGCTCTCGGCGTGCTCCGATGCTCAAGTGCTTCACATCGACTTGTCCAAGCCCCATAACAACCTTGAGCCAGGATCTCCCCTGAGAGCCTCCCTTGCCTGGGCAGCCCTTCATGGAAGGATCATCGGCCTGTCAGCTGACCTCGCCTCTCGATCCGAGCTTCTGGTCCAGGTTTCATGGTTGTGGGCAGTGGCCTCCGCCGGTAGGGGTTATACGGTTCCCTTAATGACCCTCTCGGACTCCGCTAAGCTCTTCAAGGATGAGTGGTGGCCGAAGTTCCAGCGTTGGGCCCACTTAAAGCAAGCCTCTGCGATAGGAGGAGCCGTGACTGTGTTCACAAACTGCGGGACCGATTTGGTCGAGACATGTGAGAACCGTTCCGTTCTCCCGGAAAGGGTCGTGCAATCCTTCCAGCCACAACGGCCGCAACCGGTCTCCGAGGAGGAGTTGAGAAGGATCGATCAAGAGGTGCGTGAGTCACTGCGCCTAATCAGGCCCTCAATTGCTTCAGGTGGCCAGGTTCCAGAGGTCCAAGGTGTCAAGCAAGCGGTACCGACCGCGGCCGCGCTAGATGTTGAAGGGTGGAGACGCCACATCGAGAGCGGACACCTCCCGTTCAACAGGAAGTGCAAGGCCTGCGTTATGGGGTCAGGGGTAGGACTCCAGCACCGCAAGGTGGCCCATCCAACCTCGTTCTCCCTTTCACTAGATGTCCTGGGGCCCATCCAGAAGGGAATCTTTGAAGACTCAGTTGCAGCCCAGCCAAGGCACAAATATGCCCTTGTGGGGGCGTACAGAGTGCCTGAGGACGTCCTTCGGAGAAGATGGGATCCTAAGAAAGACCTGAAGGATTTGTTCAGGGACACCACGCTTGAGTTGGCTTCCGCAAATGAGTACCTTGGTGGTGAGTTGAAGGGGGCCGAGCCCGAGCCGGCGCCGTCGGACCCTTTGCTTCCGATCCAAGAAGGGCAGGAGGAGGAGATGCGCGAGGAAGAATGGGACCAGTCCGAAAGGGGGCCTGAGGAATCTCTCGTGAGCGTTGAGCTGGAGGCCGAGTCCCACTCTGGGGAGACCCTCCAACAGGCCATAGAAAACCTTAAGGACCCAGTTCCCCAGGTCGTGCTTCGGTTTGTTAGGCCAATGACCTCCCGCAAGGGCCCTTCCCTCATGCCGGCCATCCACTCCATGGTTCAGGAGATAAACAAATTAGGCTTCCCAGTGAAGAATGTTCACTCCGACCAGGGCCGGGAATTCTTGAGCGACAGCTTGAGGCTGTGGTTGTCCCAAATGGGAGTGCGCGTCACCATGAGCGAAGCTCATGATAAAAAGGCCAATGGCCTGGCAGAACGCATAGTAGGGTGGTGTAAGCAGAGAGCCCGTTGCCTGCTGAACAGTGCCGAGCTCGAGCCAAGCTTCTGGCCCTACGCTATGTCTCATGCCGCCGCCTCACACCAGGCCTCCCTTATAGGAGACACTCCGCTCCCCCACTTTGGGAAAAGGATAGTGTTCAAAAGGCCGATGTTGCCTGGCAACTTCAAGCCCTGGGACCATTGGTCCGAAGGTCGATACCTCTCCCCGTCCATCCTTGTGCCTGGAGGACACTCTATCCTCAGACCGGATGGCAATACCACGGTTGTGAAGAATTTCAGGGATGATTTAGTTGACCCTGAGGCCTTGGTAAGACAGCGGGATGAGGAGCTAAAGGAGGCAGCGGAGGTAGCTGCAGATGCGTCCCTTTCGGAAGGAGGCCAGGAGGAGTTGTTTCCGGAACTCTTCGGCCCCGATGGCCGGGAGCCCACGGGATCATCAAAGGAGGTGATAGGAGCAGGCGTAGGAGTGATAGACCCTGGACCCGCAGACTCCGAACTCCCTCCACCTAGCCGTCTAAAGGGAAAGGGTCCAAGGTTGAGGCCGAGGCCACGCCTTGCTGCTCTCCGGGAGCAGGAGCCAGAAGAAGAAGAGGATGAAGAAAGTGAGGAGGAGAGCGAAGAACCGGATGAGGTGACGGATGTAGAGGCCAACACCATATCTGAGGGTCAGATCTCATCCTTGGGATCCTCCTCCTCGTCAGGGCAACAGTTCCCTCGCAGCTTGGGATCCATCCAGGATCCGGTGATCATCCGAGCCCTTGTGAGGCTCAGTCTTGAGTCCAGAGCCCAGGGCCTCTATAATTTGGGAGTCCATGAGGTAGGCGATCTGAACTACGTCTTCAGAACAGACCTTGTTGAGGAAGGCTGGACTGATCACGAGGCTACTGTGTTCCTCCATGAATGCGGCCTGATTGCCCCAGCCCAGCGTTCCGAGAACCCAAGAAGCGCCGGGTATGTTGAGGGTCAAGTTGGGTTGATAGGGAGGGAAGATGAGTTTCCTCGTACTATCGGTGCTAAGGCCCGTGCTCGCAGGGAAGCAAGGGAAAGGGCGGAAGCCCTCCGCGTGCAACCACGTGCACCAGGCTCAGATGCAGGAGCCACTGCGGGCTCAACGGAGCCTCCCGAGCCCCGTCACAACCCCCGCATCACCCGTCCTATCCTGGACCAGCTTCCGGCGAGATTCTATGATGAAGTGATCGCCAATCAGCCCATCTCTAGAGACCTCCTCTCCCGTGTAGAGGAGGAGGCACATGACGCCGACCTAACGATGGAACCGAATGATGAGGAGTATGCCCAGAATGTCTTTCAGACCACCAGGTCGAGAATGAGTTGCAACCCTAACGGGGTCACTCCGGTTGTAGGCCGTCTGATGCTCCGGAAGTTTGCCAGGTTTAGGAAGGATAGCTTTGGGTTAGTGCCTCCTGAGCAAGAGCCTGCCCTGGAAGCTGCTTCTGAAGAGCTCGCGTCAGCACTGCTGGAGCTCGGACCAGGGATCTCAACACAGGGGGTCGAGCAGATGGTGCGACGGCTTCCTTATGAGAGCCCTCACCCTGCCCTAACCGGGGATCAGACGTCAGGGGAAGAGGGCCGCGCATTCTACTGTGGTGCTATGTGCAGAGGAGGGATCTCCTCCTTGAGAAGGTCTTGTGCGGAGAACCCGCTTGCCATCAAGTGCCTTACCAGGCTTCTCCGGAGCCTTTCCCCACATGTGCTTTTCCTCGGCGGCAGTTCTAGAGGAGGTGATGGCACCCCCACACCGGGACTCCAGAAATGAGGCAACTCCAAACTTGATCTTGCCTTTGACCAGGTTTGAAGGTGGCGCAGTGTGGGAGGAAAATGAGTTCGGAAATGTTTTGAGGGATGTCAAGGGCAAGCCCACTGCGGGCCGACTGCTTGATGTTGCAACGGGACCCCAGACCCTCCAGGCCCAATCGAAGTTCCACCTCACCGAGCCGTGGGCAGGCAGAAGGGTGATCCTGGTTGGGTATACGGTCTCTAGGATAGAGTTCCTTAGTGAGGACCAAAGGGGCAAGCTCCGGGAATTGGGTTTCGTGTTACCGGGGGACCTCACTGCCGGAGAGGAGGGCGAGCCAGCCCTTAGGGTTAATAGGCCCGAGATTAGGAAGGTTGAGGCCATTCCCCTTGCAAGAGAGCCCGACACGTGGAGGGGACACTATGAGTTTACCTTGGTGTCGGAGGAGACCTTCCGCGGGTACTTGCGAGGAAATAGGGGAAGGGAGGACTGGGAGCGCGCCACTCAAGGTGAGTTCTTTCGAGGAGGGTACGTCATTGATGAAGCCACCCAGACAATGTTCAGGGCCAATGAAACTCATGAGAGATTGGCTGTTGCAGCAGTGACCAGTGGTGTCATTCAGAGTGGGATTCACAATGGAGACATGATTCTCCGAGAGTATCTCGGTGATCCGAGAGACCACGGCCCTTCCGAGCCGGAGGAACCAGTCCCTGTGGTAGAACTACTGGGTCAGGTCAGGGACCTGTATGCCGACTCCCGTAGTCCCTAGGAGTACCACATTGGGTTTAGGCTAAAGAGGACGACGGAAGATGTAGATAGGGAAGGCAACTACTTAGGGGATCAGTTCTTCCTTGTGAGATGCCTCATGCGGGCTTCCCAAACTCCCCAGACCGTTGCGGATGTTGAGATGATGTCCAGAGTTCTCCGAAGGGGGGACCGACGCCACCGGGCGTCGTACGAAGGGGCTGGAGGAGCCTACGACTTCTCGAGCATCCCGCTGCTGCACGGCTCTGAGAGCAACCAAGGACGAAGGGCTCCCGCGACGGGGTCCACTCAGTCTTCCAGCTCCAGGGGCCCTCATCCGTATGTCCGTGCACTGAGCCCTACGACCGCCTCCCCTTCCCGATCTGAGGGAACAGGTTCCTCAGATGAAATGAGGCCTAGCGGTGAGCCAGGTTCTCCACCGGCCAGCCCTACCATTCCGGTGTATAGGCTAGACCCTGCGGTTCTAATCCCCTCTTCGCTATTGCTTCCGGCCTCTGTTGCTCCACAATCAGAGTGCCGCCCTTCCTTTGGACATCAAGGGCATGAGGATCCGGAGGTAAACAAGATAGAGGTTTACACCAAGGATGTAGAAGCTAAGCTTGAAGCACTTGGAGATAGCTCGCTGGAAACCACCTACACAGTTTCCCCAGCCGAAGCCCGGAAGCACGCTGAGCGGTGGAGAGCCGCGTTGCTTGAAGAGCTCAGGTGCCTTGAGGAAAAGGGAGCCATCATCCGGAGAAAGGGAGCCGAGGCCCAGAAGCTCCTATCGGATCCCGAGGCCGTCACCCTGCACTCTAAGGGAGTGTATACGGTCAAGCCCGGCAAATACCGGCCGGATGGGCCGAAGCAGGCTTTCAGAAGGAAGGCGAGGATCGTAGCGTGCGGGAATGAGTCCCGATACACCGACACAGGCGACGTCTATGCTGCAGGCGTCGCAGGCGACGTCCTGCGCGCTGCACTCCTGAAGGGAGCCAGTAGGCGGTGGAAAGCGTTCGGCACTGACGTGCATACCGCCTTCCTGCTAGCGCCGTTAGGTACCACCCGCAGGTACCTGTTGCAGCCACCGGCAATCCTCAAGGCGTTGAATCTCATCTCCGATGGGGAGATATGGGAAATAAACCGCGCCTTGTACGGCTTGAGGGAGAGTCCGAGGTGGTGGACAGACTACAGAAATGCTGCGCTTACAGGCCTCACCTTCCAGTTGCGCAATGCCGAGACAGGCAACCTTGAGCCTTACCGCTTGGAACAGGGTAGCACTGAAGGGAACGTCTTTAAGATAAGGGGTCCCAATGGTGAGCTGGAAGGACTTTTGGTGTGCTACGTTGATGACTTCCTCATCTTGTCGAGCGATCCTGTGGCGAAAGCCCTCTACGAGGCAATGTGCACCCAGCTGAGCTGGGAGTTGGATCCCCTCCAGGAGGCCACCCGACAGAACCCCCTTAAGTTCTTAGGTGTAGGGATAAGCCCTTTGGAAAATGAGCCCGGGTTCGCGCTTGACCAGAGGTCCTACATAGATGAGCTCCTCGCCAAGAATGGGTTTCAGGGCAGAGGCAGTAACATCCCCTGCCCAAAGGAGTTGCTGTCAGATGGTGACTTGGAAGATCCTGAGGACGTAAGTTACCCAACGTCTCTAAGGGAGGCGCAACGCCTCACCGGCGAGCTCCTGTGGCTAGCTCAGAAGAGTCGTCCCGACGTCTCTTTTGTGGTGCAATACATGGCATCGCACACCATAGGCCGCCCGCGACATGTGTGCGACGTCGCACAAAGAGTGTTCAGGTACCTCTCCCTGACAAGGGATAGGCATCTCCGCTTGGTGCCAGAGGCCGAAAAGGGACTCGAAGTTTTCACTGACGCTTCCTTCGCGCCGACCGGAAAACACAGTCAGGGAGGGATCCTGATCAAGTATATGGGATCGACGATCCAATGGAAGGCGTCAAAACTTCCGCTGATTGCGATTTCGTCAGCAGAAGCAGAGTTGCAGGCGCTAAGTGAGGGTGCCATCTATGGACAGTCGCTGCAGGCTGTCCTGCGGGACATCACCGATGAGCCTCCTTCCCTCGCGCTGCTGTGCGATTCCACTTCCGCTATAGCCCTCGCCGAGGGCGGGTCCAGTCAGAGGACAAGACACCTTCAGGTGAGAGCCGCCGCGCTCACGCAGCAGCTAGGGTCCTCAATGACTTTAGAGCACTGCCCGGGGGACGTGCAGTGTGCTGATCTCCTTACGAAGCCCCTTGCAGGGCCTAGGCTTCACGAGCTGTCCCTCCTTGTAGGCTTGAGTGATGAAGCTGAGCCTCCTTCTGTTGGGAAGGTTGAGGTGTTGTCTGGATGCGGAGGAGCCTTGAGCAAGTGGCTCACAGCGCTCACTGCCTTTGCACAGGTCATGCCAGGCTCAGGCCAAGGTGAGGAGGAGGAGGACTTCCAAGGTGTGACGAGCGACCTCTCGCTCTATGTGGCCCTGGTTGTTGTGATCATAGCCATAGTAGGCCTTTGGGAAGGGATTAAGGTTGCAAGCAGGTCCTGCCGAGGACCCCCGTCGCCCTCTATCCGGGCTCTGAGGAAGAAAGACCGTCTTGAAAAGGCCGTGCGAGAAGCCCTCGACAAGGAGGTGACTTCGTCTACTCCGTCCTCCTCAGATCAGCCAATCAAGCGAAGGGGGAGACCAGCCTCCCAGCCTCCGAGCGCCCAAGGGCACTCTACCGCGACTTCATCTACTACAACCACGACCCTGCTGCAGGTCTCGACGTTCTCTCAGACTGAGGTTTTAGATGGAGGCAGGATCACGAGGCGGAGCCAAGGAGTCCAGACGGACCCCGATGCTCAACACCAGGTGTTGATGCCACCCACGGGTGTCAACCCGGGAGCGGTGATGACTACCATGCAAAGAGGCGGAGTTGTCCACCTCTTCAACGACTGCGGGACCCTTGGAACACCGGGGTACAGGCAGGAGCGCACCTTCTGCCGGCAGTGCCTTGCAAGGGCGAACCTTCGCCCCTAGGGTTTTTAGAAGGTTTAGGCCCGAGACCCCCCTAAGACCCGTGTGCACTTGCCTGACGGCACACGTTCTTCGTTCGTTCGTGGTTAGGGGTTGTTTGGTGAAGGCATTGATTTCTCCGAAATAAGGGGCGGGCGGAATTCATGTAAAGTGCGAACCTCCACTCGCGTGAAAGTCGCAAGGAGGAGTGTAGAATTCTGCCCCTAGGACCCCTCTTGAGTTTTCAGACTTGTGTCTTTCGCTGCGTTTGGCCCGTAGGCTTGGCTTCGGAATGTATGCCTTGGGTCACGACTTTTACACAGCGTAAGTCTTTCAAGGTAGCGTCAACTAGACAAGTGCGTAATCGCACGTTTGCTAGGACCTACGTACTTTCGTTGCTGTGTTGCGAAAAGGTTAGGAGCGTGCGAGGGTTCATGGGCCACCGGTGAGCGGCGAAGGCCTGGAGATCTCCAATCTTTATCGAGCACAAATCGAGAAGTATACCATCTTTATCCTGGAACTGGGACTCTTGAGGACTCCTATCTGTTCTTTGGATTCTATAGGGTACTATAATAATGTGGGAACCTGATTAAGAAGCCTTGGGCCTTTATTAGAGTTCTTCATATGAGCCCCTACTTTTTTTGGGGGGTTCTCGGGCCAGGGTTTCTAAATCAGGTTCCTACATTAGGGTTTAGGGCTTAGTTTCGGGTCGAGGCTTTGGGGTTTCCGAATTCCGTTGCGCTTGCACTGGCAGGCCTTGTTGCCATGCACATTTCCTGAAGACGCTTAATCCACAAAAGGCGAAATGCAAACCCTAAGCCCGAATCCCTTAGCCTTACCCTAAACCCTAAACCCTAAACCCTAAACCCTAAACCCTAAACCCTAAAGCTCCGAAGCGAGGTACTTCTGTGCCGGGTCCTTCGAGGGTCTCTCGAAGTGCTATGCTCCTCGGCTGGTATGCACGGGCTTCTTATGAGTAGGGGTCCCTCGTTGTACATGTGCTAGGGTTTAGAGTTTGCGGGGTTCAGGGGTGTAGGCTTAAAGGCTTTGAGGGTTAAGAATCCAGATTTGTTATGGTTTGTTCATGTTCGAGTCTTAAATTGGGATTAGGGCTCAGGGTTTAGGTCACGTCCTTGGAACAATGCCCTGCGCCTAAGCCGTGGACTCTTGCGTGTGGCTGTTGGTGTTTGCGCCGGGACAGGCGGGAGCAGCCTGCAGACTATACCCGGATAAGGGCAGGTGCATTGCGCCTTGGGTCCGTGAAGCACTGGTCGGCGAAGCTGATGTTCTGGTCGCGGTGAGTTTGGCTTAGGCTTAGACGTCGGAACGTACCTGCTTAAGCCGTACACGCCGACCGGCCTTGTTCCCACCGATTGTAAATCTGCTTGTCTTATCTGTTCAAGAATCCTTCAAAGCTCAACTAGATCAGGGGTGTGGGACCCTAAACCCTTTACCCTAAACCCTAAACCCTAAACCCTAAACCCTAAACCCTAAACCCTAAACCCTAAACCCTAAACCCTAAACCCTAAACCCTTAACCCTAAACCCTAAACCCTAAACCCTATAGCTCTAGGTTCGCCTTCGTTCGTGCGTGCGAGGCTCCCTGCCCCGACATGTGCGGACAGAAAGGCCGGGCTCCGGCTTTGGTGACTTTGTGTCGGAGTTGGTCTTAGGGTTTAGGGTTTGGGGTTTGGGGTTAAGGGTTTTGGGTTTAGGGTTTAGGATTTGGGGTTAAGGGTCTAGGGTTTAGGGTTTAGGGTTTGGGGTTTGGGGTTTAGGGTTTAGGATTTAGGGTTTTGGGTCCCTTAAGGGTATGTCTGGGGTTTATAGTTGAGCTCTTGGTAGGGGTTTAGCGTATTGCAGGGCTTCTAGTGGCTATATAACGGTTTGAGTAGAGTTCAGGCATCAGAGCGCGGCGTAATGGTATCGACGAAGACTTGCTTTGCTTGCATAATGTGCACACGTGCTTCGGGTTGCTAACGGCAGGAAGGTTGGACTTTCCAGGCCTGGCGGCTTCGTGCAGCCACAAAAACCTAAGATGATTTGAGGCAAACCTTAAAGAGCCAAAAGGGGAACTTTAGACGTTTTGGCCTTACAAATTTGTGAGTTTCCGAAAATAGGGGGCCCTAAAATAGTACAGTACCCTAAATAGTAGGATCCTGATTGTAAGGACCCAAAATAAGGTGCCCCTAATTTTCCGAAACTCCCATTTGTCTATCTTAGAAGGTTTAAGCTGTCTTGGGCCCGGTTATTGAAGAAGAGGTTAGCAGGGTGTGGAGTCCCTGCGAGTGAGAAGAGCACAACACTCCTGAAGCCAGGAATCTACAATGCACTGTAATGTAGTAAAGTATGATATGATATCAGATCACTTAGTGAAATGTAACATAGTTATGTAGTATAGTATGTTATGATATCAGATCACTTAGTGAAATGTAACATAATTTACTGCATACTTCAATCCAGTATCGTACTTTTGAGCTGGAGTGTCAGCCTGGCAAAGCTCAGAGCTCTTTCTCCATCGTGGGGTATCAGCTCCCAGAGAATCAATCAAGGCTGAAGCCATAAATCCCCTGGATGCCATGGATCCTAAATCCCTAATTCCTAGACAGCCCGGCGAAACCTTGGGACACATACAGAACAGAAAACATTCAACAACTCTAAACCCTGAACCCTAAATTCTAAACCTTAAACCCTAAGCCCTAATCCAATCAGCAAGGTGGCCGATACTTCATGTGCGGCGGGGGGCACGAGGTCTTGTGGCTGGACCGCTACTTCAAGAATGAGGCTCGTTCGGGTGTGTTCGAAAGGTTTTGCACTGGCTTTTGGGTCTGATACATTCAAAGAACTAGGTTGGATTTTGGGTCATTTCTTATTTTCCTTATTTGGGTTTAGAAGCGCCCCTATATATAAATATTTTCAGGGTGTTTAAAGGCCAACCCAGACAAGAATTTCAGAAATACCTGTAGTATCGGTTCCTAAGGCGCTATATAGTAGTCGATGCGGTGCTTGTATGCTTGTCGAAAGGTTTCTGGCTTTGTGGTTAGGATACCATTGGTGGTCTTAGTTGAACTAGCTGAAACCCCAGGCCGAAGGTAGTCTCGAAGAATGCTTTCCTCTTTGCTGTACAATTTAGAGTTAAGGTTTTCGGACGTAGCCTTTAGGGTTTAGAGGTTTAGGTTCGAAATACACGGGCCTGAATAACAAGCGATACAATTTCTCTGGGGTTCCTGACTATAAGTTAGAGCATCCCAGACCCCCACCGCCCGATTCTAATTCTTAAGACCATTATACTACACCTCAGTGACCTTCGTGGCAGCCCTCGTCTGAATAATAGCTGATACTATCGCCTCATCCTCAGAACATGAATATATCATCGGATACCATCGGGTCCCATGCTGCTCATTCAACTTACTTTGTACATTAGAAAGCCCATACAAACTCATACCCCTAAAAAACACTATGCCGCCCCATTGAGGCTATGCTATTCAGACTTTCCACCACTGGTTACAAGTTGACGGCCCCTCAACCCTGCACCCTAGACCCTACACCCTCGGAGGGATCCGTACACATCAGGAGAGGAATCACGCCCGATGCCCCAAATCGAAGAAGAAGTGAATGGAGGACCTTGCATACATGGGCTTGGGGTTTGGAGTTTTGCATTTCGGGCTTCGGTTCCGGGCTTTTTCAGGTTTTCAGGTTCGATTTCTGAATGGAAGGATGTTCGTTTTGTTAATGATTTTGTTATTTTTTCTTCTTTGGGCATACAGTGCAGGGGACATATCAGGGTTGAATTGAGTCTATAGGGCCTCTTAGGTCAGTGGGGAGCGTAGCTGTACGTACGGTGTCCCTGTGCAGATGCGAGGAACAGAAGCCTACTATATGCAGGTTAAAAGGATGGATATATACATATACATATATATATATACACACACCAAGGACAGCTCGGATCTGATCTTTTGGGTTGATGGCCACTGACAAAGACAAGGCACTAGATCATGAATAGGTATTTGCCAAAACAAGATTTGCCAAGACAAGATCGAAGGGTGTAGTGTTCCTTTGTAGAATTTGGAGCCTAAAATTATGGCTTTTCAAGTAAAAAGTTAAGTCTGAGTGACTGAGCTTATTAAACCGGCTGAAATTCTACTATGAGGGCATATTCGGAGATTTCATATCAATATTTCAAACTCACTCCCCACACCGGCCGAAGCGCTAGAATTTTGGCCGCGAAGTTCATTGAGGTGCAAGCAGGAAGACATCATAGGAGGCCAAAAGGGGGTTTTGCCTATGGGGGTTTAGCAGGGATTAGGGTTCCCATAATAGGGTTCATATGAAGGAATCCCTACCCCAAGAATCTTAAACCCCCCTTTTGGCCTCCCATCAAGACAGTACAGCTTCTCTCTCTCTGCTCGGTCCTGCCTCTACCTTAAGGACGAAATGAACCCTAAAAGGGTTTAAGGTTCATATACCATATAGGGATTCATAGTATATGGGTATAGGGCCCCTACTTTTAAGGGTCATTTGGTCCTTCAGGTAATTGAGGCAAACAGATTAGGGTAACTCCCTTAAACCACCCAGCGGTTTTTGGTATATTTAGTATTATTGAGTTTTCGGGATCAGGCTTTCTAACTGACGGTGGGTTGATCATGAGTTTCCGGGCATGTGCTTTCTTGATTGAGGCGGTTTTTGAAAACGACTGCAATATTGATATTATGCCGTTTCCATCCAGTTCCGTGCATCGAGTGATAGGCAGCCTCCTTGATTGGGCAAAGGCTATCTGTTGAGTTGGTATTCTCATCTAGCCATGTATGTCGATTGGGAAAGGCTGGATGAGGCTCGCGATGTACTTTGTTTTTAGAGTGTCGGTGTTCATGTTTTGTAACTCCATGAAAGCTGACATGGCTCAGCGTTGGGAGTTCTTTGATTGGGAGCTCATTGATTGGGCAGAGGCCATCTGGGAGTTTCCGAAAATAGGGAACCCTAATATAGTACCCTAAATAGTAGGATCCTTATTAAAAGGACCCCAAGATAAGGTACCCCTAATTTTCGGAAACTCCCATCTGCAGAGTATGCCGCATGTCCAGGAAGCTCCCCAGATGCGCGACGGATCTCCTAGATCCGAGCGAGCATCTAGGGATCAAGGCTCAAAGCATCGATAATGCAACCAAGCAAGGCAACCGCGAAAAGTGTGTTTTCTTGGAGGTTGATTTTCGATCCGTTGTCTATTTGATTTTTAGTCGATTTTATGTGATGTTTATTCGACATTGAGGACCTACTTGTGTTACTAGCAACTGAAGATCATAAGCCTTGCTTTGGGCAGAGCATCTAGCGATACCGCTCCGTGGCCATATCCGCGACCGGACACAGACATGCACATAGACCCACAGGCGTACCTGCCTACCTACCTACCGACCCAGCTACCTTCATAATTACATGCATTCGCTCAGACAGACAAACGGACAGACCGACGGACAGACAGACAGACAGACAGACAGACAGACAGACAGACAGACAGACAGACAGACAGACAGACAGACAGACAGACACAGGTGCGTGCGTAGGTTCACACACACACACGTGCGCGCATACACATACAATGGACATCATTGGACCTGCACATGTGCATGTCACACGTCTGTTATCCTTTGTACATGTTGCTTGTTGAGATTTTACATGCACATAAGGATGGGTACACACATATATATATATATATATATATACACATATGTATATACATTTACACCGACTTACTTATGGCAGGCGTTTTGGATGCTTGGTAGAGCGTACAAACATCCTTGTGTTGGCAACCTTTAGCGCCCTATCTTCTTCCAGGATGCAGCATGGTCCATCTTGAGCCGTCGCAGATCACGTGCCGCCGTGACCGGCTGTTGGTGTGACATAGCATAGAGGCTTGCTTAGTAATAATACTCCTTAATCTTTTCTTTCGGGGTTTTCACAATTTACGTATCCCCCCAAAATTGTTGAAATTAACAAGGCCGCCGCACTTGCATAAGCTTGCCCCCACGACGAGACCGTAAATTGGGTCCGACTGCTTCTGTCGACAATACCTATTGTTCGTCGAAACGGCGAAAGACCCCATGCCCAAACCTAGCTAATCTGTTGTTGCTGCCGTAAGGATAAGTACATGAAGCGAAGCTGTGAAGTGCTGGGCCTGAATTGCCTGGCCCCAATGAGAGTTACCCCGCACAGCTGCTTTGCTCCGGCACTTGGCTGAAATACATCCGAGTGCTTGGGATTTAATGCTGACAGCGGGAGGCTCTGCAGTCGGGGACATGAGCGGCGCCACAGTTCCTTGGAGGGTTCCTGTCCGGGTTACTTGAAGTGTTTCTATATGGGTTCTCTAGGTTTTAGGATTTGAGCATGCGGGTTTAGGCAGCCAGAGGAAGCATGTACGTTGAGCAAGTTTTCATTATGCACAAGTACATAGTGGCATATTTCTGTATATGTGTTTGTATAAGTTCATACATGCATGCATGCATGCATGCATACGAAATCATGTAAGATCATAAACAGGTTTACTGAAGCAGTTGTCAAAATACATATTTCGACAGTTGGCTTTAGCATTTGGGGGTCATATGATTCCAGAATGCTCCGTCAAGTACATTGCCGACTGTCGCCGGGTTTCTTGACCTTTGCACAGGATTTACCAGACTCTTTCGTGCTAATAAAGATGTTTGGTTGGGTTTTATGGAGTTTCGCGTTCATTAGGTCACCTCTTCTTGGGAGGCAGTATTTGACGATCACTCCAAGGCCAGTCCCAAGTACCTACGTACGCGTGGTCCCCCACCTTCGGCTAAACGTCTTGTTGTTTTTTGGGGGCGTCCCCAAGAGAACGAACGGAACCACAATACAAACACCTGAGAAATTTCCAATAATTACTATTCTCCGGGGTTCGTCACTTTAGAGAAAAAACGAAAGTTGACCCTAAGATGCTAACCGAATCATTAACCGCCCTACATATCTACCTGTTCCGACAACCTTCTGTGTGAATCGCTCCCGCCTGAACTTGGCCCCGACGAAGCAACGTGACCTTCATCCATGATGCCGAAATGCAGGGTTAGGTTCCGGGGTTGGGGGGTTGACGAGTTTTGAGGGGTTTAGGGTCTCGGGACAGGAACTTCGTCGTACGACCACCCTACCCTGAAGCTCGAAGGATTCTTTGTCGTAAAACTTTTATGGCCCAAAGCCACGGTTGATAAAGCTGTGTGTACGGGTTAGCTTAGGGCTACATGGTTCAAACGGCACATGCGTGTATCACCCTTAAATCCACCCTCAGACTAAACCCTAAACTCAAAACCGTATTATATAGGGTGCGGAATTATGATGAATAATAATGGTATTTATGCCAGTTTAACCCACATGTAGATATCCTTTGGTAAAATCTCACAAGCCCTGTTCTAATTATGAAGGCCAAGATCGTATGCGGAGTTTAGCGCCACGCCGGCATCCGACGGTCTGAGCTTTGCCCTCAACCAGCACAGAGCCTCCCGAAGACGGGGGAGAAGCCCTGACTGAGTTTCCTGACAGCCAGAGACTCCAAAATCTTTCAATTCTAAGCCCTAGCATAAAGCACCGAACCCGAAACTGCCGAGAGCGCCGCTGCCAATTTGCATGTGTGCTCGAGGTCAGCGAGGGTAAGGTTTTCGGTACAGGAGGAGGGGGGGACTGTAGTGACATGCTTCTGAACAAAGCAGCGATCATGGTGATTACCACCTTCTTTGCAAGGATCCGGCAGTTTAGAAGCGTGGCAATACCAAAGTTTCCACTTTTTTTTCTGAGCGACGTTCAGACGCGGCGAAGGGCCGGGTTGTTTGCCGGAAAGTCTTGCTTCGTGTCGAGCGGCCGGGCACAGGAAGCGAGGACGCACCACCCAACACCAATCCATCTCAGTTGTGACCTGCTGAGACATGTGGTCGTTTGTGCACAACTGCGAAGGGAAGCAGAGAGCAAGAAAGGCCCCGCTTAGGGGTTTGGGGGGTGAACCCTAAACCCTACTTGAGGATAATTGGAGTGGTTGGGGCAGTGACTACATTGTATGCTGCCGCAGGTGAGCGATAAGCAGGGGCCCTCCGATTCCTCAGGAAACCCACCGTGCGCGCACTGTACACCCTAATCCCTAAACCTTGAACCGGCACTACCGCCTTGAGGAATCTTGCGACCAGCATAAACCCATACGATTGAGATTTTCAGGCGTGTAAGGGTTTGAGCGTTTGAGGTTTTGGGTTTACAGGTCTAAGGGGTGTTTAGGGTTTAGGATTTGGGGTGTTGGGTCATAGGGTTCACATCAGGGTTAAAGGTTACAGGTTTTGGGGGGTTTACGGATAAGTAATTCACCAAGACGGCGTACTAGTGAACATCTGAATATTTTGGAGTTTCTGGAGCCAAGATAGCTGACAAAGAGTGCGCACTCGATTTAGAATGCTGAGTTTGCGCGCAGGATTTCTGGGTTGGGGCGTGCCCAGAGATCGAGTCGTATACCCTTTCATGAGACCACATATTTCACATGATCTGTAATAGTTTGCGTGGTTGTTCGGTTCTTTTGAACCAAGGGGTACACTGTAAGTAAGCCCTTTACTCTCAACCTTATCCAGAGACGTGGGACCAGTGCCCGTTCTTGGACACAAGGGAACCAGAGTATACTGCGAAACTCTATTGAAATTGCTATGGCCTTGATATTAAGCCTTGACATGTTTGTTCCTAACTCAGCCGCCCCTGCCGCGAAAGGAGGGAACGTGTTTGGAACCCGCAACCCCCCAAATGCTCACGGTAGATCCGTGATCCTAAGCAGAACGCTGGAAGCTTGAAACTAAACGCCGGAATCACATGACCGACAGCGCTGAATCCAGCATAAGCACACGTGAGGCTTTGCTGCAAGACGTAAAGCAGTTCCAAACACGTGCCGCCAAAGGGCCCAAAGCAGTCATCATTTAGAAGCCCGAGTAATTCCTGCCAGTGTTCGATAGGGTTCCTGATAACCATCGAATAATATACCCCCACATCGGGTTCTAATCATTAAGGCCTTGTCTGAAGTAGGTTCCAACCTTGGTTCGCCTTCCCAATAATCATAGGGATCCCTAGGGGGTTACAGGGGAGGGGGGGGAGGGGACTATACTTCTTGAAGAAGGCATGTCGCCCTATGAAATGGCCCGTCCTGGAAGCAGGCCTTTCAAAGAGCCCTACAGCCAGGACTCCTTGAGATGCCCCCCCAAACCCATCAAAAACCCTGGGTTTAGGGTTTTTAGGTTTTAGGTTTTAGGGTTCAGGGTATAGGGTTCAGGGTTTAGGGTAACCCCACATCTTAAAAAACATGCCATGTTGGTATAAATACCCGTTACACCTGTTTTTCAAAGCCGCGGTTCGAGGCAGAGTGAGCCAACCCTCCGTCGCACACAAAGTGTGACTTTTCCTGGCCCTCTTCTCTCCAGCCATGATGCAGAGGCACCGCAGCTGGGGGCTTCCTGTGACCTTCAGGAGTTGGGGTTCAGGGCTTCCTGTGACCTTCAAGAGTTGGGGTTCAGGGCTCAACCCACAACTCACAGCCCAAAGCCTAAACCCTAAACCCAAAATGCACAGCCCAAACCCTAAAGCCTAAACAGCTCTCGGAAAAGCGCCCAACGAAGAACCCAAAGCTGACGCCAACAGTCTGAGAAGCGCTGCGCTTGGGGTTTGATGCGTGGGGATCAGGGTTTAGGACTTCGTGTGCCTGGGGCCTGGGGTGTATGACTTGGGAGTGTAAGCCTGAACTCCGAAAAGCAAAATGTGGGAGCCCGAGTATGGGACCTCTAATCCCAAAATATCAAGTTTGGATTCATATAAGGAACCGCAGTAAAGACCCAGGGTTTCTTAACCAGGTTTCTACATTACGTTCGCAATCACTAACCACGGATGCCCACACAAGGAGCCTTCTAGGCCTCAATGACGCCGTGTAGGAACTTCGGTCTCTGGGGGTCCACAGGGTGGTGAGGGAAGGGAGAAATGGGAGCAGCTACTGGGCCTCGGTCCTGGAGACCGAGCTGCTCAACCCATGCCCGGAGATCTCACCAGCCGTAGCCTTTCAGATGATCTTTAGCTTCATCCAGGCCTTCACATTCCTGGATGTCAGAGATTTGGGGCGCAAGAACATAGGGAGCCGCAGTCTCCGGTCCGAGATGGGCGAGGCTCCGCGCCACGAGCTCGTCGTTTTGGACGCAAATGGCTGGCGCCCTTACGGTGAAGATGTGACGCCGCACTTCCCGAATAGCGCAGGGCTGCGGGAATGTGGGCAACCCTAAACCCTAAACCCAAACCCTCAATCTTAAAGCATGCTTCTGCAATAGGCACTGGCATTCTAAGTACCAAGTTTTACTTGCTGTTGTGACTGATCAGAATTTGGGTTCTTCTCTCTCATTGTCCCGACTCCCTCAACCAACATGGTAGTCCTGCGGCATTGGCTATACTAAAAGACACGAGGGTTCAAACAAAAGCACCCTCAAGCCTGAACCCTAAAGCCCTAAACCCGGAAGCCTCAAAAACCTCAACCCCCAAAACCAAACCCTAAGCCCCAAATGAAGTCTACACCCTCAAGACTCCAAGACTCCATAAATTCTACATCCTAGAGCCCTGTAAACCCCAAAACCCTCAACCCTATAAGCCGCTATAAGCCCTATACGCCCTATAAGCCGCATAAGCCCTCTAAACCCCATAAACCCTGTAAACCCCATAACCACCTAAGCCCCTAAACCCCTAAACCCCTAGCCCCCTAAACCCCTAACCCCCTAAACCCCTAAACCCCCTAAACCCCCTAAACCCCTAAACCCCCTAAACCCCCTAAACCCCTAAACCCCCTAAACCCCCTAAACCCCCTAAACCCCTAAACCCCCTAAACCCCCTAAACCCCCTAAACCCCTAAACCCCTAAACCCCCTAAACCCCCTAAACCCTAAACCCTAAGAGCTCCGTTAGGATGCTTGGGCCGGCTCTGGGCCTTCTCTTCGGGGCTGGCCTTGGGATGGCGCAGTTTCCTGGCGCGGACCTTCCTTTTCCGCCGATGCCCTCCGAGGTGCCCGCGATGCGCTAGGAGTTGAGTTGAGGGTTCAAGGTCTAGGGAAGTAGGGTATTTTGGTTTCAGGCTTTGGGTGTAGGATTTAGGGTTTAGGGTTTCGGGATGGCAAGAGGGTATTAGGGTTTCAGTGTTCGGGTGTAAGGTATAAGGGTATTAGGTTTCAGGCGTGTTTGGGTTCCCTTAAAAGGATTTCAGGATTCCTCTAAAGGGGGGGAACCTATGACCCAGGAGTTGAAATGAGGGTTCAAGGCGTAGGCTTTTGGGGTTTGGGATTTGGGGTTTTCGGTTTCGGGGCTTAGGATTTCAGGGTTTGGGGGTTTTAGGATTGTTGGGTTTGGGGTGGACTTCGCTTGAGGGTTCAGGGTGTGGGGTATTAGGGTTTCGGGCTTAGGATTTAGGGTTGAGGGTTTCGGGATCTCAAGCGTATTAGGGTTCAGGGCTCAGCGCTGAGGGTTAGCAAGGCGTACGGTATGAGGGTTTAGGGCTTGGGGTTTCAGCAGTTGGGTTTAGGCTTTAGACGAGAAGGTGTAGGGTATTAGCGTTTAGGGCAGAATAGGGTTTAGGACTTCAGGTGCTGAGTGCAGGGTGCTCAGCCGTTCCGTTACATGTGACGTGCTACACTCTCTCCGCGCCATGTCCAACCCGTCGAAGTCGCCTTTCGGAGAGCCGATATTCTTGCCCAGAAAAAAACGCGCGGAGTGCAAAGAGAGGGCATCTCGCCTAGCCTGCCATGAACGCATTCAGAAGCTAAAGCGGCTACGGCTCCCCGGCAATGACTGCGACGAGGACGTTCCCGACAAGTCGTGCTTGCCAGAAGAAAGGGAGTGCGAGCAGTCGGGGAATGCGACGGAAGGACGACAGGGACCCAGACTCAGAGGAGCAGGACTGGTGGCCGGAGGAAGAGGACCAGGTTAAGGCCCCTACTTGGAGGGTCGGGGGACCTAGTAACTGGTTATTTTAGGGACTTATAAGTACCATAACCCCAATTAGGGTCCCCTTTGGGGTACTTATATGTCTACTTACTATACCTACTTACTAAGTCCCCCGACCCTCCAAGTACATTAGGGTGGTTGGGGGAAGTCAGGCTTCAAGTTGAATGGGGTTTCGGGTGAACCCACCTAACCTAAACCCGAGATCAAAAGCCCGGAATCCTGAAGCCAAACATGGAAGCTTGAATATTCGCAATGCTGCTGGTCAGCGCTCTGTATGATTATAGAATTTTATAGATATGTTGTAAAGTCCTGATGTTTAAGATAAAAGCCACTGCAATACGATCTTCTTACAGTAGACCATATGGTAGCCCCTTTGCAGAGCCCTTTGTAGGCCTTTTCAGAGCCCCTTGCAGGAGCCCTGTAGAATAAAACCCTAAACCGTGTAAACCCTGCACCCTAAACCCCTAAACCCGAAGCCCTGTGTTGAACCGAGGCCGTGGTGGGACCGACTCTAGCAGACTCCAAGCTACCTGACCTTTTTGGGAGAAATTTGTTTGATAGGAGTCGAAAATGGGTTTTAGCTTATGGGGGTGTAGTAGGGATTAGGGTTCCCATAGAACCACCAGGGGTTGCCGTTGGGTTGGGAACGCAGGAATTTGGGTTCCATTGCCTATGGTCGGTTTTATTATGAGACCAAGTATCAATGTCAAATGTCACGCGCAATCGGAATCAACGCGTTAGGTTTGGGCTCAGGTTACACCCCAAGCATCCCCAAACCCTAAACTCTAAGGCCCAATCTTGGAATAGAAGTCCTGTATCAGTACGGAATTGAGACGGCGCACATCGAGCATGTCGCGCTAGCACGAACTTGACAGGTTCAGGAATTATGATGCGAAGGAGTCATCGCTGCGAAACTCCGATATGTTGAACACCCCTACCTCCCCCACGTGTCGAGTCCCAGGAACAGCTGGCCGAAAAAGCGTGAGATACTGAAGAAGAACGCTCCGAACATCGTGGTTATTATGTGCCAAAGCCGCAGCATTGGGGTGTGGGCATCAACGACACAGAGCCGAAACCGAATGCAAGGCCCCGTCACCCCTTACGTCGTAAAGTTGAAGCTGCATCAACCCTTAAGCGCCTTATCGTTAGAATCCCCGTTAAAACTGTTGCGTCCCCCCACACTATACGAAACCTGTCTGATATCCCTAAACCCCATAAACCCTATCCCTAACTCGCATAATATCCGGTTCAGAACCCCTTCAAGAAACCCCGGCACCGTCGGTCCAGGGTACATTATACTATAAGTTTACTCAGGAACTCTAAGGAATACTATATGGTAACTATTCAGGCTCTTATATTCGAGGTGTTCAGCTTAAGGTTTACGGGTTCTCATTGGCTGTAAACTCAACTTTTCAACTTGCGGGGTTCTTATAAGGTAGTCGATTCTGGAAGTTTCAACTTTTATTTGCTTGGGTTTTGGGCCAGCGAGGTTTAGGGTGTCTGTAGCAGTTTAGGGTTTCATTTGTAGCGAGGGTTTCGGGTCTTGGCCCTTAGGGTTCGGGGGCTTATATAACAGACCGAAATCGAAAGCCACGGATCAAGCACTTCTATACAACAAGGAGCACCAACCCGAAGTGCAGTCCCACCTTTGTTTCCTGTGGAAGCCCGAACAACTAGCAACTCGCAATGCTATTCCTTCAGGGGCCCTTCTTGCAACCAGAAGCTCTCTGATTGACGACGCTTCCTTCAAACCTGAACCCAAACTTAAAATCCCAAGCTAACTTAGGAGCCCGAATATTACGGGGAGTTCTGGTGTACGGTCGTACGAGGTACCCCTGCAAACCTTTTGCAAGTAATTATGAACGTTTGGTCTCAGCCCCCCTCATCTTGCGCGGCCTTTAATGCAATCGAAAAAGCCTAAAGCCCCAAACCCCAAACCCTGAACCCTGAACCCTAAACCCTGTAAGGAACGATGATGTGGGATTTGGAGCGCCCGACACCTTCGGCGGTCCCATCCACACACCGACTCTGTGGTTCGTCTGAAGTGTCAGTCTAATATGCGAAAACAAGGGGTACCTTATTTTGGGGTCCTCATAATAAGGATCCTACTATTTAGGGTGCTATATTGGGGTCCCCTATTTTCGGAAACTCCCATATGGGGGCCTAAATAATTGCAAACACTTACCACTGATGCTGTTCTGCTGGTTCCTTATTTTAATTGCAGTATGAATGAGCCCCAAACCCCTATTCTGATTCTTAAGGCCCCCCCCCAAAAAAAAAATTAGAATGTTACGGCTCTGCATCTAGGTATAATGTTCCGGCCCTGTGTGCATTTGAGCCATGATAGAGAGAGGTCTGAACAACTAGCAGCAGTATGCCTTTATTCATTTATTCTTGTCCGTCTTACAGTATTGGATTATTGGATAGCCCAAAGCCCCAGCACCACCAGCACCACCAGCACCACCAGCACCACCAGCACCACCAGCACCACCAGCACCACCAGCACCACCAGCACCACCAGCACCACCAGCACCACCAGCACCACCAGCACCACCAGCACCAGCAGCATCAGCAGCACCAGCAGCACCAGCAGCACCAGCAGCACCAGCAGCACCAGCAGCACCAGCAGCACCAGCAGCACCACCAGCACCAGCAGCACCAGCAGCACCAGCAGCACCAGCAGCACCAGCAGCACCAGCAGCACCAGCAGCACCAGCAGCACCAGCACCACCAGCACCACCACCTGTCTTCCTTCCCAGGTCGAAGATCGCGTCGCGGGGTGTGTCCTACAATCGCTTCCACACCACCGCAATCTGCTCCCCCACGCGGGCGTCCGTTCTGACCGGCCGGAAGCTTGTTCGAGGAAGGTTTGTAGGGCTTAGGGTTCCTTTAAAGGGATCTACAGGGGTTCCGTTAAAGGGATCCATAAGGGATCTCTAAGGTTAGGGTTCAGGGTTTAGGGTTTGAAGGTGGTGGGCTTTGCGTTTGGGGTTGAGTTTGGGATTTGTGTTTGGGCTCGGAGTTTGCGGGGGATTTGCATCCACAACACCCTGCCGCGCCTAATTCAGGGAAACGCCTCAAACATTGGTCGGTTAGATCCTGTAGAGAGCATCTTTGGGAGATTGAGTCTCAGTTCCCTAGCACAGGGGCACAAAGAGGATTTATCATTTAGTGACTGCCAACATGTTCAAAGCTAGGGTCCAGTTCAACCTACAAGGCTCTCTGGATAAACCTGCCACGCAGCTTGCTCCAACTCTCGCACTATTCTAAGACTCACCCCCCCCCCCCCCCCCCGAAACTAGGCACCCGAAGCCCTGGAAGCCATAAGACTTGAGCCAGGATCCTAGAAACCCCAATCCGGAAAACCCCTAAACTTCTAAACGAAGCCTCAAACCCTAAGAGGAGCGCAAGCACCAGAACAAGCAAACATGCACAAAGCTACTACAATGCACAAAGCCATAGTGGAACCCTTAATGAAAGCCAGTCGATGAGAACCTATACAGCCTTCTGATACTCGTATACAAAAGACCCTTCGCCAATCATCAACCGTAAATCCCAAATGTCCGAAGCATTACATGGGGTGAAGCCCTAAAACCCTCAAGCCCTGACCCTCAAGCCTTATAAACCCTTAGCCCTACACCCTAAAGGGAACTCCAGAAAGTTGGAATATGGATTAATGGTAGGATCCCCTATAACTTACCTTAAAAGGGTTACGATAATGATATTCCAACTTTCTGGCTTTTACTATAAGCCCTTGAAGCCTGCCGGCCTAAAAATCTATAAAAACCTAACCCCTAAACCCTAAACTCTAAAATCCTGCCCTACACCCTAAACTCAAAAAACTCGTCAACCCAAGGAATTCTCACAACATCGGCGCTGGGCAGATCACGGAGGCTGCAGCAGGCTGGGGCCGGCTCTGTCTGAGCTCTCGCACTCCTTTTAGGCACTTTTAGGTTCTTTAAAGGGATCTATAAGGGTTCCTTAAAGGGATCTATAAGGGTTCTATAAAGGGTTTAGGGTTTCCGAAAATTAGGTGGTCTAGGATGCCCGGTAGTACCCTTATTCCCTTTTTGTAGTCCTAGGTTCCTTATAAAGTTACCCAATACCAAAAAGAGAGGCCTTTTTTTTCGTAGGTTACTGGGTATCCTAGGTGGTCTAGGGTGTGGGATTTTGAGGGTTTTTGGGTTCAGGGTTTAGGGTCCGAGCTTTAGGGGTGTAGGGTTTGGGGTTTGGGGTTTGGGGATGTCTAGTGTTTAGGGTCCGAGCTTTAGGGGTGTAGGGTTTGGGGTGTAGGGATGACATGCGATGCCATTTATAATCATGTATATTGGCGGTTGTCAAGATTATGGTACCTTTTTGGGTCCCTATTATGATACGGCACCTAATATTTAGGGCAGCCAACAAGGGACCCTAATTTTGACAACCACCCATATGTCAGTACTGGCTGAGGTGAGAGGGAAGGAGACCGAAACTTTTCCTCGTCGAAGCGCCTTTAGGGGGAGTTGAAGTTGCGGATTCTTACAACATCCTGCCATGGCATCGCATGCTGAAGCCCCCATGACCACGAATCTCAAACAATCAAGAATCCTAAATCCGAACCATTGTCCTACGTACCTTAACCCTGAACAACATACCTTTTTAGGGTTCCTTATTATGATTTCCTTGTATAAGTCCTGAAAAAGGCAGATTATTCAGGGTTAAGGGGCACCCTGAAAAGACCCGCAATACAGATGAGCCTTCCGTGAACCCGCTTTGATAAGCAAGTGGCAACTTAGGATCCCGCACAGACGGTCGGTCCCGTGCTTTGCAACACCCGAACTTGGGCATCCGCCACACGCGCGAGCGCATATTCGCAGGATTCACACATAGCTCCTAAACCTTGAACCCTAGATCCATCTATTCACAGATTTCTCCCCAAAGTTGAACTCTAAATCCATCTATTCACAGATCTCTCCTAGACCTTGAACCCTAAATCCATCTATACTCGCCTTATGCAATCCCTTCTCCAGGCTTTCCTGGCTACACCGGAACAATCCCAAAGTCCGCGGCGACGGTGGCAAAGGCCTTGGCCGCAAGAGCCGGCACTTCAATAGTCCGGGTTTCATAGGAGGCCAAAAAGGGTTCCCTTTAAAGGGTTCCTATAAGGACTACTCTAAGGGGACTATAAGGGATCTATAAGGGTATACTCTAAGGGGTTCTATAATGTAGGAGGCCAAGAGGGGTTTTAGCCTATGGGGGTTTAGTAGGGATTAGGGTTCCCATAACAGGGTTCATATTAAGGAATCCCTACCCCAAGAATCTTAAACCACCCTTTTTGGCCTCCTATCAGGGTTGCACAGCAGAAGGGGTGGCTTGCTTAGGGTTTACGGCGCATTAGGGTTTAGGGTTCAGGGGTTCGGGTTTCGGGTCTCGGGTGTAGGGGTTACGTATACTTAGACGCACATGGGATTCAGTAACAAGGTTTCGCCTTCTACTAAGTCTCATGGTTATGCTAAGTCCCATGATCCTCCAAGTACTCTTAATCAGGGTCCAGCTTCTTGCGGGTTCTATATCAGAGTCCCTATGTACTGCCAAGAAGTATGCGCCATAAACTTTAAACCCGTAAAGCCCCAAACCCAAAGCCCGTCACTGATACGTCGGCCCAAAAGTCCCTGCTACAGCTGCCGCTTTCGTCGTTGTCGATGCTACTACAAGACCACAAATCGTCGTGGGATGTTTTCTGTTGGTGCTCCCTACCCAGAATTCCCCAGCACAGGAACATGTTTTGATTCATCGTGGGTTTCTGCTTAGCATTCCCTAGGCTTCAGTTACCATGGGGTTTCTGTAATCAGTCACCCCTGAACCCGAAATCCTAGTTGCCAGGAAGGGATCCTTGACCAGGTGTTGGGTTTAGGTTTAGGAGTTGTTTGTTCGGGGCGCGGGTTTGGGGTTGCTCCTTCTCCATAGTCTTCCACTTTACACCCTATTCTCGCTTGCTTCTCAGGTTGGCGCCTTAAGAGACCAAAGACTCCTGAGAATCCAGCAGTTCTTGGCGGTTCATTGGTGCTTATAAGTAGGGTTTATAAGTTGCATATTAGGGACGTATAACCCAACTTATAACTACTCCTAAACCCTACAGAACCCGTAAAGGAACCCTTACAGGAACCCTTACAATAACCTTTAAAGGAACCCCATAACCCCAAGTTTGTTTGATGTTGAAGAGACCGCCTCTAGAAACGCGGGCGCCAAAGGGTAATTGGCCGGTCAGGGCGACAGGCTTGATATCGACAAAGCGCATGCGCCATCTTATCTTAAGGGCCTTAAAAATTATAATAGGGGTTCCTGTAAGGGGTCCTTTAAAGGGTGTATAGAGGATCTTGGCCCCTATATTAGATTCCAATCTCTGTTCGATATCATGTTTTTATCAGCGGGCATAGCTTCCGACCCATAGATGCTCGAAAGTGTCCGTGGCTGTCACAGGTGCTGTCTGGATACGGCTATGATGCCCGTCTGCATTTGAGCAGCATTCCGCGCATTCGAAGACGGGTTGACTCGGAATGCAACCCTAAGCCCTAAACCCCAAAGTCGCAGATATAGATTTGCAGAACATGCTTTAGCCCGAACCGCCAAACTTTCCAGTGCAAGCCTACACGGGACCACAGCTTTCTGCAGATTTAAAGTGAGACTTACTGGGAGGTTCAGGGGTAGCTATAAATGCGGTTATAAGTCCCCCAACAAGGTTATAAGTATAGTTACCCTACTGGTAACCCTACTTATAACTACCCATGAACCTCCAAGTAGGGTTTAAGGTTTCTTTTTTTGTTACCTGATTTTCTGATCATAAGACCCTGCTCACGAACACGAGGGTGAGGGCCGATGCGCGTCCCCACGGCGTTGGAATCGGGCTAAGGGGAACTCTACAGGAAGCCATAAAAGCTGGCGATTTTTGAAGCTTCCGGTCTCTTCAAGACGCTCAGTGTCCACTGGTTGGGTACGGCCCCCACTCAGTAATTGTTGAATAATATTCAGAATATAGATAGATTAGGATCTTAAAAGTAGCCCTATTATAAACTCTTACTGTAAGGGGGCAGTACCTAATCCACTGGTAACAAGAAGGAGGCTCGTCTAGAACCTTGTGAAGCTATTGTAAGCGCTCTGAAACCGGGTGAAACCCCATAAAGCCCTCAAAAACCGGTGTAAACGCCTGAAAAAAGCGGTTGAAATCTTCAGTGTCGCTCATCCGCTTTGGCTTCCCGGCTATGTGCCCCTTTTCCGATGAGGCTCCTGCCGTGATAATCGCATGCGAGAAATGTTGCTCGTATGAACAGACCATGACGACCATGATATCTATTCCTATCTTGCCTCCATAGGCCCTACATTCTGCGGCCAAGTCGTGCTCTTCCAGCGTCGTCTGCATCCAAACCTTTGTCGTTTGTGTTTGGTGAGGCTTTAAAGCTTCCTCATTGAAACCCTATTGAATTCTAAAGGCGCTATTCCTTCACCCAATAGAATATTGAAACCCTATTGAATTCTTAAGGCCCTAATCTTTCACCTAGTAGAATTCTCTCCTCTGGTCGCGCGCACGAAGGATACGGCGGCCTTCGGAAAGTGGCACAACACCCCAGTGTGCTGCCTCGGTAGTAAATCATATATAAGGGATCCTATTATATTTTAAGGTATAATCCTTAATTAAGGGATATTGGAGTCTCTGGGCTTTCGGCAATCAACAGAATATCGGCGTCGGGAGAATCAACAAGAGTGTTCCCTTGTAGTCCCTCCAGAAGTCTGGTACGAGATACCCCCGGAACCTTATTTTAAATAAAATTAAAGCCCCTATACTATATGAGGCTCCGATACTATATGAGGCTTTTGGAGTCCCAGGGCTTTGGGGGTTCAGGGTGTAGGGTTTTAGAGATTTGGGGGTTTAGGGCAAAATCCTGCGAGCTTCAGGGTACTGAAGCTGCAGTGGAATCCTGGATCTCCCAGTCGGTTTCTTTGGCCCTTTCCAGGACCCTCCTTGTACCCTCAAATAGGGGTATATGGTCCCAAATAAGGGGCATGTAGTGTCTAATAGAGGGTAGATGGAGGGTCTAGGTTTTGATTTGGGGTAGCGGGCTTTTCTCTGGAAGCCGATGAGACAAGATCTCAAACAAGGGCGTTGCAAGGGCTCTTTGAGGTTTCGCAAACGCTTCAGAAGAGCTTTAGAGGGCTTTCTCCAGCTGCTATTGAGGGCTGAAGAATTCTGATTGAGGAATTTAACCTATACAAGCTACCGTAATGGGTATTGACCTACAGCAGATAATTTGGCTGCTTCATTGCGGTAGCTTACGTAATCATTTCAAGCAACACCCCGGTTGCTTTTACCTCAGTCCTCAACCAACTGTATAGTAACCGCCCATGGTTTGCACCATCCCAGACTGCTTGAAACTTGAAACTGCTCCCGAGAACTGGCGAATCTCATGCTCAACGTGTCTATCAATGCCAGGAGTTCCGTCGTGCTGGTTTGAATTGGAAGTAGCACCGCCTGTTGTTCTGGTGCTTGAGGGGGGGCCGGCCTGGACAACCAGCGGTAGCCCGGCCAAGCTTTTCTTGCAAACAGACTTTTCAACATCCGGCAAGAAGGTAAGCAACCTTGCGGATCTTTTGCCCTACATCAAGCCACCCCTTGGCGCTAAGCTTGAACAAAATCCAGAACCAGCGCAGAAGGACAATCCTCACCTAAACCATTAGAGGTCATATACACCCCAAATCCCGAAACCCTAAACCCTAAACTCTGAACCCTAAACCCTAAACCCTAAACCCTAAACCCTAAGCCCTGAACACCAAACCCATAAATTCACCCAAAACCCAAGAGCGCTCCCAGGTCAACAATCTGTTTAAGACCGGCCCCTTCGACCAATATCCGACAGGCCGGAGACTACTCTTAGGGGTACTTAGAAATAGTTTTTAATTTTTGGTTATTATAATCCCTAAGAAATTGCTAAAATGAATTTTTGCTAGGGTTCTAAGTTCAGTATAGTACTATGGAGGCCTCAATAACCCTAAACCCTAAATCTCAATAATTCGGTAGTTCTTTAATTCAGGGAAACCCTAGGTCGCCAAGACAGTACTGCACCCGTATAAACAAGACCCTGCAAAAGGGACACCAATTTAGAGAGCGACCGAACTACCCTTTTTATATATTTGTACAAAGCAACCCACAAAGCTTCTTCTTCTATATTAGCAGGGTGAGGATTCAGGATTTTAGTTGCGCCTTGAGTTCTACAGGGTTGCGTATTTCTAGGCCTTGAGCTTAGGGTTTTGGGGGCTGACATTTTCCAGGATCTTCATTCTCACGTTAGATGCGGAGATGCCTTTGGAGACTCCACTAATGAGCAAGAGCTTTCCCTGTATGAAACCCTATACTCTCAAAACCTTGTCGATCTGGGGCAGGGCTTGCTTTGCAGCCACCCTAAACCCCAGAACCCTAAACCAGGGCTTGGTTTCAGCTACTTCTACGGCTTCATCGCCGGTGAGACGTCACAGTACGAGCCACGGCTGTTCGAGAACACCAACCCGCCACTCGGTCGACGTAAAAGGGGTCAGAGGTTAGAGGTTAATACAGGGGCCTTAATGATTACTGACTACCTATACTCTTTTGGGGGGGTTCCTTATGATATGTAAAGGGTTCAGAGGTTTTGTTTTATTATCACTTATAGGGCATTCTGATGCTAAGGCATGATGTCTAGGCTTTTTCCGTACTGGGTTTTGTTTCCTTTCTTGGCCACTTCCTCCAGAAGCTTCATCTAAAGCACAACGACCTAAACGGCAAATCCCAAGACTTAAGCCCTCAGCAGCAAACCCGAAACCACCCCAAGCCCTAAAGCCCTATACCCCCAACCTCCAGCCCTGATCCCCCCTGAACCCCAAACCCTAAACCCCGAACCCAAAACCTCAAACACTAATCCCCCCTAAGCCCTAAACCCTAAACCTCTAAAGGCCCTGAGTCCCGGTCACCCTAATCCCTAAACCTCCAAACCCTACGGTTGATGATAGAAATCCTGCATTACCCATAATAAGGACTATACCATAATTCCCATAGTTTAGGGTCCTTAGAGTAGTGCAGGATTTTTATCATCAACAGTCGCGAGGATCGAGCCTCCCTACACTGCGGAGCAGGGCTATCACCTCACTGAGGCTCAAGACTATGATGCGGCTTTAGGGCTTAGGATCTTAGGGTCTTAGGCTTTAGGGCTTAGGATCTTAGGGTCTTAGGCTTTAGGGCTTAGGATCTTAGGGTCTTAGGCTTTAGGGCTTAGGATCTTAGGGTCTTAGGCTTTAGGGCTTAGGATCTTAGGATCTTAGGGTCTTAGGGTTGAGGGTTTAGGGTTGAAGATCTTCGGGTCGTCGGCTTTAGGGCTTCGGGGTCTTTAACTTAGGGTTTTGGGGTCTTCTAGGCTATAGCAGGGTTTAGGACTTCAGGGTTTAGGATGCAGGGTTTCAGGTGAAAGTTTAGAGTCGGAAGGGCCTCCTTGGGGATTCTTGGGTTGATGGTTTGGGGTCTTAAACTTAGGGTTCGGGGTTTTGGGGCCCTTAGGGTTTAGGGTTTATGAAGATTAGGGTCTGCAAGGCCTCCTTGGGGATTCTTGGGTTCGTTGAAGGGCTAAGGGAAGGGTTTTTGTTCTGGTTCTTTGAGAGATCGTAGAGCTCAAAGCTTCCATGTTATAAGTTATAAGGGTTTTAAGCCTTGATAAATAGAGCAGTTTTTTGGGTCTATATTTTAGCCAATAGAATACCTGTATAAGAATGTTTGCGAGCACTACATTTTGGAGTGCGCCGTATTGTAACATATGAAGCTCCCACATGAAGGAGTTTGAGATGACTGCAGCAGTGGCGTGCACACCAGGTCACGTGACTGAGGCTTCTGACCGAACCTAGGACTGACAAAAGCCTTAGTCTAATTGGTAAGGCCCCTTGCTTGTGGAACTTTTTGTATTCCCCAAAGAACCCGTATAGACCCCTTAGATTGTAAAAGACACTGGGCTTAGGAAACCAAGGGTTCGTGTTTCACTGCAGAGCTTGAAGCTTGAGTTTAGGTACATATACACATACACATACATATGCACATATCTACCTACCTACACACATGCATGCATGCATCCATATATATATATATATATATATATATATATATGCATATATGCATATATGCGTACATACATGCCTACACACATACATGGAAATATGCATACGCACATACATACACATACTTAAACATACATACTTACGCAGTTACATTGACATACATATATGCCTACATGCATACATACACACATACATACATACATACATACATACATACACATACATACACAGTCATACACATACATACACATACATACACATACATACACATACATACACATACATACACATACATACACATACATACACATACATACACAAACATACAGATACATACACATACATACACATACATACACACACATGCACACACGCATACACATGTGTGTGTACATATATATATTATTTTGTGTGTATATATCTATATATATATATATATTATAGGTCTCTGTATGTATGTATGTACGTATGTATAAGGAGATTGTTTTGAGGTAAACTGCAGAGCTTGCAGGGATTTGGTTTTGATGGCTTGTGACCACCAGACTTCATCCCGGAAGCATCAGCAAAGGGGACAATTCTCAAAGGTGGGTTTAGGCTTTAGGGTTTAGTATGAAAACTTCGCAAGATTTTCCTGGGGTTCCATTGTTTTTTGAGGAAACAGGCTCCCAAACCCGAGTCCAGTTGTGGAGGCCTGACAGAAAACCGTTGCTCTGGAAGTTGTATAGCCTTCACAAGGGGTTGACCCTAGCCCGTGGCCAAGATTCCCCAAAACGACAACTCTCAAACCTTGACTCTCTAGAACCCCACCTAGACCCTAAACTTTTGAACCCAAAGCCTTTACCCTACACCCTAACCCCAAACCAAAGCCCTTCCATGGGAGGATCTCGCTGACCAAGCCATCAAGTTCATCCGCAACAACCGCGCTTTGACACCGGATCGGCCGCCTACCCTGCATAGCCCCTGAGCCCTAAACCCTACACCCTAGAGGAAGCTTAAAAAAGGGGAATCTTTGTCATAGTTGGGTAACAGGTTGCATTTCTATGGGTACTTAAGCCCATTACGAACTAGAAACTTAGATTCTGGTTCTATGCCAGCCATTGACTAGGACATGTAAAGATCTTCTGTATATGTTTAGTTCTTTCTTTGTACATGCAGGCTCCAGGTTGTCAACCCGGTAATATGGCATCTTAATGCCTTCTACAGGGGCCTTAAAAATTACCAATCTTTTTCCTAGGGTTCCTTATTACAGCTATAGGAAAATATGTCCCAACACCCTATTCTGATCATTTAGGCCCCTGATCCCCTATAGGCCCCTTTACAGGACCCCTTCAAGGGAGCCTTAGTCTCATTGTTAAGGCCCCTATAGTACCGCGCCCTATTCAACGTCAGTCAATGAAGGAATCAGCCTGTCAGTGAGCAAGGTTCAGGGTCTAGGGTTTAGGGGTTTAGGGTTTCCCAAGGGGGCATACTCTAAATGGGAGTGTCCGAAACGTAGGGGTACGGTATTTTGGGGTCCTCATTATTAAGGATACTACTATTTAGGGTATTGTGTTAGGGTCCCCTATTATCGGAAACTCCTAAATAGTTTTGGGGCTGACTTGCGCAATGTTCCCTGGGTGTTCGGATCTTGGTTCTCCATCTTGAACCTAGCCAAAGACTAGGACCTAGAGTAGGCCCTTATTCCCTTTTTTAGGGTTCAGGTTCCCTTATAAGCCCCTTTAAACCAAAAAGGGCACCCTTTTTATTCCTAGGCTACTCTTGGGTCTAGAAGAAGTGGCGCTATGGATTAGGGTTTAGGGGTTGTTTAGGAGTTCGGGGTGTAGTTGTTGTTTCGGAGTTCAGTTTCGGCCTTGGGGGTACGACCTAGCAGTAAAAAGTATTCCTGATTTGCTTAACTGCGAGGTACTGGCCCGCCTAAACGTCCAAGCCAACCAACCAACCTGCAAAAGCATCCAAAACGTAGTTGAAACCCAAACCCTAGGCCCGAAACTCTACGTGGTTCACAGCTATGAGCCCGAATAGGGCTGGCGCGTTCAGAAGAAAGGGCCGTCAACATAGTCAAAAAGAAAAACTCTAAGCCCTATCAAGCCGTGCTAGGAGACAGCGCTACACCCCTAAACCCTCAAACCTAAACGCTGGGCCCTAAACCCCGAACCCGCCTCCGATGCTGTCTGAGCTTTCAGGTCAAGTTTTGAGCCAGACAAACGGACGTCATCACAACTTAAACAGAAACCACACCCTGTATACCCTGAACCGTACGGTTTTAAGAGTTTGGGATTTCAGAGTTTTCGGGTTTTCCGAACCCTAAATCCTACACCAACCCGGTCTTTAAAGACCCCCGTAGAGCTCAGACGAGGCCTTTCTTTATCTACTTCGCCCCTGGCGGAACGCACGGTCCTCACCACGTCCACAGTGACGTGGACAAGGATTCGCCTAATTTCTAGATCTTCACGGTTTAGGGTTTAGGGCCCTAGCCCTAAACCCTAAACCCCTACTGTAGAGTCCTAGAGTGTACGGGTTTAGGGACCCTTGACCCCAAACCCTAGACCCGATAGGCTTTACGGTTTTGGGGCTAGGGTTTAGGGATATCCCAACCATCAGCCCTTCTGTTTACAGGGATTTAAGGGCTTAGAGTTGAGGGTCTAGAGTTTGGGTCCCATTTCTTCGTAATGTCCTTGGCAATAAGGCTTGAAGGGTTTTAGGATTTGGGGGTTTGGGCTTTTGGTATCGTTTCCTTTTGAATGTGCCGTAGCTTCTACTCATAGTTCATGCTTCCGAATGACCGTTCCACTTCACCAGGCGAGTGGGCCGACAAGTACAAGGGCAAGTTCGACATGGGCTGGGAGAAGCTCCGCAACATCACCTTCCAAAAGCAGACACTTGGTTTGGACCTGGTCCCCTGAACCTTGTTACGGTTTAGGGTTTAGGGTTAGGGTCTAGGGTTTACTTTTGGGGTTTTAGGGTTTAGGGTGTCGTGAGCACCCTAAACCTTAAACCCTAATCCGCAAAGCAGAGAAGCTTTGAACTCAGAGATACTATATGGGAGTCTCCGAAAATAGGGGACCCCTAATATAGTACCCTGAATAGTAGGATCCTTATCCTAAGGACCCCCCAAACAAGGTACCCCTAATTTTTCTCCTAAGCCTTGCCTAAACCCCAAGAGTCCTTTCGGCTCCGGGTGTTGGGTTTACGGCCCTTTTCTCGGTTTCCGGCATTTGTCATGAAAAAAAGGTGGGTTCTGAGGGTTTAGGGTTATGAGGGTAGAGGGTTTAGGGTTTAGGGTAATGAGGGCTTAGGGTGTAGGGTTATGAGGGTATAGGCTCTAGAGCTTAGGGTTATGAGGGTTTAGGGTTATGAGGTCTTTCGGCCGGAGTTGCTCTTGAACACTTGCAACAATGAGCACCACATGGTTGCCGAATTCCTGCACGTGCCCCGCCGACCTTTCCTCCATCGGGGCCTCAGGAACCAACTAGGTTTTCTTCTTTAAACATTGGGGTTTGGTCTCTGGCTCGGGTCTTGGGGTTTAGGGTTCTCATGTTCAAGATACAATACAAGGTTGGTAATTTAGGGTTTCGGACTAGCATACTAGGACCTGGGCCTCATGCAGGAACGGTGCTACAATTAGTTACTGTACCGCGACTCCAGTGTAATCTTCAACGCACCTCTAGTCTAAGCTTGTATCCAAGAAACCCGAAGCCAGAAACCCCAAACGCTGTACCCCAAACCCTAAACCCTAAACCGTACCCTAAACCCTAAACACGGTTTAGTGAGCTGTTGCGAAGAAACCTAGACGCTGAGCCCGCATACCCTAAGGCGGTCTTAGACCGAGCCGTCCTACGGCACTAAACCGTTATATAACCCCAAACCCTAAGTCCTAAACTCTCCTTTACCTGACATGAACCCATGCTGAAATCCTGTATAAGTCATACGCTGGTAACCCTGAGGTCAGTCCGAGATCCTACATCCTAAATGCTGAATGCTGCACATACCGGGACCCTGTTGTAGACCCTTCTTCCGAACGCCCGCCTCCTTTCAAGCGTTTCACCAGGACTCCTGTTACTTATTCATAACTTATTGAACCGAGAGTCCAGGCTGGCACGTGAGCTCGACTGCACGGTATACGTGGTCGACTGGAAGACCTTGCGAGGGAAGCCTCGGAAGTTGCAGCCGCTGCACATAGCCGGACAGACACAAGCGCATCCCGTCTTGCATCTGCTCGCAGGGCAAAAACCGGGGTCGACGTACTACACTGCCACGCCCTTGTGGCACAGCCCCAGCGCGCGGGCAATTTTGGAGGTTGCGCAGATGTGCAAGAAGCCTACAAGCGTTTGATCTTGCTGCTATCGCCCAGCACGACCAAGCCCTTTGCGGTGGCAGCACACGTAGAGGCCAGGCAAGACATGAACCACAAAGGGGTGCCTGTTACGGATGGCCAGAGCTAAGTCAGCCCCGAGGCGGCCAAGCAGCTGGGTTTCTTACCCCCCGAGGTGTCCCAGGACAAGCCGTGCCTTTGCTCTCATGGCAAGTGCGCGGTTTTCCGAAATTAGCTTCCGGACACTCGTGCCTCTGCAAAGGCATGCTCATGGTGAACACCTGGGTGTCCAAGGGCACGTGGTTGCGCGAACAGTGTCGCAAAGTGCAGTGGCCTTCCAGCCGCTTGATGCCAGGAAAAGGTACGTTGGAGATAGCAAAAGCAGGTTTTGCAGGAACGAATGTGTGCTCGCACAAGAATTTTGAAACAAACTGCATGCTGAGAACTCATGGATGCAACCGAAAAGACATCGCAGTTCAGATATTTCGCAGAGCTTGCACCGACCTCTGGCCACTAGTCCCTAGCAGCCGTGTGCTCCCAGCTGATGTGCACCAACACTGCTTGTCTAGGCCGCCCATCGCACGATGCCTTTCACACTGTGTGTTCCTCAGCAAACCGGAAATTGCTTTGGCATGGCTTATCAGTTCTGAACGGGTGTTTGGTCCCATCTCCTGTGCAGGACGCGAAGTCTGACTTGAAGGATTTGGCCACCTAAGAGGACAAAATCTTCAAGAAGCAGCCCCCTCTTCGCAGCTCGAAGCGGGGCCGCGGGAACGAGGAGCTGTCCGCACCTGAGCCATGACACCTGAGCATTAAATGCGTCAAGTTCGGTAGACGCAGGTGGAGACCCGCCACATTGCCCTGGAGGGCCGTGGCAAGCGGGTCCCCGTTAGGGTGTCCCGCCGCGTGCACAACGCCTCTCGCCGCAGGCTTGCTTGTGGGCATAGAGGGTTGCGATTGGAATGCGATTCAGGGTTCCTGCTTTCACGTAGAAGCCAGTGTTTAACAGGAGTCTCGCACGCTTGCTGCTTGCTCGGCTCCTCCATCCATTCACTCCACGAATCTCTTCCACATGCCCTGAGGACCACCAACGCCAAAGTTTAGGGAGCATTGAAAATTTAGGGCCGTAGGCTGTGCTTTCTATTTTACAGACTCCCGCCTTGTGGCTGCTTGCCGAACGCAGGGGGTGGGTGCAACACAAGCTGCGCAAGCTGCACTTCGAGGACAAACTTCGTGTGGAGAGCCCATGACCTATGTGTCGTTGTCGGGCATGCAGTCAGGCTTTGTTACCCTCCGCCATCCTGCGCCATCATCCAGAACCCATCGAGAACACCCGACGCCAACCCTCCCTCAAACCAGGACCTCCTCCAAAACCTTTTAAAACCAAAGCCCCAAAGCTTCATGAAATCGTAAATTGCTTTTCTATAGCCCGGCAACCTCCGATATGTGGCGGCGCACCTGCTGCACCAGCAAGAGGGTGCTGTCCAAGAGCGTTTTGTGTTGGGGTGTCCGATATGCGGCAGCTTGCGTCCTAACATAGCTGCAGGGTGAACCGCGGTTGTTTTAGTGATGTCCGATCTGCGGCAGCGCACATCCAACATAGCTGGAGGGTGAGTTGGAGTTCAGTGCCAAGAAGTCCTGTGCCGGTCACGGTGCAACCGACACTCCGGCCAAGTCTAGCGGCGAAGGCTCCTCCGATGGATCGGATGCACGGACATCTGCGCCGGCAAATATGCCTTGGCGGGACGAGAACGTCCTGAGAAGCGGAGCAAGGTGCCCGCAGCGGAGGAGGCGAAGCGGGCGAAGGCTTCCCTTCACTCGGACAGCGAGCCCGAGGCGGTAGATGAGGATCTTCCGGGCAGTGATGCCGAGGAGCAAGACGACGATCCGGAACCCTTCCCGGATGTGCATGCTTCCCTCCATTCGCAGTCAGATCAAACCTTTTGGAGCCCAAGCTCTTGGACGCTTTGCCTGCCAACCTCCAGAAGCCGCCTTGGTTGCATTGCTCCGTGCTGTCATGTTTGCGGTTGCAGAAGTGATTGCCGGAGTTACTCATTTGAAGCCCAGGGAAGGTTTGATTCAGCTCTTTACGATTTTGATCGCCGAAGACATCCGCACGCTCCCCGATGCTAAGGACATCATTGGCAGCAGGAATTTATGTTGCAGCCATGACAACACATTGTTTGTTGAGTGTGTCTCCATGTCCTGTCCATGTCTGTTCTGAGGTGATTTTGGAGAATCTTTGGGTAAGACATCCAAAGAGCATTTTGCTGTGTTGACCTTGAAGGGAAAGCGAGCACTTCGAAGCCGGCCTCAGGCTTTGCAGGAGCCGATTGGGTGTCCCATCCAAGGGTCCGGTCTGCATTTAACCTTAACTTCAACGGGTCTGCGCTCCTACACCCGAAACAGACTTGAGCCTTACATCCCACAGCCTAAGCATTCCCGAATTCAACACCGGAGAAACATGTTAAGATGCTTCAGAAAAGACTTACACTACACCCACCTTCCTTGACAAAGAGCACAAGCGAAGGGGTCTTCCCACCTGAAGGACACTTAAAACCTAAACATTACCCTAAACCGTGAAGCCCCACACAAACTCCGCACACCAATCTCCACAGAGCTTACGTACAATGTCGAAATAGACCATTTGGCCTAGATTGACACTGTTGCCACCTATTTTTCAACTCAACAATTGCCTTAACCCGAAACTTCGACGGCCCTAAACCCCAAACCCTGAACCGTAAGCCCTAAACCCCAAACCCTAAACCCTAAGCCTTAAACCCTAATTAACGGCCCCAAGCCTTAAACCCTAAGCTCTAAGGAAGGCGATGGGATGGATTCCCAGCTCCACAGCGCCTCGGCTGCACCAAACTGCCTGTTTCTTTTGAAGGTCTTAGTCGAAGAATAGGTAACCTTCGCCTTCTTCCGGGGTTACTATTTAGGGTAGGTAACCTTGAACCCCTTGGGGTACTATAATCCCTGCAAAAAAAAATTCCACAGGTTAACCTCTGGTTCCCTGACTTACGGGACACGTAAGAGGGCCTTCGGAGTTGATCAGGATGTTGTTTGAGATCGGCTTCACAAGCTTTTCCCGTTTGGTTCAATATTTTTTTCAACCTTGGGGGGTTCCTTAAAGGGTTCTTTAGGGGGTTCGTTAAAGGGTTCCTTTGGGGCCTTCATTCCTTTGTCAAGGCCGTCTGGAGTCGGTACTAGTAGCCGAGAAGCGATGGGTTTGCAAGGGTGTAGGTGCTAGTACTTAGGGGTACTTAGATTTTTTTTGATTTTGGTTAATATAATCCCTAAGAAACCTCTAACAATACAATTTTTGCTAGGGGTATTCAGAAGTATTTTGTATCTTTGGTGATTATAACCGCTAAGAAGCAGCTAAAATTCAATTTTTGCGAGGGGTCTAAGTTCAGTATAGAGTATATAAACCCTAAACCCTACACTGCTGCAGTTGAGGGTTTCGTGGTGTAACGATCACGGTTTAGAATTCAGGGTTGTCGCTTTGACCCTTCCGTGGGCTACTCAACAAACTTGTTTTGTCTAGGTGCTGGGCCATTTTGGTCCGCTTGCCAATGCGCGTCAAGTTCCCTCCGGTAGTAAGGATGTCTATCAGGTTCCGATCATTCAGGCCCTTTTGATCAAAATCACTACTATTGCTATGACTATTATTATCGCTGTTGTTTTTAATACGGTTGTAATTAAGCTACAAGTAATTACTGCTTGTATGATTGTTCAAGTCCTGGTTGGTCCGATGTGGGGATGCGTTTGAAGTTCAGCCTTCCGGTTTGCCCGGTATCGGTTCGGTCGCAATGATATTCTTTTGTCTATCTTCTTTTAGAGGTTCGTTTTCGCCAGTACTCTTAGGGGCCTGTAAGCCAACCCAATTCAGGGTCTCCCTTGCACCCAGTTCTTCTACAAGCGGACTTTAATGTTACGTGAGTTGTTCACTGCACCAAACTCCGGAGGCTAAACTGACTTTCCCCAAAGTGCCGGACATGAATGTAAAGGGCTTCGTGTCGTGGACGCCAAAACACCCCACTCTGAACCATTGAGGCCGCAAACCCTCAGCCCTAAACTCCAAAGCCTGAAGCCCCCAAACCCTAAATTTTCGGCCCTGGGCCCTTAAACCCCGAACTCTAAACTCTCAACCCCTAGACCCTAAAACCCCTAAACCCTCAAACCAACAAACTCTCAACCCTAAGCCCCCAAGCTGAAACCCAAGAGCGAAGCAGTAACAACTTGGAGCTTACCAGGAGCTGACGGCCATTGATCCCACAATGCAGAAGTGCTTCTGCCGCAATGACTCTTTTCTTTGCGGGGTGTTGGCTACGGTTGAAGCTGTTTGTCTGGTGATTAACTCTATTATTGCCTTAGTCGGGTTTAGAGTTTAGGGTCCTTGTTTCCTCGAAGTAGTGGCCCCACCGACCTAGCACGACATGGCAGTACATGTCGTTAGCTTTTTATGGGAGGACCTTTTAGCAATAACAGCCCCTCTCATTCAACGATCCTAGCCCTTAAGCCCCTGAAGCCTTAAGCCCTAAACGCTAAACCCTAAACCCTAACCCGCAAACCCTAAAACCCTAAAACCTAAGTCTAAAGCCATCCCATGAAGCCTTCTAGGTGGGAGGACATCCCCGAATCAGAGAAGGCCTTCCAGCTGCGTCTCGTTGAGGCTGGGCCGTTGAATGAGGAAGTGTTAACGTAGGGGCCTTAATGATCTGAGTGGGGTTCCTTTAAAAGGGGTCTATAGGGGATCAATAATAGGGTTCTCCATGAGGGGCCGTAATAACTAGAACAGGGTTTTGAGGTTTGAGGGTTCCTTATTATGAGCATAGTGCAACATGCCCCCAGCCCCTATTCTAATCATTAGCCTTATTGAGGCCCCTATATACATTACGGTATCAATCTAGGAGTTTGGGGTTCGGATTGATGAGTTTGGGGTTCGGTGGGGTGTAGGCTTTAGGAGCTGTGGGTTAGGATTGGATTCGGGGTTTAGGGGTTCAGGGTTTAGCCCTAAACCCTAAATCCTAAATCCTAAACCCTAAGATGTAGGGCTTAGGATTTGGATTTTCTGGGTTTAGACAGTCAGTTTGGGATAATCGAATGCTTAGCAAACTGCTACTCCTGGAGAGTTGTGGGGGGTTACCTTCAGGCTACGACTAAGGGCTACTACAAGGGCTACGATGATGAGGGTTGTTACTGTAAGGGATACAAAAAAGGGTACTATCAGGGATACTTTTAGTTTTAGGATATCAGTTGTTTGTCTGCTGCAGGTGTATGCCGGCTATCTCGAGCATACGGATACGCAGGATGGCAAGGTCATCGAGGACTGCTATAGTAGAAGCCCAAGAGTTGAAACCCAATAGCCTCAATCCTTAAGACTATGGTTTAGGGAATCCCAGCACTATTTGCCCTTAATCCGTTTTCCAACTTTTTGTGTTTGCTGTAATGCAGCTGCAGCTTTCGGGCTGTTCTGGTTGAAGGCGAGGTTCACGGCTTAGTAAGAGCCATCAGGTCGCGTAAGCCACAGGGATCCTTAGGGGGGTAGGGGGAGGGGGGGTACTCATTAAGACCTTATGATAGGTATTCAGGCCACGTACCCCCCTCCAACCGACCCCCCTGATGAGTTAGAGTAACTGGAGTATTGGGCCTTCAAGAGGCAGACATTCCATGTGGGCAGTATGAAGAGTTTATTGCCTCAGTGAGGCACTACAGCCGACCCACTAGTAGTGGAGCAGTCGGTGCCTACACCGGAGTTTTGCGACTTGCTGAAAACTAAGGACGTCCAAGTGAAATATCCGGAAGGGGAGAACAGTACCAGGTGCCAAACAACATCGGCACAGTGGATGTTCGTCGGCGCATCCAAGAATCTCGCCAACTACTTGACTGACTAGAAGAAGCGCAAGAAAGCCTGCAGACAGGCTCGATTCGAGTCGTAGCGGTCAAGGCTCGCCTGATGTTCCTCGCACCGAATGTCCACGCCGCGGCGGTCCGTCTGAGCTTAGATGATATGGCGTGGGAGCGCGAATCAGTTTCGTGCCTCTGGGGAAGTGGCAACAGCCGGCAAGACTTGGCATGGATCCGACGGGCGCTACTCGTTAGTTTGATGTCGCAAGGCAGTCAGGTCTGGAGCGGTGCTTGGGCCACCTAGATGGGAGGCATGACAACATGACTTTTTTCCAGAGTGTGGTGTGGGATGCATGTGTACTGGCTTCCTTCAAGGTAGCACGCAAGCCCAAACCACAACCCCCAAACCCTAAACCTTAAACCCAAACCCTATAACCTTACACCCTAAACCTGGAACGCTGGAGCCTCGATCTTAAGTAGCCAAGGGTTCAGGTTTGAGGGTTTAAGGCCTCAGAAATTCTGCACAAGTCAATACAGCAGCATACAAAACTTTACCAAACCATATCCACGATTTCGGGTTTACATTTCGGGTCTAAGGTAAGAGAGCCCGGCGAAGCCTTCTTAAAACCCGTGGAGAACAGCATGTAACACACACTGGCCAGACCCTGATCAAAGCCTCAATCTTATCTTGGGTTAGTAGGGAATGGGGTACAATTATAACGACTATTACTGCCATTCCTCCATTCCCTACTAACCAAAGGCAAGCAATGAGCCCTCTTCGAAAACAACAATGACAACCCTTCGCTTCCACGCTCCCTAAACCCTTACATGGGAGTTTCCGAAGGCGAGTACCCTAAACAGTAGGATCCTTATTAGAAGGACTAAGGACCCCTAAATAAGGTACCCCTAATTTTCGGAAACCCTTACATAAACCCCTAAGTTAAGCCCCTAGGCCCCTAAGCCCTGCAACCCTGTCACCCTAAACCCTAAACTTAAGCCCTAAGCCCTTAAACATGTAGACTCCAGACTCTTAAGCCCTGAAACCCTTAGGCCCTTAAGCCCTTGAAGCCTGCAAAAATCTACAAAAACCTAACCTCTAGACTCTAAGCTCTAACATCCTAACCCCTAAACCCTAGAACCCTATAGGCCCTAAACCCTAAAACCCTAGGTCCTAAACCCCCCCCCACCCCCGCGTCCCGGGAAGCTTCAGGAGCTGGAGCGCCAAGGGCTTTTCAACAACACTTTGGCTGCTGGGCTGCCGGATTTTCCAGGGTTATGGAGGGTCTAAGATTTACAAGGGTTTAAAAGGATCCATAGGGCTTTCCTTTAAATGGATCCATGAGGGGATCTGTAGGGTTTAGGGGCTTAGGGGTTTAGGGTTAAGGGTTTTCTTAGTTTAGGGTTTCGGGCGTAGGGTGTAGTTTTTAAAGTTGGGAGCTTTCTTATTCTTAAAGTTTTGGTGCTCGGGTTTCACAGAGGCAGAGGGGCCTGAAAGAGCTCCATCAGGGCTCTTTTCAGGTTCTATAAAGGGGGCTAACAGAGGGATCTGAATAATTCGTAATGATACGGCGCTGGGTTTCTTACGACTTGCGACTAGAAGAATTTCGGATTCAAGGTTCAGGGTTTTGGAGGGGGTGTCGGCCGTTATTTTTAGTACAGGGGCACCTGGTTTCCCACAGTCATACAAATCGTTCCCCAGTACAAGGCCCTGAATAACTCTGCCGCCGCCAGTCGGCCCTGTCACTTCATCTGCCCTGGCGTTTGTAATGCCCTCGGTCCGGCTCGGGAGTGGCTTAGAGCAACGGGCTTCGAGTTCAAGAGTTTCGGTTTTCGCACTCCAGGCGGATGAGTTTCACCAGAATTTATATGCATAGGCGAGCGCTGGAATTGAGCTCTACCGCAGCGAATGGAAAAATGGATTGGGTTTGGGGTTTTTATTGTATAATTACCACAAGGAACCCTAGGAAATAATTCTGGTATGTCTTTGGACCTCTTGCAGGGGCACCTTATAGCAAGGATCCTCATTTAAATGATTTTGACATTGCAGGTTTGCTATCGAATCAGTTTCTGGGCAAGCCCAGGTGATCTACATCCTTGGTGACAACGGAGCCTCTGCCGAAGGTCAGCATGGCCCCTTGGGCTTACTGCTTATGCTATATAGGTCGGACGATGTTTGTGTTGGTAACTACACTTTACTATAGTCTCCTTAGGATTGGTTGTTCATGTTAAAACCCAAGAGAATATTATTTTTTCATTGTGGTTCTAAGGGGTTTAGTTTAGAGATTCTAAACTATTCGCCTGAGACTAAGCCGTGCTTCAAGCCGGTAGTTCTCAAGAAACGCCCGCTGGAATCGAACAACGCAACCTTCAATTTAACCCGGGACCCCAATCCCTAAAGTCTAAACCCTAAACCCCATGCAGACCGAAAAGGAGCCGTCCAAAACGAGAAAACCCCCAACCCTAAACCCCAAACCTTATGGCCCGAAAGCCTAAAGCCTAACCCGTAAGCCCTAAACCCTAATTCCTAAACCCTATATCATTGCACTATAAAAAAAACCCTATATAACGCCCTAAAGCTTCAATGCCCTGAACCCGAAATCCCTCACCCTAAACCCTAAGAGCCCTAAAGCCCAAGCCCCGGCGACCCTTCAGCCCACGTCTCACTCCAAAGCGGGCTCAGGGGGTTGAGGGCTTAGAGTTCCTTAAAGGGATCTATAGAGATTCCTTTCAAGGGATCCGTAAGGGATCTATAGGTCTATAGGGTTTAGGGGTTTAGGGGTTAGGCGGTGCAGTGTTTAGGGTTTTGGGGGTATTGGGGGTTTAGAGTTGAGGGGTTTATGGTTTGGGGTAAGAATTTCCTTAACTCCTATCTGATAAAGGCGTTTTATTGCGGATCTTCATACCAGGGCCTTTTAAGAAAAGGTGTTATTCATCCAGGTCTACATTACGCTTAGAATTGCCCTACTTGGCTGTATACATAACGAACCAGGTCTCTGGCTACTTTAGCTTGTGTGCTCCTTTAGGGCGACCTGTGAACCTGCAGCCCCAAACGGTTTAGGGTTTAGGGACTAGCGTTTAGGGCTTTAGGGTTTAGGGTCAGGGGTTTACCAAACATCACACCCCAAATCAACCACCCAACCTGCTAAATCGCCCGCCTTAACGCAATAAGCCCGACACCCTACACCCCAGGCACCCGCGACCCTAAACCCTCACCCCAAACCTCAAACCCTGAAGCCCTTGACTGAAACCCGAGCGCATCTAAATTACTAACCTCCAAAGCCCTAAAAGGTCTTACAAAGCCTTAAACATGAAAGACCCGAAAAGACTAAACTTGGACCCCAAAGCCCAGACCCTGAACTTAATCCCTCAGACGTTAAAACTCTACTTGGAGGTTCAAAGTGTTATTATAAGCAGGGTAACTATACTTATAACTTATGACCCATACAAGGCGACTTATAACCCCACTTATAACCACCCCTGAACCGCCAAGTACACCTTGAAAGCTCCGAAACCCTTAACCCTAAAACTAAGCCCTGAATCCTAAAAACTAAACCCAAACCGTCAAAGCGCCAAAGGCACCATCGACGAGCTCATCGCAGAGAACGGGCTGCCAAGCACTGCGGAGCTTCAAATCGAGGACTTCAAGGGTTTAGGGTTTAGGGTTCATTTTTTATGGTTTAGGGTTTAGGGTTAACAGCTTTGTGAAGTTACCCGAAGTACTTGGGGTGCTTTAGGGGTTTCTGAATGTTTAGGTGTTTTTTACAGGTCGCTATACGTAGGTGTTCATGCAGGGTCCGAAGGGGTTTGTATGGCTTTATGGCGTTTTATAGGGTTTCGTTATAGGGCTTTATTCAACTGTACAGGGAGCATTTAGCCAAGCCCACGAAGCCCGGGCCCAAACCTCAAACCCAACAGCGCCCTGCCTCGATTTATATGGGGGTTTCTGAAAATAGGGGTACCTTATTTAGGGGTCCTTATAATAAGGATCCTACTGTTTAGGGTATTATGTTAGGGTCCCCTATTTTCGGAAACTCTCATATGATAATATATTCCGAAATCAACTTGGCACTTAACAACACTTCAGGCCCTTTCGCTTAAAAAACACAGCCCTCGAGGCCAAAATGCTGACAATTCGAAGGCCCAGGGGTAGTTATCAGCAACCGGATTGCAAATCAGGCAGCTGTTGTGCCTAGCCTGCGGTTTCGGATGTTTGGTCACGCGTGTTTGAGTTTAGGGGCTTCCCCGAAGCACAAAGAAACCCTAAACCCAAAAAGGAACCGCATATCAGCCTGGTGTCCCCTGTTGGTGCAGGTCTTGAACCGGGATTTCGGCGGACTGGATGCTCTGGGCTCCAAGCATCATGGCTACCGTAACCCCAAATAACCTACCTTTTCAAGGATTTATGTCAAGAAATCAAAGTAGGGAACCTAAAGAAGGTAGGTTCCTCAGGGTCCAGGTAGACAAGTAGGCACAACGCAGAAGACAACGCATTGTTCTTCACCATGAAAGTCGTAAACCCTGAGCCCTGAAGCCCCAAAACGACCAGACCCCCAAATGCTAAACCAAATTCAAGCCCTAAGCCCTGAAGCCCTAGACCCGTAAACTCCTGGTGCGATCTTCCAGCTTCTTCAGAATAATTGTTTCGTAAGGTTTCACTGGCGTGTTACTACAGCGGCCACAATTAGCTCAGAAATAGGATCGGATGCTGTGTGTGCCCTTAAGGCACGACGGTTTTCGGGTGTGGGTGTAGTGGCGTGAGCAACCGACTGTAGTGGTTCGAGCTGCATGGCTAAGTCGGGTTTGTAGGATCACCCAAAGGGGCTCAAATTTCGTATGTATATATATATATATGTATATGTATATGTACATACTTTTTATGAGGGCAAATGTGTGTTTGTCTGTGGAGCGCTTGGGGTTTGCGGCTTTGATGCCCAACGCCAACAGATTCCAAAATCAAATTGGTCTTGGTGGTGGGCTGGCATGCTTCCGGAATTCTGTATCCCGGACTGGGATTGAGTTTCCGGGCCGGGGGTGTGTTTCCGGGAATCAGTTTCCGGCTCGCTCCCTTGCAATTTCGTTCCGTAGCAGCCGCATCCCCGCCAAAGCAGCCACGGAACTAATATCAACCGAGCGGAAGCAAACAGCAAAACCCACCCAAAACCTGCCCAAACCCGCCCAAAGCTGCACAAAACCGCACAAACGACATCAGGACTTGAACCAGAAAGAATTCTCTAAACCCGACCTTAACCCCAAATAACCTACCTGTTTAGGGACTTATAGCAAGAATTCATATTAGGGAACCCTAAAAAAGGTAGGTTCCTTGGGGTCCCGGTAGACACTTAGGCACAGCAGAAGACAACGCAGAGTCCCTAGCCCTGACAGCCGCAAACCTGAAGCCCTAAAGCCCTCAAACGACCAGACCCCCAAAATGCTAAACCCTATAAACCCTATAAACCCAATAAACCCTATAAACCCAATAAACCTTATAAACCCTATAAACCCTATAAACCCAATAAGCCCTAAAAGCCCTATAAGCCCTATAAACCCTATAAACCCTATAAACCCTAAAAACCCTAAAGCCCAAAAAGGCACGTGGACAACATGTACCATAGCTCCTGGGCATGGGCTCTGGACACGCCGTTCAAGCCACTCAGCTCGAGGGGGTGGGGGGCCCTTAAGGGATCCTTGCGGGGGCTTAGGGTTCGGGGTTTAGAGTTTAGGGGTTTAGGGTTTAGGGTTGAAGGGTACCTTTAAGGGATCCTTCAAGAAGGGTACCTTTCAGGGAACCTTGACATGTACCTCTAAGGGTACGTTTAAGGAGGGTTAGGGTACCTTTCAGGCTACCTTGAAGTGTAGTTTAGGGTACCTTTAAGGATACCTTGGAGTGTATCTTGCAGGGTACCGAATGGCACCTTAAGGCCTTCTATAAGAGTTCGATTGGAGGGTGGGTCCGTTGTGGTAGGGTCTGTAGGACTTTAGCGGTAAATATCCAGGTCCCGATATTGCGCTTCATTTTTGCCTGCAGTCAGCTTCAAACACAGAGCCTGTTCTTTTCGTTTTGGCCGCCTCTTCTGTCCCGTTGAGGCCTTAGACCCAACCTAAACCCTAAACCCGAAAGCTCTTAGCCTGAAGACTCAAACCCTAAGACCCTGCACCCTAAGTTCTTCACCCTCAGCCCCTATACCCTACCCAGAGGCCCGAATATATAATGGCAGCGCTACTAGTAATCATAATCACCACAGTCATAATGATCATCATCATAAACAGGATAGTCATGAATGTGACCATAATCTTAATCATGATAGTCACGACTGATAATAATAATAAGAAGAATTAATCACCATGTTCATAATGATCATAATCTTACTAATGAGAGTCGCGAATGATCGTAGGGCGAAGAATTCGAAATAGTCTCCCTGGCAAAAGCTTTTCCTTTGTTTGCTTGTGCAGTTTTGTTCGCTTCGGGTGTTGGCTGCTCCGGCACTTGGAGGTTCATTGGGTACTTATAAGTAGGGTTAGAAGTAGGGTAACTATACTTAGAACCTATATTAGGGGACTTGTAACCCCTCTTATAACTACCCCTGAACCTCCATGTACAGTCACCCAAAAGCCGGACCTCGCCACCACAAGCCTTGAAGGCTCAACTCAAAACCCCCAGGCCCCCTTCTCAGCCCTGCATCCCAGAAATACCCGCCAAACCCGAGTTCCTAAACCCCAAGCCTTACCCCCCGAATCCTTACACCTCCTAGCGTCGAGGAGCACAAAGTTGGTCGCTGCTCACTTCGGCGGCACAAGAGCCTCGGCAAGCTGTGGAAGAGATGGCTTTATGGGTTTCAGGCTTCAGGGGTTGGAGGGGCTAAGCTTGATTGTAAACAATCAGGGTTGCGAGTTCTTATGGCAGTGTTCAGGGCCTTAGGTTTTAGAGGTGTCTGTGGAGATTTTGGCCTCGAGGATTGTAGTTGGGGGTTTGAGGTTCAGAGTCCAAGAGCACGTGAGGTTTTTGGTGCGTTTAGGAGTGTAGGCTTGCCTGCTGGCGGCTCAGGGTGGGCCAATCAGGTTGGAGGATGTGTGTTTGGGGGCTCTTAGGCGCTAGGGTTCAGGGTTGAAGGGTTTAGGGTTTGGGGTTTTGTTTATGGATCAGGCTTTCGGGTTAGGGGCCTTAGAATCTAGAAAAGCCTCAACAACATCCAACCCAACTTGGAAAGAGAAGCATCAGTCTGCAGCGTGAAGAAGTTATATAGTTTGTGCGGCCCATAGGATAACCCCAAACCCCAAACCCCAAAGCCCTACACCCCTGTACTTGACCCTAAACCGCTAAACCTCCAAAGCCCTAAACACTAAGCCCCTTAACCCTTGACCCCTTGAGCCCTAAACCCTGACCTTAAACTGCCTAAGCTCTATGCACTAAACCCTTTGACCCCCAAACCCCCATAGAGTCCATTCGCCGAGGAACTCCGCTGGTTATGTCCTGGCCAAACGTCATCAAGCATGACCCTGGGTCGTAAGATAAAGCTGGGGTCCTTCTCGGATTTTTATGGGGTGATATTATAGGTGCTTGAACAACTACCAACATTATTCGCCAAGGCTTCGTTAATGTAACCATACCATCGTCTTGGGACGAATGCTGCTTTAGCTCAGGAAGAGCTACTTGGAGGGTCGGGGGACTTAGTAAGTAGGTAGTACGTAGACTTAAAAGTACCCTAAAAGGGACCCTAGTTGGGGTTATGGTACTTATAAGTCCCTAAAATAAACAGTGACTAAGTCCCCCGACCCTCCAAGTATCGTCTTCCAGGTTTAGGAGGAATGAGGGTTTGGGCCTTAGGGTTTGGGGTTTACAACTCCGGGGTTTGGGGCCATTGTCATATTCTCCGAAGACCCGGAGTAAGCCCTTATTCCCTTTTTTTAGGCTTCAGGTTCCCTTAACACCATTTAAACCAAAAAGGGGCACCCTTCTCATATATTCCTAGGTTTCTCTGGTCTAGTAAGGGAGGGTGGTTACTATAGAACCCGCCAGAGCAAGCTCCAGGCCTTGCAGGTATGTGGCATGTGGCCTCTACCGGAACCCTAAGGAACCTGCCCTTCTTAGGGTTTTCTAATATGATTCTTTATATATGTCTTTAAAAGGTGGGTCATTTGGGGTTAAGGCAAGGGGTCCTTGTTTGGGTAGGTTAAGGTACAGCCTGAACTTTGAACCTTTAGTATTAGCCTCTAACCCGAAAAACTCCTTCTCGATGCTTGGGACACGGTTGGTGAATTCTCAGAGACTCCAACATCCCTTAATTAAGGAATATTCCTTAAATCATATAAGAGATCCTATTATAATAGTTAAGGTATATCCCTTGATTAAGGGAGATTCCTTAAATCATATAAGGGGTCCGCTTGTAATTTAAGGTAGATTCCTTAATTAAGGGATCCTAGGAGCAAAGAACCCTAAACCCTAAACCCTAAACCCTAAACCCTTAATTAAGGGATGTTAGAATCCCCTAAACCCTAAACCCTAAACCCTAAACCCTTAATTAAGGGATATTGGAGCCTCTGGGAAGTCAGAGATGAGCTCAGACCGGGGCCTTTTTTTCGCTGCAAAGCTCCTGGTGTAGAGTGATGCCATTTTGGGGGAGTTTCCGAAAAGTAGGGGTACCTTAAAGGGATCTATACAGGCTCCGTAAAGGGATCTCTAAGGGTTCTATACAGGGTTTAGGGTTTAGGGTTTCCGAAAATTTTGGGTACCTTACAGTATTTTGGGGTCCTTATAATGAGGATCCTACTATTTAGGGTACTACATTCGGGCCCCCTATTTTTGAAAGCTTCCATATCAACGCAGGGCTGAGTGGCTTAGGGTTTGAGGCTAAAGAACGGTTCAGGGGTTTAGGATTTGGATTGAGGTTTGAGCTTTAGGATTTCTAGATGTGGTGTAATAAGGATGGGTAGATCGAGCGGTGCTTGAAGTGCCGAAGCCTAACCTCTGAAACACTTAGGCGGAACTGACCCTTGAAACCTAATCCCCAAATTACTAAATCCTGAACCCCCTACCCCTGAATCCCTAAACGTTTTGGCTCAGTGGGACCTACTTGAAGCAGAAGCCGCGCTAGGATTCAACTCCGCGATCCCAATTCCACCATGTCTGCGACATCGTGCCAACAATCTACGAGGCAGGGTTTGAAGGTTTTAAACCCGAGACCCTAAACCCCTAAATCATAAACAAACCCTAAACCCCTAAACCCTAAACCCTACAGACCTATAGATCCCTTATGGATCCCTTGAAAGAAATCCCTATAGATCCCTTTAAGGAACCCTAAGCCCTAGCTAACCCCTAAATTCCCTAAACCCTACACCCCAGGGTTGAGGGGCCTAGAGGATGAGGGGTCTTACAGCAAAACCCATAAAGTTGGGGATCTAAGGTCGATCCCTTACAGGAACCCTTGTAGATCCCTTTAAAGGAACCCTATAGAACCCCTGTAGAACGTAAGGGTCCCTTTAGAGGTGAGGTTTTGGGGATCTAGGGCAAACCCTGGAAAGTTGGAAACTGGATTAAGGCCAAATAGTGCTGGGATTCCCTATACATTACTCTTAAGGATGGAGGCTCTGGGGTTTCTAACTTTTGGGCTTCTACTGTAGAGTTCAGGTGTCTAGATTTACGGAAACGAGCCTCGAGTGGCTTTTACAGACAGTCTCCACGGTTTCCAGAGTCTTACAGGCTTTAAGGTTCGGCGATTTTGTTTGCTTAGATAGCGAACGGGGGAACTTTAAACTTTTTGGCCGTATATATTAGCTCTATCTTAGAAAGTTTGAACTTTTTGGGGCCCGGTTGTTGAAGAAGAGGGTTCGGGGGTTTCGGTGTCGCGGATTAGGTTTGGGGCCTTGGGGTGTACGTTTAGGGTGTAGGAGCTGGAGCAACAAGTGGATGTCTGAGCTTGTGGCGGTGATATGATATCCCTTTATCGTGCTTCTTCCAGTATGGTAGATTCCCTTTTTGTAGTCCCAGATTCCTTAGTAAGGTGCCCAATACCAAAAAGGGAGCCCGTTTTATTCCTAGGTTACTGGGCATCCTAGGTAGGATATGTTCCAAGACCCTGTTCTAGTGTTTATGGACCCTACATATGGTCGCACGCCGTGCGGTCTCTCGCCCCGCCCCCCGCTGAAACTTGAAGCCTCAACATGCAGCCCACGGCACCCAACCATTCCACAAGGGGAACACCACAGTTCGAAGCTTGCTGCAATGGTTTAATGCTTCTTTTGCACCTCTTGCCTAAAGGAGCCAGAATGAAATATGAGTTTATGCCTTTTTTCTCCATGGTTACTCCAAGGCCCAAAATTATATCTTGGATTCTGACCCTACCCTGTAGCATATATATATATATATATATAAACAATAGAAATATATTATTAAGAAATCTTAATATTCATGCCAACAGTAATGATGACCTTATGATGACACATAATACCGACTGTCACAGGGTGGAGACAGTACCCAAGTTATGTCAGGGTATGGCTTCGATTGAACTCAAGTTCGCGCAGAAGCAAATCAACCTTTTGCGCCGGTCTCGAAACTCAACCTGGTCTTTGCTAGGTTTAATGCTAGGTATCGATTTGGGGTAATTTTTTCTTTCCCTTATTGGTGGTAGTATAGATCCCTGGCTATAAATAATTTTGGGGGTTCTTGACATCGGCACCTAGTTTGGCATTTCGGGTGATTTAGGGCTTGACTGCTTTGCAGATGGGTTCCTCAAGCCTCAGGTGATTTTAGATCCTGCGTATGGTGCTGGGCTGGCTTTGGGTGTGAGAAGCAACCCTCAAGTTCGCTAGACCTCCCAAAGACCACCTCACTAGTCCAAGATGGGCACCATACATATGGGGTCGGGTCATACGCTACCCCCATTTTCGGGTATGTAGTTTAATGGATAGGATCTGGAAGTGTAGGTACCGGTTATTATGGGTGCCGGACGGTTGATTCTTGGAACCTTATACTGCACCCTCAACCCAAAACCCTAAGCCCTTAACCTGAAGCCTTATTTTGGAACCTTATATTCTAACCTTAGAGCCTAAACTCTAAACCCTCAGCGCTAATAAGGCCTAAGCCCTAAACCCCAAGCCGAAGCTAAATCCACATGAGACTCCCCCAAAAGGGTCCAAAGTACCTACATGGTAGAATGTAGGATTTCTATATCAGGAATTACTTTTACGATTTGGGGAAGTCAGAATTTTCATAAAGGAACCCTAAGCCTCGTAAAGGAACCCTAAACCCCCTAACGGAACCTTAAACCCTTGGGAAGTATCCCCCATAACAGTACCTAGGACCATTTGATCCCATTTGCCATCCATCAGGCGATTGGTATCAAGGTGCCAGAGCATGTGGAAGGCACGGCCCAGTGACGGAGCTGCGCTTACTGGACCTTGCTACTCTAGAAACTTCCAGGGTTTTGGGTTTAGGGTTATGGGGTTCCTGTAAGGGTTCCTTGACGGGTTCTATAGGGTTTAGGGGTAGTTCTAAGTGGGGTTGTAAGTCCCCCTATATGGGTTATAAGTACAGTTACCCTCTTATAACCCGACTTAAAAGAACCCATGAACCTCAAAGTACTGTTTGCGGCCTTGGGGTTTGGGATTTTGTCAATTCTCAGAGTCCTTTCTTTGCCTCACGCTTGAGGTTATGGTTTCTGGAACTTGAAGATGGCTTGACTATAGCATGGGGCCCGAGAGACTAGTATGTGGCTCTGGGGAAGACCATGCTACTTACATAAACTTATACTATACCTTAACCCAACCTTCCTTTTTAGGAACTTATATAAAGAAATCATATTACGGGGGCCCTAAAAAGGAAGGTTCCGTAGGGTCCAGGTACTCCCAAACCCAATTCAAAGACCAAGGCCCCTATCCTGGCCTGGCCTCTGCACATTAAAGTCGTTGAGATCTGACTTCAACCCCATACTCACCAACCCTGAGCAACTCAAGCCTTTCAGACCTAAATCTGTTACGTCATAACATACACCAGGGCCCTAGTCTAAATATTCTTGTCCCTGGCGTAGTGGTAGAGTAGCTATCCTGCAACATTTTGGTGGTATCAGGACCCCGAGATCATCCCAAAGTCTAGTTCCCCTAGGACACTGGACAAAGAAGTTGAAGCCCTGATCCTGGAAGCCCTGCACCCCAAACCCCAAACCCCATCTTATTCTTATCCTTCGAGCCCAAGGATCCCAAACCCCGTAGTCCTCAGGGGTACTTATAAAGATCTTCTAATATTTTGTTCCTTTAATCCTTAAGAAACAGCTGAAATTCCAACTTTTACCGGGAGTCTAAGTACAGTAAAGCCCCTATCCCTAAACCCTAAAGCCCTAAGCCCTAAACCCTAATCCTATCCTTGGAGCCGAGGATGCCTCTTGATGGCGTCTCCATGATGTACACCTGGAACTCAGACGAAATGATGGGTTTAGGGTTTAGGGTTTACCGGTTTAGGATTTAGGGTTTTAAGGTTTAGGGGTTAGGGGTTTAGGGGTTTAGGGTGCAGGGATTTAGGGTTTAGGGGCTTCAGGGTTTCGCAGCCTTCGTGGGAATGTCGCCCTCCGTTTCTTTTGGGTGCACTGCCCAGGAACAATGCCTCTGCAGTGGGACGGAAGAGCACCCAATACTTCGAGGACCGGCCGGAGACCTGTTTTTTTGTGAAAGAACTTCATCTCATACGGGTGCTTAAACATTACAGGGATCTATATTCGGGTTCTGTATTAGGGGGCTTAATAATTACCAATGCTTGTTTTCTTTTTTTTTGGAGGGGGGGAGGGGGGGGAGTGTCCTTGTTTTAATTGTGGTATAATGGGACCCAAAACCCTATTCTAGTTTTCAAGGCCCCTATATGAATCTAGGCTGCCACAATTTCGCGTAGCAGCGTCAGCGGCAGAGCAGTCATGGCGGTCTCGCTACTTTCAGCACGGACGACGTTAGTCAGCAGCTCAAAACGACAGCACTGTAATATGTAAAAGGGTGATACACCTTCGCAGCATTGACGTGTTTGCAGGTCATGGGCAGCCGCGGTGTCTACAAGGACCCGCTTCAACTCCCATTGAGGGGTGTGCTAAATCATTAGCTTTGTAGACGCATTGCTTCTAGCAGCCTCATATGAGAGGACTTATGTTCCTTGGAGGAACGTTCATGCGTTTAAACTACTAGCCCCGTGGTAGTTGCAATGTGTACCCTTTGTTGCCACTTCTGCTGCCACCTGCAGAAATGCATGCACCTTGTAACTTGAAATTTTGTTGCATCGTCGGGTAGGTTACCCAGACAGTCCAATAACCCAAGCAGGAAGGTTCCAGGTCCCACTCTGAAAGTTTTTCGTGACTTCAAGCCATGCCAGCCTGCCAGTGCAGTATTTGATTTGTGGACCCTTACTTAGGGTTAGCAACCATGGCCAATTCGAAGAGATACCTGCCATGTCTTGCCGTTCTTGATCCTGGGATAGGTGCTGTGGTCATGACTAAAACCCTCAAGCCCAAACCACGAGACTCTCAACCATATTTTATTTGCATGTCTTAGAAACAACACCATAAACAGCAGTCCCCAAGCCGCGAAAGCCCATCCTGCGTCGTGACCTCACCACTGCGCAGAACCATTCATCCTGCGCCCATAAGTAGTATCCCCAGAGACTCCAATATCCCTTAATTAAGGAATATACCTTCAATTATAATAGGATCCCTAATATGATTTAAGGAATATTCCTTAATTAAGGGGTTTTGGAGGCTCTGGGTAGTATCCTTCATGTCTCGAAGCCCCGGTGGATTACGGCCACCGGGTTCAGGGTTTAGGGTTTAGGGGTTTAGGGGTTTAGGGTTTAGGGGTTTAGGGTTAGGGACTCAACCACCACCACCTGATGACCCCCTCACCGCACCGGTGTGGATTTGGAGTGCAGGTTCGCTCCGAATCTGCAAACTTCAAACCCTAACCCTAAGGGTCCAAGTACCTAGTTATCATATACTCTCCAAAGTCCTAACCTACGTAACTACTATCCTAAAACCGAGTACCCGATTGTTGGGTCCTTTGGACCCTTCGGGTAAACCCTAAAGCGATCTAGGATGGTTGGTTTGCGAGCGTCTTCGGCCCTCGCATCCCTTGGCACTCGAACGCCACACGCTTGAAGGAGTGGAGCCTTTGATGCAAATTGGGGTATACTTGTTACCTCTAGCCGAAAAAATCTGCCTTTCATAGATTTCCTTGTTACGTCTGGTTTCTTGATTTTTATATAAAACGTTAAAGAGGTAGGCCTTTGGGCTACCGGCAGGGTTTAGGAGGGGCCATGAGAGCCCAACACCTCTCAATCAATTTACCTCAAAATTTGGTCAACCATCCTTCTATCTCTTAGGGGCTGGGTAGTTAACTTTTAACCTTTCAGGGTTTATATAATCCTACTATTATCCAAAAGGTTAACTTTTTTTTGGGTTTGGGCTAGGGCACTCAGCCCCTAAGATCTACAGTTTACAGAGTCTGCCTCATTCACTTAACGGTATTGCATTCTCTCGGCGCCACTTCTGTTGAACCCGAGCCCTACACCCCAACATCCGAACCGTCTGTAGGAGGCTCCTAAAACTTGTCTCAGTATTTGCGTCACCTTTTCATGGAGCCCACACGCAGCCGAGGCCATCGTTCCCAACTAGGTAGGGCTTTGGGACATTTTATATTTTCCCTAATTGGGCTTAAGAGGATCTTGTTTAGTTATACTTTTCAAAGGCTAGGATGCCCAGTATTACCCTTATTCCCTTTCTGTAGTCCTAGGTTCCTTATAAAGTTACCCAATACCAAAAAGAGAGGCCTTTTTTTTCTTAGGTTACTGGGTATCCTAGAAGGCCACCTAGCCAAACTCTAAGCCTGAAGACCTCAGCCCCGAACCCTAAGCTTTAAACCCTTCCTTAACCTACCAAAACCTACTTGTTCGCAGGGTCCCTCTGAATTCCATATTAAGGTCTATAGTAAGAACCTACATAAAGTCAGAGTTTGGTAGGTTAAGGTAAGACCTAAAGAAACAAAAGACATCGAGGAACCCGGACACTGACGTGTGGGAGCTGTACGACCTGACAAAGGCGCGCGGACGTTGACAATTTCAGACACTAGGGTTTGAGGTTCGGGGTTTAGGATTGGCGTTTGGGCTTTACGGCTTTGGGCCGTGATTGCTAGGATGCAGTAAACCCGCTTGGCTACTAGTTCCAGGATGCCCAGTGGTACCCTTATTCCCTTTTTGTAGTCCTAGGTTCCTTATAAAGTTACCCAATACCAAAAAGAGAGGCCTTTTTTTTCTTAGGTTACTGGGTATCCTAGTATGTAAGCAGTTGTCCTGGAACTGTAGACTTTGGAGACACTTCCAGGATGGTTTTATGAAGTCTGCCCACTGCGCTGCCGATGCTGAAAGCTGACCCACACTACTGTCCCTTAGGTTACTGGGTATCCTAGATTATAGTACCCTTATAGACCCCCTTATAGTAACCCCATATAGATCCCTTTAAAGGAACCCTAGTAAAGGGACTGGGTATCCTAGTAGTTCCAGGTTGCAAGCCACTTTGTAGGGGAGGCTTCACTTCCCGCGCAGGGAAGGGCCCCTTTACACTTTAAGGAAGCCTCTCCCAGAGACGCCAATATCCCTTTAGTTGAGGATTATTCCTTAAATCATGTGAGGGATCTTACTATAATTTAAGCTATATTCCTTAATTAAGGGATATAGGAGTCTCTGGGCTTGTTATTCCATATTTCAGCTGGGCAGGACTACTCTCAGGCCCACGACCTTGCCAAGGAGATGCCGGATAAGGCGGATGCTGTCAGACATGGCTTCAGGCTTAGGGTTTAAAGGGAACTCCAGAAAGTTGGAATATGGTTTCATGGTAGGATACCTTATGATCGACCATAAAGGGTTTAGGATAATTATATTCCAACTTTCTGGCTTTCACTTTACGAACCCTAAACCCTAAACCCCTTTACAGGCCACTTCGCCGGAAGAGATCCTATTATAATTTAAGGTATATTCCTTAATTAAGGGGTTTTGGAGGCTCTGGTTAGGGTTTAGCGTTTGGGTTGATGGGTCTGGTCTGTAGCGTTTGGGGTTTCGGGTTTCGCCACGGCATCTCAGCCTGCAGGGTGCAGTGTCAACATCTGGTTGTTGCAAGCCGGCTCCTTTTGATAAAGCTTGCTTCATTTCTTTCTTTCTTTCTTTCGTTCTTAATTGCTTCGTTTCTTTATTTCTGTATTCCTTAATTGCTTCGTTTCTTTATTTCTTTATTTCCAAATTCCTTTATTTCTTTGTTTTTGCCAAATGTAATGTTGAAAGGGGGGTATACCGATCTGAACCCTAAGCCCTAAACCCTAAACACGAGGCCCTCAACCTTAAGCCTAAGCCTTAAACCCCGGACACGAGAACATCTGAAGGGGACGGGATGGCTGGCCCAAGACCAAGCCCAGACTTGACATGGGTTCGAAGGTTCATTTTCAGGTTTAGGGTTTAGGGTTGAGGTTTAGGGTTAAGGATTTAGGTTTAGGGTTGAGTAGTACAGAGTCTTACGGGCAGGGTAACTCTTGGATCCAGTCCGCTACACTCGCATGTAAGGTGCTGACTAGTGTCTAGGACCCAGAGTAGGCCCGCCTTATTCCCTTTTTCAGGGTTTAGCTTCCCTTATAACCCCCTTTAAACCCAAAAGGGCACCCTTTTCATTCCTAGGTTACTCTTAGGTCTAGGTGTATTTGCAGCTATGCAGATGAATTGAAAGAGGAGCCTGAGCCGTTGGTCATTGTATGCCTTGTACTCTCTTTTCGCAGTTGTAGCTCACATCGTATCAGGCTTCTTAATCCCGTCCTGTTTTAGAAGCCCGGCACTTCTAAACCATAAGCCCCAAGCCCTGAACAGAACATTGAGCTGCGCGTCCCAGGTTGAGAAGATGAAGGGCATTTTCCTTGTGGAGGCCACGAAGAACAAGGTCCTTCCTGTTGGTGCAGGCAAACATTTGTGGTTCAAAATTCGAAACATTTAGTGGATTTACAGGGGATCAGGGGTTCAGGGTTTAGGAATTTAGGGTTTAGGAGAAATGATACTGGGGAGGCTCATCAGTCTAGAATCTTGTCTTTGGCGAAAACTTATGGGTGCCTGACTAAAGCAAAAAACAAGGGTCTTTCAAAGGGATATATAGGGGGTCTTTCTTGTTAGGGCTCCTTTACAAGGACATAGGGATCTATAGGGTTCCTTTAAGGGATTTGTAGTATCTTCCCTAAAACATGCCCCGAAACCCTATGCGGATCGTTCAGGGCCCCAGTTTCTGGGAAGGTCAGCACATCGTGAAATCCTGCTTCCTATCGATCACAGAACTCTATTTGTGCCGGTGCTCCTGAGCTTCATACAGACGCTAAACCTAGCAGCACTGATGCATCGGGTCTTCTGACAAAAATGAAATCCAATGACTTTTTCCTCAAGACCAAGCAGCAGGTTAGACTATAGGGGCCTTAATAGTTACTTAGACTATGTTGGGTTCCTTATTGTAATAACTATAGTTTAATAGCACCCCAAAACCCTGTTCAATTTGTTAAGGCCCCCAGCCCACCCTTGAAACAGCAAACAAGCAGCAGCGATACCAAGCTTGCGGACACAATTGCGAGCGTGCCCTTCCCCACAGATGTGAGGCTTGTGGACGGTCGCCTATCATCCAGAGGATAGCCCGAGATCGCCCTTGACGGAATGGCACTCTTGCCCGGTTTAGAGTTTGCCGGAGCTTGGGGGCCGGTCGTGAAGGGTTCCACTTGACCATTTGGATGGGCCGTGGCTTTAATGTGGCTTATGAGTTTCTGGTGTTGTGTGACGCTTGGGCCAGAGTTAGAGCTTGCGCTTTTTTCCATCGCGCAGGCTTCGTAGGTATTTGGGTGTCGATGCTGTTCTGTTGCTTCGTTTCTAAGATTCTGACTTGACAATTTTAGGGCTGCACTTAGTAGCCGGCTTTAGTTCTTGAACCCCGAACCCTTCAAACAAGGAAGCCCTGAATCCTGCCTAAGAAACGTCCTGAGTGTGTCCGGCAATTCAAGCCCACGATCTCTCAGGCTACGTCCTCGGGGACGACAGCCCTTGGGAAGCTAATATAGGGGCCTTCATAGCACTACAAGAAAGAGCGAAAAAGACAGACCCCTAAACCCAAAACTCGCTAAACCGTGTTCGAGGAGGGTTTAGGGCTTCGGACGTCGACTACGGGCTTCATTTGAAAATGGGCCGGGTAATCTCAACCCTGCGCCCGTAAGCCGATCATGCAACCCGAAAGCTGCAAGTTTCGGGCTTAAGGTTAAGCTTTTAGGGCCCTAAGCCCTAACCCCTAAACTTGAGCCCTAAACCCCTAAGGGTTTACCGAAGCCCCAATAAAGTTCACAGAACCCGAGGTACCTCTACGAGGGCATGACGCGAATTGCAGAATCGAACGCCCCGCTCTTCCGTACCGGCGGGGGGCTTTGTGTGTGGGCATTGGAAAACTTTCCGTCTTAATATTTGGAGTTGGGTTGCGCTCCCCAAGTGCTCTTAGATGCAGGCCTGGTCTGCAATATTCTGCAATAGTGGGTACTTAGGGTACATTAGAGGGTAGTTGCAGGATCCAGGCAGTGTTTAGAGTTTCGGGAACAATTATACTGTTTTGCTGTAGTGATACCCTAAACCATAAACCCTAAGCCCTTTAACCCTAATTCAACCCTTAAACCCTAAACCCCTGAGCCCCTAATTAAGCGCTAAACCCTAAAGCATTAGGACCTGAGGCTGCCGAGCGGAGGAGTTTACACAGGGCTCAAGATTTGAGTGGAGGGCTTAAGGGTTGGGGTTTAGGGTTTACGGTTTTGGGGTTTAGGTGTTTAGGTTTGGAGTTTGGGTGTTGGGTTTTGGATTTCGGGTTTAGGTGTTGGGTGCAGGCTTGGGTATGTGAAGAGACTGTCGACTGCATCCTCGGTATTAGGCTTTAGGCTAAACCCTTTCTGCCTTGCAGCCTGCGCCGCAGATGGCATCAAACTTTAGAGTGTTTCCCCCGACATTGCCTTCGCTTAAGATGGGGTTTGACCCAGTAGCGGTTTTCCGCAAACCGCCAACCCCACAACTGGAATTCGAATGAGAGAGTTGTCTCAAAGGGGAAAAGGAGAGACCCTTAATGGGGACCCCTACCCTATAGTGGGCTATATAATGGGTATATAATTGTCCTTATTAAGGGTCCCTCCGGTTCCCCTTGGGTTGTCGCGAGCTTGAGGCAAAAACTCCATTGCCATCGCGGACGTTGAGGCAGCTGACTTCCGGTTTCTGTCGCAGTATTCAATTGGGGGTTTCCGAAAATAGGGGGTACCTTATTCTGGGGTCCTTAGAATAAGGATCCTACAATTTAGGGTACTATTTTAGGGCGCCCTATTTGCGGAAACTCCCAATTCTGTGAGGCTTAGAGCCTATCCCAGGAGCAGTTGCCATACGTCTACACCATAAAGACAAACTCTAAGATTGGAATTCCAAGCCCTAAACCCTGAACCGTGAATTAGATAACCTTTTTCAGCCCGCTGACATGGAAGGCAACTTGTCGAAGACGATTCGGCTCTTTGGTGGTAGCTTTCTGTTCCTGGGGTTTAGGGTTCAGGATTTCGGGCTTTAGCTTTGCGCGTGGTATCGGATTTAAGGTGTACGGCCCAGGGTTCGAGTTGAGGGTGGGGCTGCTGACGATTGTGGATTTGGGTTTGGTTTGCCTCGATTATCGTTCCACTTCAAATCAAGGTAGTACGCATGTTTCCAACCAACTGTATCCTGGTTCATCACAGCAGAACACATATTAAATATGCATCTGTCTGTCATTAAATGGAAATCAACGGTACTAGCGTTATGCTGCCGGAATCTCTTTCCAAGCGCACTTCTACTATTCTACTGGTGCTTAGTCGTACTGCTGCGACGACGATAGGGGTGAAATTCAGCATTACATAAAATCGTGTACCTACTGTCTGGCGAAGAACCCGTCTGCTAGGCTCACCTCAGCTCAAACCTACACCGTAATCCCTCTTGTAATCAAAGTAAAGGCGTTGTAACGGCCCAAGGCGTATAATGAAACACCAAAACTCCTGAAGGACCAAATGACCCTCAAAAGTAGGGGCCCTATACCCATATACTATGAATCCCTATATAGTATATGAACCTTAAACCCTTTTAGGGTTCATTTCGTCCTTAGGGCTTAGGCAGCCTGGCAGCGCCACACCCTTCAGTCACTCGAAATTGGAGCTTCCGAAAATAGGGGACCTAAATTCCGGTACCCTAAATAGTAGGATCCTTATTATGAGGACCCTAAATAAGGTACCCCTAAATTTCGGAAACTCCCAAATCTTCAAATGTAAACCCTTCAGCCAGCAGGTGCCGAAGAACGCTTCTGGTGTGTTGTACTGCGTCGGCGGCACATCTGGGGGCTTCTCAGTGTACCTGGTGCTCAACAAGGAATCCTAAACCCTAAACCCTAAACCCTAAACCCTAAACCCTAAGCCCTAAGCCCTAAACCCTAAACCCTAAACCCTAAACCCTAAAAGGAATCGGGTTTCTGGTCGAGGGTCTAGGGTTCAGTTTTTCAGTCTGGAGTTTAGGGTTTCCGTTTTTTTTGTCGTCGTTTCCGGGTGTAGGTCTCCGCTGATGTTTCTATATGGATTCTAACGTCAAGGCTTGTGGGTATAGGTGATAATATCAGCTCTCAATATCCGGTCTGAATATTGCTTTACTCTAACTTAAGTGAGTACGCAAACCCGCATTGGTTTTGCTAACTGGGGAGCTCACTTCGCGCGTTTCTGTGCGTCGTGACTTTTCTGGCTTCTTCCTGTCCGGTTTCACCTTGGGTTTTCGGGTGTTTGGTCTTCCCGATTTCTGTGCATTTCTGCACCCGGCGCGCAGCTACAAGCTGTGGACATTGAAGCGACGCAAGTGGAATATGTTGCTGCGCTGACACTTGAAGTGGCCCACAGCCACGCCCCCAACCACCATCGCCACCGCCGCAACAACCGCATTCCCAACCACAACCCCAATTACAATCACAACCGCCACAACAGCCGCAACAGCCACAACAGCCACAACAGCAACAACAGCAGCAACAGCAACAACAGCAACAGCAGCAACAGCAGCAACAGCAGCAACAGCAGCAACTGCATCCACAAACACAGCGGCAACAACAGCAGCAGCAACAACAACAACAACAAGAACAACAACAAGAACAACAACAACAACAACAACAACAACAACAACAACAACAACAACAACAACAACAACAACAACCACAACGACAACGACAACGACAACGACAACGACAACGACAACGACAACGACGACAACAACACCAACAACACCAACACCACCAACTACAGCAACAGCACCAACAGCAACACCAGCGACAACATTAGCAGCAGCAGCAGCAGCAGCAAGAATAATAAGAAGAAGAATACCTGCGCCGCCGCCACCATCACCAGCAACAACAACGAAACCTTTTCTAGTATTAGCAGACAAGTCGGTTCGCCTTCTGGCAGTACTTTTTGCATTTTTTGGGTTTCAGGATTTAAGGTGCAGGATTTACAGTAGGGCTTACGGTAGGGCTTAAGCTTGAGGGTGCAGGGTTTAGGGCCTAGGGGTGGCATACGGCAGACTTTCGGCAGGTTTTCTTCGTCCCAGGTACATGGACCAGGGATACCTCTACGCAGAGTACATGGCTACTCTGCTCTACCGCTACATCGCCAAGTCCTCCGCGCCATTGACTTCTGGCCACTAAACCCTAAACCCTTCGGGGGCCTCGAAAGGTAGGATGAAGGTAGGTGGGTTATTCCCACATAAGAGTTCCTTAATCCCACCTACCTTCATCCCACCTTGTGAGGCCTCCGAACCCTAAACCCAAAGGGGCTGAGTAGGTGACCTTTAACCTTTTAGGGTTTATATAATATTACTATAATTCAATTGGTTAACATTTTTTGGGCTAGGGTTTATATAATCCTACTATAATTCAAAAGGTTAACTTTTTTAGGGTTTATATAATCCTACTATAATTCAATTGGTTTACCCTAAGGGTCCATGTACCTAAACAGTATATACATTGGCCTTAAAGTACTCCCTATATGGGTACATTGGTCCCAAAGTATTTACTATTTAGGTACATGGACCCTCAGGGTTGTACAATCCTACTATAATTCAAAAGGTTAACTTTTTGGGGGCTAGGGCACTCAGCCCCTAAGAAACTGAACGCCTAAGCCCTAAAGCGCACAGTCCGTTCTTTCTGATCCCCGATCTCCTTCAAAGACTGTGTTCCCGACGCTCCCGGCTTTAAAGGAACAGCCCAAGGTTGCCCTACCTCCCCAAATGCTCCTTTGAAGGACAGCCCTGAGCACTCGCCTCCCAGCAAGTTTTTGAGGGCCCTGAAGTTGAATTCTCTCTAAGTGCCCGCCCTCCGTCAGTCAGGATCCCTAAATAGGGGGGGTTTAGGGATCAAGGCCTTTCAAGCAAAGTCAAGACGCCTGGGCCCTTTTTACCTTTGCCGTTCTGGTCTTACATGACGTTCGAGACTTCCTAGCGCCCTCTAGCTTAAACCGGGTTCTTCTTAAGGAGTTTGATTTAAGTTACCCTGGTAAAGACACCACATTAATTACTGTAGATCCCTATTCTGGTAACTTAAACCTGAAACCCTACGCCCTCACAGGAAACCTTATGTTAATCGCTGAACCGAGGACACCAGGGAATGCGAAGATTGAAATCAAGCTGCGACTTCGCAAGCACGTGAGGATTGGATTGGGTAGGCGGCATTTCTTGCTTGAGGGTGTTTCGCTGGCACTTTTGCAGATGCTGATAAGTTCAGTTGGGATGATCAGAGTTTCAGCTGCTGGTGGTAGCAGCAGTGGTAGGAGGCATGGGTGCAGGAGCACTAGAAAAGGTCTCATGCGCGTCGTGCTGTTTAGCATCGTCGTTGCGTCATTGTCAGGACCGCTGTCACCCATGGACCGTCTCATTGTCGTTTTCACTGCGACCAACTACTGCAAATGTTGCCAGCGAAACGATTCGGATGAGCATTGAGGCCTGAACAAATCCGCACCGATATTCCCATATTCCATGATAGCCGTTGCCCCAGACACAGAAAAGATAAGACGAGCAACTGCACGCCCACAGGGCCTATTCTGTCAAGGCATCTGAATTCTGATTGTGGTGAGTTCTCATTCTACGCAGTATATCATGTTATACTGCATTATTATTGCATTCTATTGTTTCGTATTCTGTTATACTAAGTCGTGCTACATTATACTACTCCACATCACATTGTATTATGCATGGGCTTGCGCCTATACAAATCGTGGCTAAGCCCTATAAGAGTAGTTTCCTTTTCACCCTGGGCAAGGTTTCGGGTCTAGGGTGTTCGGTTTAGGGCTAAGGGTTTGAGGGTCCAGGGTGGGGATTTAAGGCGTTGGGGGCCTTTATCCCGATGGTACAGCCGTGAAGGCGCGTGACTTGTCCGTCCCGCCTTTCAGAAAAGCAAAGATAGGTCCTCGACCAACGGAACCTCGGTGCTTTCCAAGTCTACCCCCTAAACCCTAAACCCTAAACCCTAAACCCTAAACCCTAAACCCTAAACCCTAAACCCTAAACCCTAAACCCTCAAGCTTGAACCTTAACCGGGAGCCTCAGGCAATTCGAGACACAGCCGGTGATTGCTCCGGCGAATCTTACCATGCCCCTGCCTCGACTGTACACGTTGGCTTTCGGCTTTAAAGTTTAGGGTTTAGGCAGGGTTTAATGTTTAGAAAGTTCAGGTTGGCCGTAAGGTCTAGGCAGGGTTTAAGGTTTAGGTAGGGTTTAGAGTGAAGGTAGGGTTGAGAGTTTGCATAGGGTTCAGGGTTCAGGTAGGGTTTAAGGTTGAGGTACGGTTGATGATATAAATCCTGCACTACCCCATAATAAGGAATATCCCATAATTCTCATAGTTTAGGATCCTTAAGGTTATGCAGGATTTATATCATCAGCAGTAGGGTTTAGGGAATAGGGTCTAGCAAGGTAGAGGATCGCTTGGGCTTGGTTTTAGAGTTCAGGGTTACTGTTTACCTAGGGCGTTCCAAGTAATTACCACGACTACTGTGGGCTTCCGGTAAACAATAACGCTAGTATAATATGCCCCGAAACCCTATTCCGATTAATTTACTGGGGCCCCTATATGACTCTCCCTCTCTCTGTTATTGCCGCCGAAGTATCCTCACCACGAGGCCGCTAGTAATGCGACTATGGCGTGTAACGGGGTTAGGGTTTTGGGAAGTTAGGAATCTTCGCATTTAGGTTTAGGGGTTTTAGGGTAGGGTTTTCGGAAATTCGGAAGTGTCGGATTTAGAGTTCAGGCGTTTAAGGTTGTTTGGGGTTTGGGGGCTTGAGGAAGTTTAGGATTGAGGTTTGAGGATTGTCATGCCTGCACTTCGTGATAAGGTTCACAAAGTATGCTGTTGGGCTCTCTGCGTTCTGGTTGTGGGGTGAGGTTCCGTCAGAAGTTCTGACATTGGGTGAAGTTCTAGGACATTGTAGGTAGTGGGCTTTGGTGCAGCGTTTCCATGCATGCAGGGCTTCTCAGTATGGTTTATAGGGGATATTCTTTACTTAGTGTCTGCTGCGCTGTCCCTTGGGGTTACATGAGATCTGTGAACCCACCCTACACCTTAAGCACAGGCGCTTGAACGTCAACCCAGAGCCTCCAAAACCCCTTAATTAAGGAATATACCTTAAAGTACAACAGTTAAACAGGATCCCTAATATGATTTAAGGTATATTCCGTATATTCCTTAATTAAGGGGTTTTGGAGGCTCTGGGAACCCTAAACCCCGGACCGAAAACCCTATGCTGTAATCCCCAAGCTGAAACTGACCACGCTACGCCTGAAACCCTCAGCCACAGGGGTCTGGTTGTCGAACACGTCTGATCATGCATTGAATTGTAGACCACTTTGGCATTTCCTGGTGGGGGTGGGCGGGGTGGGTCCGGGAAGCAAAAGGCATGCCGACAACAAGAAAGATATGGTCGGGATCGCAACTGTCACCGGCCTTCTCATCCGCATCAAACACAAGGTTTCTGCGCCTGTCACCGCTCAGCTGACCCACCACTAGCATGTGCAGAGGATGTGTTTATCGAATGACGCAGCCCACCAAACATAGAGGGCTCGAAGACTACTGCGCGTCAGCAGCGGTCGATGCAACCACGACATGTTCGTATCTCTGCTTCACGGGGAAATCGCCGACGATCCTCCGAAACTGCCAAAGCCTCGGCCCTAATTTGTGACTCCTACACCTTACCTAAGCCTCTCAGTGCCCTCTGCTTGGGCTCTATCTTAAACACACACCAGGAGCCTCTATGAATGAACTCGCACCACTCTAAATACCCCAAGCCCGGAACTCCTAAACACCTGAGCCACGAACCTCAAATGGGAGTTTCCCAAAATAGGGGGGACTTTAATAGAGTACCCTGAGTAGTTGGATCCTTATTATAAGGACCCCCCAAGTAGGGTACCCCTAATTTTCGGAAACTCCGAAAGATTTTCGCGCCGACTCCTCGGAGGTCCGTGAACGGAAGTGTGATGGCCTCGATGCGACTTGGCCAGACTCAGGGTTCAGCGTAGGGCTTTGTGCACAGTAAAAGCCAGAAAGTTGGAATATGATTATCCTAAACCCTTTATGGTAAATTATAAGGTATCCTACCCTGAAACCATATTCCAACTTTCTGGAGTTCCCTGTAAGGTAAGTGGGGAGTACTATAATGTTATGCAGCATGAAATCGATGCCGGTTCAGTACCGTACCCCCATCAGGTGTCCACTTCAACTTCCTCCAATCTTTTTAAGTTTCAGTGCTTACTCTTCACGACCTGACGTTTTGGACAGATGTGAGACTGGAATCACAAAAAGCACCGCACCCCAAACCCCAAGCCCTGCCGTACGCCGTTGTTGTGTCTTTCGGGCTCTGGCTGTCAGAAGGCAAGGTCTTAGGGTTGGGGATAGGTTAGGTGGCTAGATAGGTCGATACATACAGAAGCTGCATCATGGTCATGATTTCGGTTCGCCAATAAATCTGGAGAAGTGTTGCTCTGCCAAGCGCTGAATCTTGAACAGTAGAACTGATTTTTAGCCCTAAACCATTATTCTTAAACTTATATGCTTGCACATTCAAGGAAGGTAGAGTCCTGACCAAGTATCTGTATCGTTCCTTAGGGTTCTTGTGTATACCCCAGAGCCCTATTCTAATTATTGAGGCGTTTGCGTTAGGTGAGTGTTGGGATTCGGTTTAGTTTGCCTCAAGGGCATGGGGATAGTGACGTTCCAGCTTCCTGGCATTTACAGTAGAAGCCAGAAAGTTGGAACATCATTAACCTCATGCCCTTAAGGTAAAGTATAAGGGATCCTAGCACTAATCCTCCAAAAGCCATGTTCCAACTTTCTGGCTTCTACTTTAGGTATCAGCAGCTTCCATCCATGCGACTTCCGAGCCCCTTCTGCTTGCCTCATCAAAGACGTAGCCGCAGCTATCTCGGAAGACAGTCCAGTAGTACCCTTATTCCCTTTTTGTAGTCCTAGGTTCCTTATAAAGTTACCCAATACCAAGAAGAGAGGCCTTTTTATTCTTAGGTTACTGGGTATCCTAGTTAAGGAAGCTTGAGTGTTTGTTGGGGTTCTAAATCTGAAATCGCATAATTACTCTGGGGGTTTATTCATCAGTTTCCTACACTATCCTGCAAGGTTAGGCGTCCTAGAAGCACCCCAAAGCTCAAAATGCTAGAATTTGCAGACCAGCCCAGCCCGATTGAAAGCGGGAATGTATGACTACTACTCCCGAGTGTAGTAAGACCCGTCGATCTCAGGATCGTTGGGTAACGTAGGGCTCGGAACAGTTACCAATACTATCGAGTAGGGTTCCTTGGTGTGATTCTTGTATTTTTTTATCATGGATCCCGACACCCCATTTCAATTTGTAAGGTCTCTATAATATGGGAGTTCCTGAAAATAGGGGACCACAAAAAAGCACCCTAAATAAAATAATCCTCATGTAAAGAGCCCCAAATAAGGTACTCCATAACTTTCGGAAACTCTAAACCCTAAACCCTTTATAGAACCCTTATAGTACCCTTATAGTAGTAACCTGTTAAGGGACCCTAAGGTACCCCATAAATTTCGGAAACCCCTATAGTACAAGAACTCAGGATTGTTGAGAAATCCATCCGTTTGGCCTTCGACGCTTCCGAGAGCCGTGGCTTTTAGACAAGGGCTTTTGGATGGTTTAGGGTTTACGGTCCACATAGGTCCAGGGTTCCGAGTGTAGAGTTTAGGATTTGGGGCTTGGGCCTTGGGGGGTTTAAATATATAATTAGCATGCAGTGTTGGAGTTCAGGGTTTAGAACTTTTACGCATTTTGAGCAGAGAGAAGCCTCAACCTAAGCAAAAAAACCCTAAACCCTAAACAGCAAAAAACGAAAATATTTCCTATTCCCTAAACCCTAAACCCGCAAAAAATTGAAACATTTCTCAGACTCGAATCGGAGAAACCTGAACTCGGAACGTGCAGCTCGTAAGGAACATGCTCGTGATCTTAAGCAGGCATCCCTAAACTGGTAACCCTTAACCTGATTTAGGGTTTTTTTGGGTTTGGGTTTAGGGTTTAGGCTTCGGGTGCAGGGTGTAGGGCCTCAGCCCTACATCCTAAACCCTAAGTGCCAAGCCCATCTAAACCCAAGACCCTAGATCCACCGTTAACACTAATCCTAACGCTAGCCCTAACCCCAACCGGAAACCGTTCAGGGGTTTGGGTTTACATGCGCACACACACACACACACACCCGCGTTCAGGAGCCGGCTACCCTGAAGCTCTGACACTAAGCCCCGAAGTCCTTAAACTGGGTTATGCAGCACCATACATCGGTTGGACCTGTTCCTGAAAGGCAAAGGTGTATACTACACTTTGTTCTATTTCCGAGTAGTAGAGTAGGCAACCTTTCATCCTTTTTGGGTGGTATAGTCCCTATAGAATCCCTATATAGCCCAAAAGGTTAACGTTTAGTTCCCCATGATACCCGAGTGGTGTGATTTTTCAAGGCTAAGTAAACGGTACCTTCCCTGCAAATATCGGACTGGCATAAGGAAGTCAAATAAAGGAACCCCGACAAGGTATGTTTCTTTCCAGCATAACCCTGATCCTAGGACTTTTGATGTGGGAATGGACTTGGGTTCGCCCGTCTCCATGCTCTACCAGGACCAGCAGCTCGTTCGGGGGGTTCAGGGTTTTCACGCTAAGCCCTAAACCCCTATGGGTTTGGGGCTTAGGGTTTGGCGTTCAGGGTTTGGTGTTTAGGGTTTAGGGCCGAGGAGTGCCTGGGGCTGAGTGTTAAGTTGAGGGCTTTAGGGTTTAGGGTTCCTGGTCGAACTATTACAAACGACATGGAGGGTCTACAAGGGTTTTAGGGGATTAGGGGATATTGTAGTGCTTCAGGGTGTCATTAGCTTAGGGTTCCGTTTAGAAGTACGGGTTCCATACAGGCTTCTATACGGGCTGCGCAGCGTTTAGGGTTGAAGGGTGTAGCGTAGGGTTCAAAATCGGATACGGGATGTAGGGTTTAGGAGCGCTTTAGAGTTTTAGACGCGGGTTTTCGGATTGAGGATTTGCTGCTGCTCTGGATTTAGGATCTCAGGTGTAGGGTTCCAATACTATTTAATCAAGGTCCAGATTCCCTAATTAGGTATCGATTTGGGATAGTATTCAATCTTCCGTTTTTGCTTAAGACGGAGCTCTATTCATGAATGATGTTGGGGGGTTGTAGAAATCGACACCTCGTTAGCGACTGGCATCTTTGTTGGATCAGGCTTTCCAGACTCCGGCCTGGAGTTTCCGATATTACGCTTGGGTTGAGAGGTATACGCAGGGTCTTGATTTCCAGGGTTTAGGGCTTAAATTTTACTATGGTTTAGGGCAGTTAGAAGGGCTGTCTTATTATAATTCGTAGAACGAGCTGCAGTAACCCCAAACTCCTAAGACCCACCCCAAAGCCTTTTCGAACCCTTGTAGAACCCCCATAGAACCTTTACAATGTTTTGGAACCCTTCTGGCGCCCACCACCTCACCAGGCCCGCTCGCCGTTCAAGTTCAGCGGCAAGATCAACCAGCTGCATCACGGCTTGGAGTTGTTGGGGTTGTAGCGGCTCTTGGGGCGTGCAGTATTAGGTCAAAAAGAGTTTTTCGGGGTTTAGGACTTCAAGGAATTACTGTAGCGCTCGGGTTTTTCAGAGTTCTTGGGGTTAAAGTGTTTGGGGTTTTCAGGGTTTAGAGTCTACTTGCTATACCAACCGCAGTGGCATCGGCCGTTCTTGACATCCTCTTGGTGGCTTTGACTCTACGTTGGTTCCAAAGAGTTGTTTACTTCTTTATAACAGCATTGTACCCATACCATACAATTACGTTCTTTAAGGCCTTGCAGGGGTACTATAGAGTCGGGTGAATTACAAGAACAATTCCTTAGGGCTGCTTATCAAATGTACCCCTAAACCCTGTTCTGTACTAAGGCCCCTTTAGCATTGCCTTGCACAGTTTATCCTTAGGTGCCTTTAGGGCTCTTCTCATGCCTTTGTGCCATGGATTTCGCGTCAAGACTTGGGGTGCAAGGTTCGTGTTGCGATGCACAGGGTTTTTATGAAGCTTTAGGGTTTAGGGTTCATGGGTTTGGTGACTTTAGGTCTTAGGATTTAGGGCTCATGGTTTTAGGGTTCGTGGGTGTAGGGTTCATGGGTTTTAGGTTCATGTGCTTAGGGCTATTTTGGGAGTTTAGGACTGAGGGTTGACGAGTCCAGGGCTTGGACTGAGGGTTCATGGTGAAGAGTTTAGGGGTTACCTATAGTCTCCATTGTAGTTCCTTTTTTTGGTTTAACCAATTATATAACCCAAAGAAGGAACTACAATGGAGACTGTAGGTAGGGTTGATGAGCTTAAGGTAGGGTTCATGCATTTAGGGTTTATAGGATTTAGGGCTCCAGAAAAACCGTGACAGGTGCGGTGAGGGTGTCGAGTGGGGTATGTGTGCGGTGCTTGGTGTTCCCTGGCCAACCCCAAACTAAACCCTAAACCCTCAAACAACTAGACCTTCAAGAGAATTCCGAGCTGCCCCAGGCATATCAAGTACAGTAACGGCACATCATCTGCATCAGCCATCGCCGTGGTGGTTTGATCCGCCAATTGACGGTCGAAGGCTACAGCAAGGAGAAGGAAACCTTGCAGATTCACGTACTCGAGGTAGGTTAGCTCTGCCGATTTGAACTCAGAATCGTGGCCTCTTCCTCGTAATTGAGCTGTAGGGCCGCCTTTGAGCATGCCTGTGCATGCTGCGCGTTGGCCTGCAGCGTCGGTTGTTTCAATTATGGTGCACCTGATTTTGTCCAGATATGGAGAGAGAACGCTGCAAAGTGTTGGTCCCGATCTGCATGAGTACTTGACCCCTGAGCCCCCAACCCCCACAGTCCACGCCCGGACCCCAACTCCCAAACCTTTGACAGCGCAATCACACAGCGAAGAAGTCGTCAGATTTCTGCTTCAGCATGTATGCCACATGCAGGAAATGGCATCTCCAAATCTTACAGCTGTATTCAGACAGTCGTGCTGTCTTGAAGTAGTAAGTAGTACTGCAAGTGGCTTCTGAAACTGTGAAACACGTGTTGCAGCCTGTTGCCAACTACCTGCCTGCCTGTCTTTACGCATGAGGTGCTCATGTCATGTAACGCACGTGGGGCTTTTTTCGAAAATAGGGGACCCTAATATGGTACCTTAATAGTAGATAGTAGGATCCTTGCTATAAGGACCCCCCAAATAATCAGTACCCCTCATTTTCGGAAACCCCTATGAAGGAAGAACCAGGATGATCCCCATTCTGCTGCCAAATGTGTTTTGTTTGACTGGTACGCAGAGATTCTAATATCCCTTGATTAAGGAATATTCCTTAAATCATAGTAGGGATCCTATTATAATTTAAGGTATATTCCTTAATTAAGGGATATTGGAGTCTCTGGGTACTATAGGGGCCTGAGTGATTGGAATAGGTCTTGGGCGCCGATTTTATGTTCATAGGCACCTATATTATTCAGAACTTGATTGAAGTGGCTCTGTTGTAGTTGTTGAGTGGTTGTCCGAGTACATATCGACGTTGGGATGGTCTGTCTATTGGAAACCTTACGATGCAAGTTGCACTGTCGTCATGCGTGTCTATAACTAAACAATGCCCGAAACCGTAAACCCTCGACAAACGCAAGGATGCTGGCACCATGCACGGAGGCTCCGGGAGTCCTGGAGTATCTACCCTCAAAGCTAACCCTTGAATTTTGAAGTCCGTACCCCTAAACCTAGAAGCCTCAACCCGCAGCATGGAGCAAGTGAAGACAGACGAAGGGCCGGTAATGCAGGACTTATGTCCCTAAACCCTAAACCCCCTATAGATCCCTTAAAGGAGCCCCTTAAAGGTACCCTTATAGATCCCTGTTTAAGGAACCCTACAACTACAAACCCTATAGATCCCTTAAAGGAACCCCTTATGGATCCCTTTTAAGGGAACCCCTAGGGATGTCTATCATCAACCGTAGGACTAGGTTTGGTTTGGGCTGCAGCCATGGACCGTGCTTACAGCTGGGCAGCACCCGCTTCGAGACTGCAAAGTCTACTATAGGGGGCTTAAATAATGGGTTTAGGGTTTAGGGTTTATTAAATAATGGGTTTAGGGTTTAGGGTTTATTAAATAATGGGTTTAGGGTTTAGGGTTTATTGAAGAATGGGTTTAGGGTTTAGGGTTTATTAAAGAATGGGTTTAGGGTTTATTATATTAAAGGGTTTAGGGTTTATTAAATAATGGGTTTAGGGTTTAGGGTTCATTGAATAATGGGTTTAGGGTTTATTAAAGAATGGGGTTAGGGTTTAGGGTGTATTAAAGAATGGGTTTAGGGGTTTAGGGTTTATTAAAGAATGGGTTTAGGGTTTAGTGTTTATTAAAGAATGGGTTTAGGGTTTAGGGTTTATTAAAGAATGGGTTTAGGGTTTAGGGTTTATTAAAGAATGGGTTTAGGGTTTAGGGTTCATTAAATAATGGGTTTATGGTTTAAGGTTTATTAAAGTATGGGTTTAGGGTTTATTAAAGAATGGGTTTAGGGGTTTAGGGTTTATTAAAGAATGGGTTTAGGGGTTTAGGGTTTATCAAAGAATGGGTTTAGGGTTTAGGGTTTGTTAAAGAATGGGTTTAGGGTTTAGGGCTTAGGGTTTATGAAATAATGGGTTTAGGGTTTAGGGTTTATTAAAGAATGGGTTTTGGGTTTAGCGTTTAATTACCTATACTCTTTTGGGGTTCCTTATCATATTTGTATAATAATAATGAGCCCCGAAACCTTTTTCTAAGTATTCAGGAACCTGTATTAGGGGTGTCGAATTTTGGGAAACGGAGTTTTGGGATGACGGTACCAGGTTTGGGTTTGGTCAGTTGTGCTAATTTGTTTTCGTCACTGGTTCCAGTAACAGTATACTAGCTAGTATGAGTAGTATTTAGAGTACTTGTAGTACTAATTAGTCGTACTCGTAGTACTAGCAGTACTAGTAGAAGAGAGTAGTAGTCATCGTAGTAGTCCTAGTAGTCGTAGCACAGTGCATTTGCTGGATAAGAAATGCCTGGGTACCCTTCATTCCTTAATTTCCTGTTAGTTTCACATTTGCACATGTCCCAGCTCCCGCATCGTTGGTTAGCCTTCATTTCTTGCTCTTTGCATCACCTGGGCTCGAGCCCTCCGAAGTCTAGGTACTGAGCCATAGGCATTTTGGCATTAGGCTAGACAGAACCCCCCAGGGCCTAGGCGGGTTAGGGCCGAGAAACCACCAGAATAAGAACCGTACCCCCCTACGTTTCTTACTTTGGCCTGTGCCTTGTGCCCTATGCTCAGGGCCCAGAAACCTCCAGAATAAGTGACGTAGCCCCCTGCATTTCTTATTTTGGGCGCTGCCTTGTGCCTAAGCTTGGGGCCGATAGAAACCTCCAGAATAAGAGAGGTGGCCCCCGCACATTTCTTATTGGGCCTCTGCACAGCCTTGTGCAACCACGAAAATAAGAAACGTAGACCCCGACATTTCCTATTTAAGCAACGTAGACGCCTGCACTTCTTGTTTAAGGGGTTTCGAGGCTTGAGAGCATCTGAGTTCAAAAAAGAACCAGCCAGCCAAATAAGAAACGCTACAGAAACGCTGGATAAATTTCTTTTCTTAACGAAAAGGCATTCGAAATATTCGGCGGCTTGGTGCTATCCGACTGACGCAGCCCCTACATTTCTGATCCAACCATTTCTTGTACAGTGATTGCACTGTAGTTGTTGTTTTTATGGTTGCCAACCTTATAAGCCCTAAAACTCAAAGACCTTCAAAGCCCTACACCCCAACACTTTAAACCCTAAACCCAAACCCCCAGATCATCCGAGGACCTGGCTGCCGTGGCAACTTGCGGCGTTCTTCTTTCTTGCCATTGGTGGTTCACCGCAAAGGAGCGGGGTTTACGTTTAGGGTTTAGGATTTAGGTTTAGGGCTTTAGGGTTTAGTAATTCAGGCAGATATGAGGTGGAGGGTTTAGGGTTCAACATCGTGATGCTACCAGTACCACTGCTACTGCTACTGATCCTGCTACTGCTATTGCTCCTGAGACTGCGACTGCTGCTGCTGCTACTGCTGCTATCATTACTACGACGACTACTACGACGACTGCCACTGCTCCTATACTAATTACTACCACTATCACCACGACCGGGATGCCACAATCAAAAACAATGCAATTAAAATAACACCGTAATTAAACCCTCATCTGCAGATGCCGGAGGGTCATCTGCAGGTTGTAGGAGTACCGGTTCTGGGCTTGACTTGAGTGCAAGAAAGGACATCTCGTCTTCTAGAATACGCAGAATGACCTTGCGCATGGGAGTCCTGTTAACGGGGGAGAGCCCTTGTAAATGGATGCGCAGAACAGCCCTTGGTTGACGCGGCCCCGGTACCATACCCTGCGACCTCTATACGACCAAGATAGTACGTGTTCCCAAGTCTCACCAGGGAGATTCGCAGTAACATAGGCGCCGTAATAATTAGAGCAGGGTTTCTGGGTATATTGTACTATACTGAAAATGACTAACCCCCACAATAGTATAGGATTATAGGATTAACGCCCCCCCCCCCATATTATAGGCTTCCCTAAACCCTAAACCCTAAACCCTTAACCCTAAACCCTAATCAAGCAGCCAACAACAAACACTGCACTGCGCCTTAACACGGACCGGAATTCGACCCAGAACCACGGCCTGAACCCCTGAAACCTGTTTTGAGATCCCACGCTTGATGATATAAATCCTGCATTACCTATAATAAGGAATATACCATAATTTCCATAGTTCAGCGTCCTTAAGGTAATGCAGGATTTATATCATCAACCCTACCTGCAGGCTCGTACCCTACCACTTGTTCAGGGTATCTACTCTTCTATGTGCTGCAGATCCTGACCAGAAAACTAGGGTATGAGCCTCTAGGTATCTTCTAGGATTTGTCGTAGATCCTTTTGGCATCCTTCCGAGCACCAAAGCCCTTGATTCAGGAACCCGTGTCGAAAGCAATGCCCCTGTGCACCTGGTGTCCCCCTCAACCTATGGGCCAGGGTGGCGAACCTTAACGAAACCTGAACCCCAAGCCGTATAAGCCCTACATGCAACCCTAAACCCTAAAGCCATGAAAAAACTGTGCGCCCTAGTCTACGTCCAAGCCTAGTCCAAGTAGACTCAATGGTGGGCATCCCGAACAGCTGTTACAGAGTTTGAAGATGTTTCTGTTTCATGGTGCTTTCCGGTGTTCTCACAAGGTGCATAAAGTTCAGGGTTTAATAATGTTTAATAGGGTTTCAGGGTTTTCGGTCGCCTAGTAATACCTTCCACCTTTTCTGTGTTAGGATCTCCTGATTCAGAATGAATAGCAGCGATACCCTGTTCTTCTCAAAGGGATGGCTGAGGCTGGGGAACCTAATGCATGTACTTCGGGTCACCTTATTCTTTTGTTGTGAGATCCTTGACATACGAAGGTTCTCCCACGAAGCGTACTACAGCCTAGGGTTGAACTCATATAGTATAGGGCTCGGAATACGTGCTACTACAGCAACATCCCGCGATAGTCCCAAAAGCTTACAATCGACTATACCCCACATCTGAGTTCAAGTGATCAGTATTGTCCTATGTTACATGTCAAATACTGGTATTCATGCGGGCTCTGCTATACACATTCACTCGCAGAACCCCATGAAAGCAGAGGCCGTTTAGAGTTTAGGGTTGCGCAAGACGGCAAGGATTACATCGTAATGCGTATCTGATATCACTCGTAGAAGAAATCGTATCATGAAGGCAGCAGAACACACCAAGAAGCGAAGCCCTTAACCAGCGGCATGCAACATCTCCCAGCCGTTTCCTTCAGGACTTGCGACGGGGGATTCAGCAGCTGTCCAGCGCATCCTTCGGGGAAGCTGGGTCTCTTGTGTTTTTCTACTATTTGCGTAAGAACCACCCAAAAAAATACTTATGGGGGTAATATCGGGATTATTATTTTTATTTTTTGGGGGTTTCTTAAGCAAATAGTAGTTTTGGTTGAGTTCAGACGGCGGGTCGGTGTCAAGAATCATGGTCCCTTTGGGGGGAACCCTATACATTTCGACTCTGAAAACGCGCCCCGTGTAAAGTTACCCTAAACCCTAAACCCTAAGCCCTAAACCCTAAACCCTAAACCCTACCCTGTAAAGTTTGGGAACCCAGAAGGGGTCCTAATTAAGGCATCAATCGACCCAAAAAGCCCGAGCCCTAAACCCTGAAGGCCCTAAAGGCCCTAGACCCTTTTGGTTTTTTTTTCAATGCAGTGCCCTTTTCCTTGCGTCCAAGGGTCCGCCCCGGTACGACCTAAGGGTTTAGGGTTTAGGGTTTAGGATTATAAGCCCTAAAGGCCTAAAGGCTTTAAACCCCCAAACAACCCTAACACCACCCGTGATGAATCCAGAGCCTCCGGCTGAGGCCTAGAGCTTCAGTGTGAGGCCTTTAGGGTTTAGGGCCTTAGGGCCATTGGGGCCTTTGGGGGTGTTCGGTTTTTGTTTTAGGGTTCAGACAAGAATTTTTGACAGCAAGAAGCATTAGTCATAATAGGAGCAGCAACAATAACGACAACAACTAAAACGCCGAAATTCTAACCCAAGCCCTGAATTGGAAACTAGAAGGCTCCAAGCAGCATACATTCCTGGAAATCTCGGAACCCTACCACTCGGGATCTGAGTTACATGTCCCTTGGCTTGGATCCTGAAAATACCCTTTAATCAAAGGGGAAAAGGAGGGATCCTTAATGGGGACCCCTACCCTATAATGGGCCATATAATGGGTATATAATAGCTATGTTCAGGGTATATTCCTAGGGGTCCTCATTAAGGGTCCCTCCTTTTACCTTTGGATTTAAGAATCCCTGCAAGTCTTCTTGGAGCTACGGAAAGCCACAATATCACCAAAACCCCCAAGCCCCTCCACCCACTCAGCAAATCCAAGGGTAACAGGAGGGACCCTTAATAAGGACCCTTAGGTATTTTCCCTTAATATAGCCATTATATAGCCCATTATAGGGGAGGGGTCCCATGAAGGGTCCCTCCTTTTCCTCTTTGAGCAAATGCAGCTTCGAAGTGTCTGGATCCGTATTTTCAGGGCTCGCACCACCGAAACCTAGTGGTCGCACAGCGAACGGTTTAGGGTTTAGGGTTTAGGGTTCAGGGTTCAGGGTTGAGGGTTGAGGCTTTAGGGCCTAAACTCTCAACTCAAAACCCGAATCGACCCGTATAGAAACCCACTTGAAAGCAGCCCTTCAAGCAGCCTCAACCCTGCATTGACCCTAGACTCTATACGCCCCAAGCCCCAAAACGCCAAACCCTAAGCATCGACTTCTACAGAGGTTTTTGAATTTTGAACCCTTGCACTAGGTTCCCCAGTGGTGCCCTTTTTGCACCCTTTTTCTTTTTGGGTTCCCTTATCATAACCAAATAATATGAACACGGGTACCCTTGTTATTGGGGGGTTACTGGGTAACGCTAAACCCTAATCCCTTATCCCCGAACCCTTGTTGTGCTCTTCTAGCTCCCTTTTAAAGAATCCTTACTGGGGAACCTAGGTGTATATTGGGGAACTTAGTATAAGACCATACCTATGGTCTCCATTGTAGTTGCTTTTCTTGGTTAACCAAACACTATATTATTGGATGCTAACCATACCCTAAACCCTAAATCTCGAAGCATTGAAGCAGCGATAAACCAAACCCTAAACCCTGAACCCGTTAATGTAGGCGCCTAAATTATTTCCTATACCTGTAAAGGGGCGTATAAGGGCTACTACAAGGGCTATTGTAAGGATTTAGTATAGGCGCCTAAATAATTACCTATACTATTTTGGGAGTTCCTTGTTTTGAGGATAATATGTTGGGCCCCAGAACCTATGCTGATTATTAAGGCCCCTATAGCAGCTTCAACCCTGAACCCTAAGGCTTAATAGGCTTAAGCCTATGAACCCTAATGTAGGGTCTATGGCCTAGGTTTTAGGGATGTTTCGGGTTTAGGGGTTTGGGCATTCAGTGTTCAGGGTCTGGTAAACCCTGATTCCCTAAACCGCACTAAACCCATACATCGCTTGTAGCAACCTTTAACGGAAGCCTTGTGGTAGCCATCAGCCCTTGATTAAGGAGGGCCAGTCCAAGAAGCTCTCCGAACAGACGATGGAGGCAAGGATCGACGAGGCGGAGACGTTGGTGTTTAAGAAAAGAGTGGTTTAGGGTTTATTATTTTTTTTGCAGGGGGGGGATGCGGTTTTTCAAAGAGGGTTTGATGCGGGTTTTCAATAGGGCTGTTTATCGAGTGGTCAATTGTTGTGCATTGGCTTGTTATTCGGGTGTAGGCTTCAAAACCTTCCTTTTAATTTTTTTTTAAACTAAGCATCAGGATGCTTCAGGTTCAATGTGTTTTTTATTGTTGTTTTACACAACATCTAGGCCCTGCATGATAAGGATCCTAACGTTTCTTGATTCCATATTTCCAGGCCTTATTTTCTGAAGCTCACACTTTCGAGCAGGTCCAGTTCCGGTCTATAGCGGCTGCGCCAGCATACTTGGCACTGTTGGGGACCATCTTTTTGTATGATCTGGAAGTTCACAAGTGTTTAAGCGTGGCATTAAACCACTAGAACTGTATTCCCTAGGGCTCCTTTTCGTAGTACTTCCATCATGCACCCAACCCGAACCCCGAGCCCGACCTGCTGGAGTGTTGAAAGCCCCAAACTCTAACCCCAAAGCCTGGAGCTCTAAGGACTCATATATTAAGGTAAAAGCCAGAAAGTTGGAATATGATTATCCTAAACCCTTTATTGTAAATTATAAGGTATCCTACCCTGAAACCATATTCCAACTTTCTGGAGTTCCCTTTAAGGCGTTTGGGCCCAAAGTCCATACTACATATGGCTTTTGGGCTACTTCGATCCCTAGGGAAAGCCCTAATCCCTACCCGCAACCTTGGGGCCGGTAAGCCCGAGACCCCGAAACCCTAAACCCACAACTCTGGGTTTAGGGTTTAGGGTTTAGGGTTTGCAGGAGGTGGGGAAGATGCGTGTGACGACCTTCAACCTTTCCTGCCGAGCAAGCTGGCAAAAAATGATGTCTGCGAGGGTGAGAGAATAGTCCATGGGTTCAGGGTCGTTAGCAAGGTTTTATCAAGCTTGTTTCGGAGGTTTACAAGGGCTTTACAAAGGGGAGTGTGGTGGGGATCGAGTGCTGAGGGCATCGAGGTGTCGAAAGTTTCGGTTTGTGGTAGTTTTTGAGTTTGTGTTCTTGGGGCTTTAACGGCCTCGGACTCAGCTCCGAGATATAATGTGCATGTATGCGCATGTACACATACATGCGCATAGTCTATCTATCTATCTACCTATCTATCTATCCATCTATCTATTTGTATATATACATAGGGTTCTATGTGGATGTTCTCCGGGATCTGGGATTCAACGACTTGTGAACAGGTCGCACTGAAACATATCACACCGGCTTTATTGCCAGAAGCGCGATCTTGCGATTTAGGAGCTGAGGACTGAGGGTATTGATTAGGTACTGCCCCCATACAGTAAGAGTCTATAATAGGGCTGCTATGAAGGTCCTAATATATCTATATTATGAATATTATTCAACTATTACTGAGTGGGGGCCGTACCCAAGGTATTGAAGGTTTAGGGGGTTTAGGCTGTAGGGTTTGGGCTTTAGGGTTCTGGCTTTAGGATATAGGGAGTTGAGGATTTACGGTGTTGGGCTTTGGGTTTGGGGTTTAGGGTGGCGCCCGTCTGATTCTGTTTTTTCGCGAGGGCAGTTTGACGCATACGTGGGTCGAAATGCTTACGAATGCCTCTAAAACTGTCCCTAAACCCTACACCCTAAACCTCTTGAAACTCTGGAACCTTCCGTCCCAAGGCCCACACTCCGCCAGTGCCCTGAAGTCTGCGCCGCTCTAACCTGTAGTCACTGTAGTCCTGCGTATTCCCTGAACCCGTTCCCTTAAAGCAAGGGGAGGGTTCAGGGTTCAGGGGTTCCGTGTGTGTGTGGGGGGGCTTAGTGCCCGAAACTTAAAACCCAGACCCTATTCGCCCTACCGGCCGTCCAGGTCATGGTCCACATTGGTGTGATCGCCGTGCTTGTGGCGCTGATGGAAGTGCCGCAGCGAAGATTCCTGAAAAACGCCCAAACCCCCCAAAGCCTTAAACAGGGTGAGACCCTCAACCCTAAACACCTAAACCCGTAAACGTAGGGGTTTAGGATTTAGGGTAACTCGAGTGAAATTCCTCAGTGTTGCGAGTTCACCAGCAGAAGGATTCATAAGTCGGAACAGCCCCCCACCTGACCACAACCTGAGCTAATTGCACAGCCCGTACATCCCGAACGCCTACAGAACCTTTTGTGGTTTGGGGTTGCGGTTCTAGGGATTAAGTTTGTGGTTTGGGGTTTCTGTCACATCACCCCTACAAAGCCGTGCAGCTTGACTGCGAGTGGTTTTGAACCGCTCGCAGTTTCCCGAGTCGGCTTTTTTGTCTTTTCGAGACATCAGCCAAGAGCCCTCCCCCGGGCTGACCACTCCCTCTCCAAGAAGCGCTCGAAGCCCGGGAACTCAGAAACTTTAAGGAATATACCTTGAATCTTGCAGAGCCCAAGCTATATTCCCATTCCTCCACAAACGGCTTCGGCTTCGCTGGGAAAGGCCAAGCTATATTCCTATTCCTCCACAAACGACTTTGGCTTCAGTTTAGGGCGACTTGGGGTGTAATGAATCGAGACTTGGTGGCTGAAAACATAGAGATCTGAATACTTCGTGGTTGTGGTTCCTTATAGCCCCTGTTTTTGAAGAACATACAGAGCCCACCAGGTTCTGTTCTACTTATACAGGCCGCTATATGCGTTCGGATGTGAAGTACAGCAACCGCATGTCAGCCGTATTATGTTTCAATGGGAGGTTAAGACAATACGGAGCCCCTAATGTCGACCCTCTATAGTAAGATCCTGCTTACAAGGACACCCCCAGCACCCGCCAGTTTTCAGAACCACCCGCCTCCTCCCCAGTGTTCAGAAGGCCCCCGAGGGCCTTCTGTGATCTTAGACCCTCAGACCCCGAAGGACTTCCAGAACCCGAGCAGCCTTAAGAGACGTAAGCCTTGAACTCCCCGAGGCTCCATGTACCCATATATTGTGTACTTGGGCCTTAAAGTATTACAGTACCCTAGGACCCAGAGTAGGCCCTTATTCCCTTTTTGAGGGTTTCGGTTCCCTTATAAACCCCTTTAAACCAAAAAGGGCATCCTTTTTGTGCCTGGGTTACTCTTGGGTCTAGGTATACTTGGGCCTTAAATTATTAAAGTACCTACAAACAGTGCCCCTTTAAAGCTTGAGTATCTACTCTAAAAGGTACATGGATTAGAAACTCCTACAGTCGAAGCCCAGAAGTTGGAAACCCTGTAGCCTCAATCCTTAAGAGGAATGTATTGGGTGATCGCAGCACTATTTGGCCTTAACCTGGTTTCCAACTTTGTGGGGTTTACTGCAATGACATACTACTACTACCTACCCCAAAACCCTATACAAGTCATCTACTTCTCCACCCTGAACCCTTAAATCTGGGGTTTCTCCTAAGTGTCCTCCTTGTCTTAGGGGTACTTAGAAATAATTTTTAATTTTTGGTTATTATAATCCCTAAGAAACAGCTAAAATTACAATTTTTGCTAGGGTTCTAAGTTCAGTATAGTTGTGTGATACTCCGAGCAAAGGCTCACCGGAAGCCGAGTCTGAGATCACTCCTCTGGCTCTTATGGATGCTCCATGCCCGCTTTAGGGTTTTGGGGTTCAGGGCTTTAGGGTTTGGAGTTCAGGGTTTAGGCTTTAGGGCTTTAGGGTTGAGGGCTTTAGGGTTTAGGGCTTTAGGGTTGAGGGCTTTAGGGTTTAGGGGTTTAGGGCTTTAGGGTTGAGGGCTTTAGGGTTTAGGGGTTTAGGGCTTTAGGGTTGAGGTTTTAGGGCTTAGGGTTTGGGGTTTCTGGCCTTTAGGCCTGTAGGGTTTAGGGCCTTTGGGGTTTGTGGTTTAGGGCTTCAGGGTTGAGGGTTTAGGGGCTACAGGCCTATATAGGATCCTCGTAGGGGCTTGAAGGGGTACTATAGGTTCTGACTTTAGGGTGTCACTCGGCTAACTCGGGTTTTGCGGCCTGTGGGAAGGTGTTGATCCAGGATCGCATGTCCGGCCGAGGTTTGGCTTCCAGGGCTTACTAGTAGCAAGTTCCTGGACGTTCAAGGCTCAACCCTAAACCCGAAGCCCTCAACAGAGATTTAACCCAAAGCCTAAAGCCTAAACCGTCGATGGTCACAAATCTTGCGTGACCTTGAGAGTAAGCTGTTACATTGCTCTTGGAACTCCAACCAGTTGTCCTCTGACCACCTTAGTGAGCTGTATATAATCTACTTCCAGGGTTTAGGATTCAGGGTTAGCCTTTTGTGGTGTGTGTATATATATATAATCTATCTATCTATCTATCTATCTATATATATATATATATATATATATATTACCATAGTTGACGAGGTTCGTCCTTTTATGGGCTAGGGAACTTAGCCCCTCAGTCACCACCATCACAACCATCACAACCATCACCCTTCTTGCTGCAGCAGTGGCAGCAGCAGCGGCGGCAGCAGCGGCAGTCGCAGAGTGGGGGCAGCAGCACACTATTCGCTAGTAGCATGATGGTCCGCGAGTTTCATTGATGTGTTCTGTACGGCGATAACAAAACAGCATGATGATGAACACTATGATGACGACGATGATGCTGATGAATACTGTCTCGATGATGGTCGTATGGCTGATGGTGTGGATGCTGCTGCCGCTTGCGACGAGGACGATGAGGATGATGACACAGATATTGATATGCCATAGGAGCCTAAGTAGCTACCACGACTATTTCGGAGTTTCTTATTGTCGTTACATTGTAGTATGCTCCAATACCTGATTTTGATGATTAGGGCCCCTAACGTTGTTGACATCCTCAAGTCGTTCTTGAGGTGCTGTGTCTAAATACGCGAAGCCCCCGAAACCCACAACAACCAACTCTGAGCCCTTGCCCACTCTAGGCCCAATATATCCTCGCCCCAACGAAATCCCGAAACCTACCCTCAACCCTAAACTCGAAACCCTACAGCATAATTAAGCCCTACATCCTAAGCTCTGCACCCGGAATGCCCGAAGCTTCTGAAGCGACCTAAACCCTAAACCCTAAACCCGAAACTGAAGCGGCCTGCAGAGGTTTTTGCCGTACTGCGCGGACGTTTTAAGCGTTCTGGGGCATGTGGCTTGGAATGTGTTGTAAGCCCGTGCCTCTTTTCGTCTCCTTGTGTATAGATGTACCCGTCGCCCCAAAAAGCCTACACTTTTCAGGACCTCCATCCCAAAGGGTCCAAAGTACTGGTATAGTAGAATGTAGGGTTTCTATATTAGGAATTTCTATTATGATTTGGGGAGGTATTCCCCATAACAGTACCTAGGACCCTTTGGGCATAAGAAAAAACTAGGATGCCCAGTAGTACCCTTATTCCCTTTTTGTAGTCCTAGGTTCCTTATATATATAAAGTTACCCAATACCAAAAAGAGAGCCCTTTTCATTCCTGGCTTATTGGGTATCCTAGAAGAAAAAACACAGCAATAAGGAGCAGTCGGAAGCTGGTCAGTGCTTTGGGGGTTTTAGTTGGGGTTTCGGGGGCAGGGATTTAGGGCTCTTCAGTTCCTCTGGGTTTTGGGGGGCTTTCACTTTTAGGTCTGGAGCTTGAGTTTAGGGTTTAGGGGTTTCGAGTTTAGGGCTTAGAGTTTAGGGTTTAGGGTATTGTGGATCTAGTATCCTGCTGCTCCAGGGTTCTAAGACTACCCCGAAAGTGTTTTACAGGGCTTGGGCGCGAAGCGGTCAAAATTCTCTGCTATCCTACACCCTGAAGCCCTAACCCTTAACACCTAAACCCTGAACCCTAACGCTAAGCCCCACCGGCAGTTTGGGATTGTGAAGGTGTGTACAAGGTAATAACTGAGAAGTTCAGTTTAAGTCGTTATGGTTTAACAAGAAGCCAGTATGTTTATGGTGGCTTTTGGTGTTGAGGAGCCGAGACTTGGAATAACATTCGTTGAAGACAGGTTCAGGGTTCAGGGTGCAAGGTCCAGCGAGACAGGATCCCTCCAAAGACAGTTCGAAGGGCTTTTGACTTGAGAAACAGAGCACCCCGAAAATTCCTGCTAGAACTAGAATCCGTTTTTGCGGTCCCAAATATATCTCTGTACATATATATATAGAGAGAGAGAGTTACACTACAACATACCCTAAAGCTCTGTCCTACTTATTAAGTCCGTAGATGAAATCCTGGCAGGACCCTTCGATGCTGTGGTTGTGATTCCGTTTCATGTTGCAGGGTTTAGGGAGTTGAGGGTTTACACTGATATATCGGTTTAGGGTTTAGGGTTTAGGCCCTAAACCAGGTTCTAATTATTCAGCCCCTTTTCTTTAAGGCTCTTGGAGACTTTGTTACTTTAATCCTTTTTTGGTTCCTGTCTTCTTTTGTAGGGGTCTCCGAAAAAGTAGTTTTTTGCTTACCTTCCAAGGGGAGTAGAGTTTTAATTAATGACATCAGCGGCAACTCCTGCGCCCAGTCCCGACAAAGCCGAGGTGCGCCTATCCCCAGCCCGCGCGCCTGAGTTGCACATTGACGTTGCCAGCTTCCGGCTAAACCCCACAAGCCCCGAATAAGAGTAGGGTTTGGGTACCCGTTATACTATACTATACTACACTATGCTATGATAAGGAACCTACAGTAAGCTTTAGGGGGGCTTAGGAGTTGTGTTTCGAAACCCTGTTTGCAGCCCCGAACCCTTGCCGGAAAAGCTAACCCATATACTTTAAACAACCCTGAACCCCCAAACCCTAAACCCATACTATCCCCCGAAGCAACAACCCACAACTCCTAAGCCCCCCTAAAGCTTACTGTAGGTTCCTTATTCTAAGCGTAGTATGATGGGCACCAAAACCCTAGACCCTAAACCCAAAACCCTAAACCCTAACCCTAAACCCCAAAACCCTAAACCCTAACCCTAAACCCCAAAACCCTAAACCTTAACCCTAAACCCCAAAACCCTAAACCCTAACCTTAACCCAAAACCCTAAACCTACATAAGTTCGCCGAAGAAAGGCTAGAGCAGCCCGCGATCCATGAGCCCTCTGGGGGATACGTCAAGTCGGTGGTCCGACATAGGTTTAGGGTTTAGAGGTTTTGCGGTTTGGGGCTAGGGTTTAGGGTTTTGGGTTTAGGGTTTAGGGTTTTGGGTTTTGGGTTTAGGGTTTTGGGTTTTGGGTTTTGGGTTTAGGGTCTAGGGTTTAGGGTTTCGGGGTTTAGGGTTGCCGACCGCCCCGTGATGTGGGAGGAGGTCCTGCGCGGCCAACTACCTCGACGTTGTACGTCTTGGCTCAAGTGGAATGCTCTATGTTAGGGACCCAAAAAGCACATAAGCAGAAGCATTATTATGGGGATATCCCTACCTTCATTATGAGGGGGTTTATATGGGATATCCCTATGCTAATTTTTGCCTATGTGCTTTTTTTGGGGCCCTACTATGGCCGCCAAGGTCCCCGCTTCACGACTGAGGAGACGAGTCACAGGACCCGCGGCCGTGGCGAGGTGCGACCGAGCTCAAGTCCCCAGAGACTCCAATATCCCTTAATTAAGGAATATATATATATATATATATGTACATACACCTTAAATTACAATAGGATCCCTAATATGATTTAAGGAATATTCCTCAATTAAGGGATATTGGAGTCTCTGGGTCGACCACAGAGCTCTACGGCCCAACGAGTCGTGGCCAGTGCCCCGTGATTATCGATGAAGTGGAATGTCGGACACCGAAAGGACTGTCGGGAATGGGGGAATGGATCCCTATAAGAGTCCCTATGTACTCCCCAAAAATAGTCTCCATAATCCATCCCCCCATTCCCCACTAAGAACCAGACAGCCTACCAAGAACCCTAAACCCCTGGAAAAAGTATAATCCTTAAAGTATAGACCTTATAGTATACCCTTATAGGAACCCTTAAAGGAGCTGAAATGCTGGCTCGGGCAAGTCCGGAGTTTCTCTTGTTGCTTTGTCTGTGACACCGCCGGAGGGTCGTGCCGAGTACCTGGCACCCACCTGGAGGACCACATGACCCTTAAAAGTAGGGGCCCTATACCCATATACTATGAATCCCTATATGGTATAATTTAGGGTTCATTTCGTCCTTAAGGCATCCCCATCCGTTACACTCCAATCAACGGGGTAACAGAGTAGGGTTCTCAGCTTATTTTGAAACGGTGCCTCTTCAGAGATCAAGAGTACGGGTTTTGGAGTTGGTGGTTGCGGGTCGGCGGTTGATTGAAGGCTCAAAGGGTCTACGGCGGTTCGGGCTGAAGGGCTCTTCAGGGTTTCTGGTTCCTTTGGCTGTTTGGGGTGTGCTATCGGGATGCTCCACAGTTTCCCAGGATGCTTGGCTGAAGAAAAGCCGTGTCTTTCGAGTCCGACGCCCTGAACCCCAAAACCCCAGAGCGCAGCCCTCAAATTTGCAATGCTTACTATTGCCATATGCCTCGTAGAGCCAAAACCCTAAACCTTAAAGCCCGAATGAGGCTCAAGGCTCCCACAAAACCGAATCGAAGCCCAAAACCCAAAGACCTAGCCCTAAACCCTAAACCCTAAACCCTAGTAACTCCTTAGTATTTTCTGTTTGAACCCACCGACCCCAAGGCCTAAACCCGAGGGGTTCAGAAGTGAAAGTTTGAGGTTGTCGGGACCCTATGACTAGGATGCCCAGTAGAACCCTAATTCCCTTGTTGTAGTCCTAGGTTCCTTGAAAAGTTACCCAATACCAAAACGGGAGCCCTTTTCATTCCTGGCTTACTGGGCATCCTAGATGATGTTTGGACCTGGAAATGGAGGCTTCTTAGCGTTCCAATGGTTGCCCCCACGTTCAGTCTTCAGACGCCCAAACCCCTAAACCCTAAGCAGACGAGAGCATACCTGTCTATGTATGTGTACATGTGTTTATTCTGTTTCTTTACATATTTTCACTTAAAAATATCTAGATATTCAACAGTATATATGTGTGTATATATATATGATATATGTGTATATATATATATATATATATATATGTTTTTGTAATAACTCAAATGGTATGTAGAGGGGCTCCTACATCACCACTTAAGGGCCAACGTCTACGGATACAAGCGCCTTTTTGAGGTTGACGGTATTCTACAGGAGCTTGACGAATTGCGAAAGGTAAGGCTGTGGCATATTACATACTATCATAGATCCCTAATGAACGACTGCTACGGTTGATGATATACATCCTGCATTACCCACAACAAGGAATATACCATAATTCCCATAGTCTAGGGTCCTTATTAATAAGGTAATGCAGGATTTATATCATCAACCGTAGAAGCAACTAACTGTAGTTCCAAAGATGAGCCCCCGAAGCCTTGTTTGCATTCGTAAGGCCTCTATATCAGCCTAAACCCATGGCTTACTTCTTGCAAGGCTAGTGGGCTTTAACTCATATGGCTCTGTGTTTGGAATCTTGTTTTGTGGTTCAGGGGTTACAATTTAAGGGTTAGGGTTTAGGGTTTAGGGCTAGGGTTTCGGGTTTCCTTTTGGAGTTGAGGATTTCGAACTTTTGCCCTACCATGGCTGAACCCTAAGCCCTCAATACTCAATCCCACTGGCCCCTCGGGCCTTCTCTGGGAGACAGTTAGGATGCCGGCGCGAAAGGTGTTCCAGCGAAAGCCACGTAGTATAGAAGCCTGAACAATCCCCAATACTGTTGCTACACTGCAGAGAGCCCGCAAAACCCTAAACCCTAAACCCTAAACCCTAATCCTAAGCCCTATATCCTAAACCCTGGAAAGCCCTGTTTGTGTTCTCAACTCTGCACCCCTCGAGGTGCGAGCCACCTGTGTCGGCATCTACCTTTGTGCTTTGGTGCGGTTTAGGGTTTGGAGTTTGTGATTTTTTTATTTCTCCCGGGTCGACGAGCCCAAATAGTAGGGCTTTAGGTTTCAGAAACCAATCAAAGTGTAGCTTCGTATAGTATTTGGTTATGAATGGGCAGGTGTTTCGAATTCAGGGCTGATCTCAGAGACGTCGACATCCCGCAGATTACTGTCTTTGGGGTCTGTCCAAGGCTGCGCTACAATGGTAGGAGGGCTGGTCGGACACCCTGCCCGAAACCCCGAACCCCGAAACTGAGAGCTAGGGAACTTCGGATCAGCGCATACTGGGAGGTTTCATGAAGGCGTTTTCAAGCTGTGTTTGAAAGCAGCTGTGTGGCTATGTGGGTTTTGGGTCGCCATAGGCGGGTGTTCGAGCCCCTATATACACGTATTAAACCCGCCCGGGTAGAGGTTTGTTCACGATTTAACCTGCTGAAAATTCAAAAATAAAACCCTTGCCCCTCAATTATGTATATTCCTAAGGGGTTGGGTTTCTTGTCTAGAGCCAAACTTCGAAAACTTTGGGGGCTTGAGATGGTGTAATACAGGGTGTACTATGTACACTATGCCCTCCGCAAATGGGTAGAGTTGGGGAACGAGAAGACAGAGTAAGTCCGGCTATACGTAAGGGTTTAGGGTTTAGGGTTTTGGATAGTTACAGCAAGCGAAGAAAGCCGATGCAAAGCCGATGCACTGCAGCTCTCAGTAATGAGCTTGGGATTCTTTGCATCGCGCACCTTAAGCCTTCTTATAGCCCAAAGGAGCCTGATGAAAAGCTTCACACAGGGAGCTGAAAAACGAGTACGTAACAGTATCCCATTTTGCAGCCCCTCCTTTTCCACACAATTAAGGCGGTCCATATTACATAGCTTCTCGACATCCTGCCACAATGTGCGCATACAATCTCTGCATGCGCGTGAGAGCAAGAACAGATACAGGTATGCGCGCAGATACGTAGTTACACACATGCAATTTCTGCATGTACTTCATGCCTGAAATGGGTCGAGCGAATCAGCTAAAAAAAACCCTTGGGGTTTCATAGCACATAACATTCGATATTTAACTATACCATGATGTACCCCCAAAACCCTTGTGAAGGCTCCCCCTGGTACTCTTCCTACCTCGGCCTTTGTTTGTTTTCAGTTGCTGCGCGCACAACCAATTAAGGCGCCCTCGGGGGCACGATTTCTTTGGCATGGGAGCCGTATCCTGGCTTCCGCAGACCTTCCCTAAGGGCGTCACTTGAGGGTTTAGAGTGCAGGGTTTAGGGCGTACTGGCTTCGAACGAAGACCGTCCCTAAGGGCTTCGATTTAGGACTTTAGGGTGCAGGGTTTAGGGTTAAGGGTTTAGGTTCAGGGTTAACGATACGTGCACCCTGCGAGGGTTCTATATGGGATTCCTTGAAGGTGTTTAGGGCGCCATCCATAAACTTGTCGGGCGCAAGGTTCCAAGGGTTTTTCAGCCTCACCGCGGTTTTTTCAATGTTTTTTGTTCACCTTGGGAGGGGTTTTACAGGGTTTACTTTGGTGGCTTATGGGCTTTACTGTAGGGTGGCAAGCAGATGTGCACATATGTAATAACTTGAATTGTAGACAGATCGGTAGCCAGGCACAAGCGTGTACAACACCATGCAGGTCTTTCGGTTCATGCACAACAAACCACATACGTACTCACACACATACGACCCGAACCCACGCCCGCAGCCCCAACACCCTAACCCAGAAACCCCCAAGCCTGTTATGTGCGGATATATATATATATATATATATATATATATAGACACTTGCAGATGACATATCTTTCTAGATGTACATATACACACACACCCATATATATATATATATATATAGATATATACATATATATATATATGTATTTGTACACACAAACGGAAATAGATATTGGCAGATTACCCTGAACCCAAAACTTTAAACCTAAAACCATCCGCCATGTACAAGGCAGTAAAAGTGTGTATGCACATAGCCTGTTGTGTACAAATACGACACATATGTATATAAATCTGACCCTCAAGACTTTGCCTAAGGCTCCATGTACCCTTATAGTAGATACTTAGGCCTTAAAGTACCTATATAGGGACCACTTTAAGGCCTAAGTATCTACCAAAAGGGTACATGGAGCCTTTGGGGTTTGCAAGTCTGAACCTCAACCTTCAACCCTAAACCCTCAACCCTAAACCCTCCACCCTAAACCCTCAACCCTAAACCCTAAACCCTAAACCCTAAGGAAAGAAGAGTATGTTGGTCGGGCCGGGGTGTCGGTGGCAGCGCAGCTGGTGTTGGGGATCACCTTTCCGGACACGGCATCCTGGAGAACGGTTTCGAGTTTAGGGTTTAGGGTTTCTGGGTTTCAGGGTTTAGGGTTTAGGGAGGTTTCCCGAAGTTTATAAGACTTCAACCGCCAAAGCTAACGGAGAATGGTTTCGGGTTGAGGATACCCAGTGACGGTTTGTGGAAGTTACGGTTTCTAGCGACGGTTTGCGGTATCGGGTTTTAACTAGGGTTCCTGGTGATGGTTTAGAGTTCTGATTTCTAGTGCTGGTTTGGAGTTCCGGGCTTCGGTTTTCTACTGCTTCGGAAGCCCTGCAAAGCCTGAAACCTAAACTCATGTTATTGCAGAGGGTGCTGTAGCTGCCATGCCTGATTCAGCAAATGAAGAAGCCTTGGGGTTTTCCTTGGGTTCTTTAGATGGATCCAAGCAATACTGGGGGTTACAGGACGTCAGGTTCATACATTAGGGTGTTCTGTCAGCTTTAGCAAGCCCACTAGGCTTGGAGGGGAGCAAACGCCTCTTAGCTGAGGAATGTACTTTAGAACGCGGATCCCTCCATAGTTGAAGATATGCTCCTCAAAAGGCTGTTGGGTCTTTAGGGTTTGAGGAGGACCTTCACCCCAACTCCAGCCAAACAAGTTATAGGGTTTCGACTTTCGGGTCGGATTTCTTGCGGAAGACTATAGGGTTTAAATTACTTTAGGGTTTAGGGTTTGGAGGTTTAGGATTTAGGGTTTAGGGTTTAGAGTCTCCATTCTAATCAAAAGGCCCCTTTAATGCATCGGTGGGAAGCTTTGAGCCTACACCTCGGAAAGCCACATGCTCTAGGGTCGATCCTAGCATCATTCTGTATTTCTCATGAGGAGGCCTGCTTGGAGGGTCGGGGGACTTAGTAACTGGTTATTTTAGGGACTTATAAGTGCCATAACCCCAATTAGGGTCCCTTTTAGGGTACTTATAAGTCTACTTACTACCTACTTACTAAGTCCCCCGACCCTCCAAGTAGAGATACCCTACCAAGTCTTCTGGGTCTTCTTGGGCTTTGGTGTTGTCCCGTTCCGGGTTGAAGGCTGCAAGCAGATTCCCGGTTAAAGCGCTGCACCACAGAGTTCGACTCGAGGCAAACGGCTAGAAGCAGAGCAAGAAGGGCCAAGAGCCCGAAAGCGTGCAACTCTCTACACCCTGCAACTTGTTGCAATGCAAGAAGACTTTAGATCCCGAAACTCTAAACCCTATAAGCTCCCTTATGGATCCCTTTAAAGGAAGGCCAAGTGATCCCGTAAAGAAACCGGGTTCCTGCAAGGCAGTTGCAGCTCCTTTTTCCTTGCTCTTCCTCGCCGCATACGTCTGGACCGCAATGGAGGCGGCCATGCGAAGTCGGGCCTCAACAGGTAGGGTTTAGGGTTTGGGGTTTAGGGTTTGGGGTTTAGGGTTCATGGTTTCGGGTGGGAGTAGTCCCAAGTGAGAGTCCTGGTCTAAGGGGTCCTTGATCTTACCTACCTTCATCCCACCTTTTTAGGCCGCCATGCGAGGTCCTTTACACAAACAGAGCCGTAAACCCTAAAACCTATGCTCTACAAACCCTAAACCCCCAAACCTATACCCTATAAACCCTAAACCTGTTGGAAGTTTTGATTCCGGACTCTAAGCCCTCTTACCCCAGGTACAGTCTCCCAGTGTTCTTCCGCAGCAGCAACTTCAGAGCTAGGATACAATAATATAGGGGCCTTAATAATTAATTAGAATAGGGTTTTGGGGCCCATTATACTATAGTTATAATAAGGGGCCCTCCCAAGATAGTATAGGTAATTATTAAGGCCCCTTTTGTAATCAATAACCATGAAGCAAGGCAACCAAGGAAAGGTATGGCATTGGAGACTATCGACGAACCAGACAAAGCATCTTTTCAGATAGCCGCGGGCATGTCCTACAAGCCCACGCCAGCCAACCGGCTAAAACCCTAAACCCTAAACCCTGAACCCTAAACCCTAAACCCTAAACCCTAAACCCTAAACCCTAAACCCTATCCCGGTTGAGGTTTCCAACGAGCACCGGGGGTCGCCCGAGCTCGAAACCCAAAGCCGGATCGGGCCGGAACCCTAATGCAGGAACTTGAGATGAAACCCGGCAAATGGTAGGATAAAGTTAAGGAGCCCTAATAAAGACCCAGGGTTTCTTAATCAGGTTCCTACACTATAAACCCTACAGTCCTTAAGCGACAAACCCTAAACCCTTCAAACCCCGAGCCTCCAACCCTCGCTCCCGTCAGCCCTCAACTCAACCTGAAACCTTTTTCCCAAGCCTCATACTCCAGAACCGGGAGTGGCTGGTTGAACCCGAGGCCCGGTTTCATGAGAACTAGCCGCCGACCCGAGCCGAAAGTCGTACAGCACGGAATGTTGAAACTTGCACTCCTTCTCAACCTCCTGACCCTAAAGGGTCCAAGTACTCAATATCATGAGACTTGGGATTTTCGAGGACTTCTATGCGGAAATTCAAGCAAGGAGCCCTGAAACCCTAGGTTAACCTCGGGCCTACTAAGGGAGGGCGGGGTTTAGGGATTGAGGGTTCAGGGGTTTTAGAGGTTTCAGGGGTTTCGGATTCAGGGTTTTCAATCTGTAGCGCCGCCCTCCCCACAAGAATCCAGGCAGAGGCTGGCGTTTGTACTATCATAGGGGCCCTTAGGAAGGTAAAGGGAGGGGGAGTGGTGGGCCGCAATCCCCATACTCAGGGCTTACTAATTGCCAGCATCTTCGTGGAGTAATCCCGCGGCTTGTACTTGGAGGATCATGGGACCTAGTAGTTACCTGGACCCTGAGGAACCTGCCTTTTTTTGCTTCCTTAATAGTATTATTTCCTTTTGTAAGTCCTAAGAAAGGTTCTTCAGGGTCCAGGTAAGCAGGGTTACTAGCACCTGAATTGGGGTTGTGCGTAGTGAGAAGTCTGGTTGCCATGTTTTTAACCAGTCACTGAGTTCCGTGATCCTCTAAGTAGAGCAGCAGCTTTCCTTCTTCTGTGGCCGAACCCAATTATCTTGTCCCACTCTACACCTAAACGTAGGGCTTAGGGGTTCGGGCTGTGGGTTCAGCGTTCAGGGTGTAGGACTTAGGGTGAAATTCAATCCTTGCGGTGTAGCTTTAAAGTTTAGGTTGTAAAGCTGAGGGCTTTGGGTGTAAGAGCCTGCTTGCGGAGGTGTGTGGGGTGGAAGCCATCAACGCTTGGTTCCTCTTCCAGCAGGGTTTCCAGCTGGTGCTGAAGCTTTGCTGCCCTAACGGCTTTTGGGTTTTGCATATCTGTGGAGATGTTTAGGTGACAGAGCTGAAAAGCCTTGCCTCCAATCGTCGTTCATAGAAGTTGGTTCTACCTGCATGAAGAGCCGAGCAGGCTAAACACCTCTCCCATCACCCAGAGAACTTCTACCCTGGACTCTAATATAGGGGCCTTAATAATTACCTATACTTGTTTTCTGGGAATCCAGAAGCCCAAAAGTTGGAAACCCAATAGCCTCAATCCTTAAGAGTCATGTATAGGGAATCCCAGCAATACTTGGCCTTAAATCCGGTTTCCAACTTTACGGGGTTTACTATATAGTATACTGGGCCCCAAAAGCCTCTGTCAATTATTAAGGCCCCTATAATATATTTGACCTTAAACGGGGCAGCAGGGAACAACCTTTCATTAGCTTCTTTCATTAGCTTCTCGGTCTTTGTGATCATAGCAACTCCACGGCCAGCTAGAAATACGATTTACAAAGAACTTCAGGCTTTACGGTTCCCAGAGTCTCCCATATCCCTGAACAAAGGAATTTTCGAAAAAAAACACATTAAGGATCCTACTATAATTTCAGGTATATTCCTTAATTAAGGAACATACCTGTTAAATCATATTCCTACTTTAATTTTTAGGTATGTTATCCAGACATTTAAGGGATATTGGCTATTGGGGTCTCTGGGTTCATGGCCCACGTACTCAGCGGCTGCCGTCTCAGGTTGAGGTTTAAGGTCTCGATCACTGAGGCACTGCGGTCTAAGACCATTTTCCACGAAATTCACGTGACCACTACAGGAACGTATTGGTTCCTGTGGTGCTGGAAAAGATCAACCGCGATCGCATCGCTGCCTCCTTTCAATCAAAGGATCGCGGTGCTGTGTTCGGGTTTTCGCTGAAAACGTGTTCCTCTGAAGGCATTGGTACAAGTTCCAGGGTCCCGACTCCGAAAACATCCGAAAACCTGAAGCTCTACACTAAATCCCGAAGACATCAACAGACTAAACCTCAAAAGCCCTACACCGTCCTAGCTGGGTCAGGGCTTGAAACTGTACGTCTCCCATTGGGCCCGTGTTCCCTTTTGTTTTTTAGTTTCCGCTGAGACTGCCCAATACCAAAAAGTTAACCTCTTCATTTCCTCTTGTTAAAGCTACCCAATACTAAAAAGTGAACCCTGAACCCTAAACCCTAAACCCTAAACCCTAAACCCTTTAAGCCCTAAACCCAAAAGGTGAACCTTTTTCACTTCCTAGGATGCTGCGGAGCCTATGGATGTACAGGGCTTCGAGCTCTTTTTTCAAAGGGTACCCTTCAAGCCGCCCTTCAAGGAAACTCCTGAAGGGACCTATCTCAAGAACCTTTAGAAAACCGATAAAGCCCCGAATCTCAGTGTTTAGGGTTTAGGCATTTAGGGTGCCGATAGTGGTGTTGTGATTATTTCTATAGTCTCCTTAAGAATTCTTTTTTCATGTTTTAGTATTTTTGTTCATATAAAACCCCGGAGAACATTAAGCATAGGTTTTACTATGGTTCTAAGGGGGGTATAGATTTAGGAGGGTTTGAGGCTCGGGTTGTTAGCCGAGAGCGGGTTCCCCGGCGAAGGTCTGTGGTTCTAGACGCAGGTTAGGGTGGAGCTTCGTTTTGGGTTTAGGGTTTGGGGTTTAGAGCTTCCGAGTGCTTCAGAAAGCATCCCGAGCACGCTTAATGTAGGAACCTGGTTAAGAAGCCTTGGGTCCTTATGAGGGTGCCCTCATATGAATCCTAATGAATTGGGGGTTATAGGGCCAGGGTTTCTTAATCAGGTTCCTACATCATCAGGGTTAGTTCTCGTTTTGGTCTTGAGGGTTAAACTAGGATGCCCAGTAGTACCCTTATTCCCTTTTTGTAGTCTAGGTTCCTCATAAATAAAGTTACCCAATACCAAAACGAGAGGCCTTTTTATTCTTAGGTTACTGGGTATCCTAGTAAAGTTGGCCTAGGTGTGACGTTGTAGGCTTTCGGGCATTCGTGAACGCTGCGTCGCATGTGCCGGCAGGATGCCGATGCTTTGATCTCGGGCTTCCGGCAGATGTTGCGGCACGACCGCACAAACTCGGTTGCGACTTTAGGAGATAAAGTAAGACTCAAATTCATCCTAAACTTTATAAGTTAAGCCCTAAGTATCCAGGCGTCTATATTACCGGCAGCTCATACTTGTTTGTATTGATCTGAGGCCTCCGGCATTTCCAGCCAGAGCTCAAGAGTCATTGCAGCATCACTGGTAACACTCCGCAATAGTCGTAGGAATCGTAGAAATCGTTACGCTGGTAGTAACAGTAAGTGTGTGTACAGAATGTAGGGCCTTGGAGAGAGCGTGGCAAACACCACATATTGCGTTTCTCTGAGAATGCCCTCACCCACAGCATAGATGTAGTAGGGGTACTGAAGACAAAAGGCGCTTAAAAAGAGCTGAACCATAAACTCTGAACCCTAAACTGTACGCGAAGCCCTGAACCCATGGTTTGACAGGCCCCAAAGATTGAAGCCAAAACCGTGAGCAGTCAACTACACCGCTCGGTGCTGAAGTCTAAGTCTTGAACATCTCAGCCCGAGGCGAGGCATTTGTGATGGAGACTTACTGCTGGATGGAAGCTTCAAAATCTCCGGCAGTGCAGGTGCTTTGCACTGGTTTGGGGTGTGGGGCTGTCTTGGCACGTATGCTCGATGTGCACCTCACAAAACCCCAAACCCTAAAACCCGTTGAAGCAGGTCCTCCTAGACGATGGTCTGGTATGTGAGTTTGTCTTATAGAAGCCTGCAGAGTCACCAATACTGTTGCCGAGGGTGCTTTCTCCTGTTTGGATTAAGCAGACTCGAGAAACGTCTTCTAACTCTTGAGGCCCAAGTATGTAGTAGAGGAAAGATTGGTGGCAGGCCATGGTTGGGGCGTTGTTTGATCCTCGAGTGGGTTCTATGAGGGGTTCCTGCAACGGTCCTTTCAAGTGTTCAATTATTGGAGAAGACAGCGTAGAGACTACTTCAGCGCGCACATCGATGATAAATGGTTTGGATGTTGTTGACCCGCGGAAGTGAAGGTTTTGAGGTACCCTAAACACCCCAAGACCCTCAACCCGAAACCCTAAATCCTAAACATATGATCCCTAAACCCTAATCCCCTGAACCCTAAACCCTAAATCCTAAACATATGATCCCTAAACCCTAATCCCCTAAACCCTAAACCCTAAACATATGATCCCTAAAACCCTAAACCTCAAGCACCCCGTCCGAGAACGTCTTGGGGTTAGGGTTTGTAGGTTTCAGAGCTTGTTGAGACTAGCTAGGTAGGGCTTTGGGACATTTTATATTTTCGCTTATTGGGCTTAAGAGGATCTTATTTGCTAATATTTTTCAAAGGCTCTAAAAGCCCCAGATAGCTAGAGGATCAGCAAGCCGGGGTTCGAAATCCAAGGTTTCGGTGCTTTGGGCTTGAATAACAAAGCCACGAGTCTTAAACCCAAGCAAAGAGAAACCCTACTGAACCAAGACTTCAACCCTTCAACCCGACGACTGAAGCACTTCATCTCAAATTTTTAGGGTTTAGGGTTTAGGGTTTAGGATTTCAAGCCTTGAGCCCCTATCCCGCAACATCCCGCAACCCTGACGCCGGAATCTCTCTCTATCGCGAGCAAGGATGCCTGAAGCGCATTCTCGAAACACCTACGGATTTTGTCGGAATGCAGCAGCTCGGAGATTCCAGCAGTTAGGATTTGAGGGTTGAGGAGCTTTGTTTTGGGGTTGAGGGCTTCAGTTTTCAGCATCTGCATCGGTTTAATGTAGGAGCCTGATTAAGAAACCTTGGCCCTATAATGGCCCTATCTTGCAGGCGGATTCAATATGTCTTTGCCTAGTGGAGGAAGGCTTACCAATCCAGATCCTGGAGCTGCTGGGAGGGTATTTGCAAATCACTTAAAAAAGCTCCTAAACCCTCACCTCAACGTTGTAGGTAATGAAGACGCGGGACTTCTGGAACAGGTAGTAAGGGTTAGACGACAGGCTCTATACGGGCTCTATAAGTGGGTAAGGTTTTGGGTTTGGAATTCTTGAGGAGGGATTTTCGGGTATAGGGGTTATTGGGGGTTTGAGTGTTGGTAGTCTCTTGGCTGGCCAACAAACTCGCATGGTTCAAGACGGGTCCAGGGCTTCACGGGTGGGCTTAGTGCTTCAGGTTACGAGTGGGAATTGTGTTCAGATCTTAGTGGTCGAGCAGGTAACCTGATTTTGGTAAGTTTCATTCCACCATACATGAACTAGTCTTTTGGGCCAGGGATGGACCTAGAGAATCCCATTAAAGCCCGCAGTTAAGGAATGTGCCATAAAGTCTACACAGGTTCTTGAGATATGATATGATTCAAGGCTGTTCGAGGTCCATGTCTTTTTCAGAGGCCCTGGGCTTTTGTCATTCCCCAACTTCCGCTCCAGCCACAGTGCTGAGATATGCTTGAAAGCCAGTCTCTCCCTTAAGTCTGTCCTTGCGTTCCCCGAAATGCGCACAGTTGGGCTCCGACACACTCCATGTTGCGCGCATGGCCAGAGCTGCAAGGTTTCAGGACTTGATCGATGATTTCCAGGACCCGGCTATGGCGAAATTACAGCAGAAAGTTTGCTAGAAGAACAAGATCTATGGTGGCAAGCTCTTGTACTGTTATTCCCAGTACGTAGTCATCCCGTTAATGACCACAGCCAGAAGCATACTGCTTTTCAGCAGTAAACCCTAAACCCTGGGGCAGAAGCTATACTCTGTGAATGCCTCGACCTAGCTACTTCGAACTTAAACCCTGCACGCAGCAGCCGAAGCCCGAAACACCAAGTACTTATACTCGAAACTTGTACCCCAAACCCCATCTGCCGATAGCTTCCCATGAACTGTCAAGCGCTACTCACGTTGGCGCTTGTTCATGTAAGGTATCTGAGCTCAGAGGGTTTAAGTTCTTGCATTTACCCTAAGGTTTTTAGGGTGTAGGGGCTTCGAGTTTGGGGGTTTGGGGTTCAGGCTTTACAGGTGTAAGGAATTGAATTTGTTTAGTCTCCCAAAACTTGACTTGAACCCTCAACAAGAGCAGGGAACCTTGATCAGGCCTCCTTTACGGTTTCCCCTAAACCTTAAACCGTAAAGCCAGAATCTTGAAGCCTCGACAGGAGGAGTCTCGCAGCTAAGGGCTCAGGGTATTCATTTCGTTTAGGCTTCCCTAAACCATAAAGCCGAAATCTTGAAGCCTCGACAGGAGGAGGTAGTCTTCCAAAACTTGATTTGAACCCTAAACCCTAAGCCCTAAATTCCCCACCCTAATCCCCTCGAGACCTCAAGAGGAGGAATCACGCAGCATGTTTGATGAGTTCCTGGCGCGCAGCACGCCCAAGACCGCGTCTGAAGAATCCGAGCAGCTGCCAGAAAGCATGCAGGGGCTTTGGGTTAAGGTTTAAGGTAAAAGCTAGAAAGTTGGAATATGATTATCCTGACCCTTCTATGATACATAAGGTATCCTACCATGAAACCATATTCCAACTTTCTGGAGTTCCCTTTAGGGGTCTGGGGGTTTAGGGTTTAGGGGTCAGGGCTTAGGGCTTGGGCTTAGGGGTTTAGAAGCCAAAAGTCTTTACAAACCCTTAACCCCAGTCTTTAAACAGCCCTCTTATTGCTATGCTGTATTTCTAAGAATGGAACCCTAAGCCCCACATCCCTGAACCCAAAGCCCGGCACCGTTACAAGAGGGACCGTTGAGGATGCACGGTTTAGGGTTTAGGGTTTAAAGTTTAGGGTTTAGGGTTTAAAGTTTAGGATTTAGGGTTTAGAGTTCCTAAGCAAGAAGAGACCCTGAACCCTGTTCGGGTTTACAGTGGGGTTTAGGGTAAGCCCACAGGAGTGTTGGAACAGTGCTGGCTTCGTTTTCCGTTCCGGACCATGCGCAAACCGCATCGATGTTCTCATGGTTGCGATTTGGTTTGGACTTGGGATTTATGATCTATGGCTAGGGCTTCAACATTCAGACGGCTTTTGCAGCTAAGGCAGCAGAGTGCGCCGCAATGTCTCCGGGTGCCGCTGACGCCCGACTCCGATGTCCCTCTGTAACTCTAGAACCTTTTGAAGAAACCGAGTTTAATAGGGCCAACAGAAGGAGCTACGGTTTAGGGCTTAGGGTTTGAGGTTTACAGGGTTGAGGGTTTAGGGTTTAGTTGCGTTCCAGTAAAACTACTTGCGGTCGCATTAGTTAGCACGTGATGTGCTAGTGGATCCACCTACCGATTACCCATGTATTGTCTGTTCTCTGCCAAGGCCTACACACTATTGCCTAAGCTCCAAACCCCGGAACCGTAAGCGCTAAACCCTAAGCCCCGAAAGCAAAGGAAGTACACGCCCTAGCTCGAGCTGTCGGGGTAGCTTTTTGTCTAGAAGCTACTTTGGAGGGTGAGGTTAGACCTGTTGATTCTCTTAAGTCTTCGGCGTAGTGAAATAGCAAACGGGTAAGAGGATTTGCGTCGGAATTACTCCCGCGTAATTAAAGGGTACAACAACTAGAGCACTGCAACAAGGTACAAGGTTGACAGAACCCTGGTATACATTGGGTACGGCCCCCACTCAGTAACAGTTGGATAATATTCATCATATAGATATATAAGTCCCTTAATAGTAGCCCTATTATAGACTGTTACTGTATGGGGGCCGTACCCAAGGTATACAAGCGTTCGACAGCAAAGCCCATGAGGAAGTCGCCATCTGGGCGGACGGTCTCTGTGGACGTGTTCCATGTCGCACGGCTTCTGAGGACAAGTTTGGGCAACCAAAAGCCCGAGCAATAACTGGAGTGGCATAGCCCTAAACCCTAAGCCGTGGGGATGGAGCCTGTGTTTCCCAACCACGAATTACGGTTCAACAGTCTGGCTCTACGGAATCCAGCTGCGAAAGATATGGTTTTTCGGGGGTCGTTGGTTGAGGGGTGAAAACTCACGTGTTGTGTTGTTGGTTCTGGTTAGTACGGTTATTCTTACCGTGTTTTGAAGCACCTATTTACTACAGTGAAAACCCTGTATAAGAACCCCGTTCGGCGAGAGTAGGGTACCCTAAGGTTCTTAATTTCCATTACATGTGATTTTGCCATTCGAGCAGCTAGGGTAGGCTCAGGTTCTTAACCACGTTCTTATCCGGACCGAGGTCTCGGGAAATTTACTTTTGGATTCTAAATTTCCTTGTGGGGGTGGATGGGCCATGGGGGGTCTGGAAAATTTAGTTTTCAATTCTAAATTTCCACAGCTCCTCGAAAGGACTCGGGGCAGAGGGCATGGCCAGAGACCCCCCAGAAAATTTACTTTTGGATTCTAAATTTCCGTGGGGGTGGATGGGCCATGGGGGTCTGGAAAATTTAGTTTTCAATTCTAAATTTCCGCAGTTTGGTGGCAAGGGGCTCTGTTTCAGTGGAATACGAGCTGCGGGCAAGCTGCCCGCAGCTGCATGACACCCCTGGGGATTGAAACAAAAACTTCAAGCAGTAGGGCCTATGCACAACCACTGCGCTGCGGGGGAGCTGTGCTAGACTGGGTTTCACGTCACCAACTGGGCAAGGAGTTCTTGTGGTTTGGAGGAAGGCCGGAAATTTACTTTCGGATTCTAAATTTCCTGATGCTGTCGGTGTGAGGCCCAAGGAGGCTGTGGAAAATTTAGATTTCAATTCTAACTTTCCACGGTTTGGTGGCAAGCTCTGTTTCGGTGGAATGCGAGCTGCGGGCTAGGGGTTGCTGTGCTGGTCAGTGTCTTCCGTTGTGTGGGGAGGAAGGGCTGGAAATTTACTTTTGGATTCTAAATGCGCTGCGGCATGAATGCTGTCATTTCCAGCCATCATACAATCACCATGTTCGGGCAGAGGGTTTCTTGATGTGGATGGTTGGGAAATTTAGTTTTCGATTCTAAAATTCCTTGGTGAGGGAAAGCACCCAAAAAATTAAGAACCTCACCTGAAAACTAGGGTACCCTAAGGTTCTTAATATTGAGGCAACTTGAATCTGGTGAGTTCCGCCTTGGGTAGTCTTGCTCTCTCTCTCTCTCTCTCCCTGTCTCTCTCTCTCTCTCTCTCCCCACCTCTCTTTCTCGCCCTCTCTCTCCATTCCTCGCTCTTTTCCTTTCTCTCTCTCTCTCTCTCTCTCTCTCTCGTTTTTTTTTTGCCTTTGCGATTGCAGCTTCGTTCGTTCATGTGTACGCGGTTTTGATCTATCAAGGCACACCCACCCGCGGGCGAAGTCGATGCTCGGTTTATTTAGAGCTGATTCCTTTGTTGCTTAGTCGTTGGGTTGCCCGCCTCATTTGTCTTGTTTGGCAGGTGGACAACGGCATCTTTGAGGATTGGGTGCTGGCCCTCTATGCGCCTTGCCGTCCTCATCTTCCTCACTCTCCAATCTCTTTCTCTCTCTCTCTCTCTCTTTCTCTTTCTGTCTCGGTTTCGCGCCCTCTCTCTTGCTCCGTACGGGCTGTGTGTCAGGCCGACGATTCCGACGATGCCGCGCCGGCGCCCGTCGCGCGGCTGCTTTTTTTTGTTGGATTTTGTTTGTTGTTGCTTCGTCGCTGGTTGTCCGCCTTCTTTGTCTTGCTTGGCGGGTGGGGGGCTATGTCGTGGAGCCTTGGGAAGAAGCGTTCTTCGCGCCCTGCTGTCCCCACCTTCCTCACTTTCTTCTTCTCCTTCTCTCTCTCTTTCTCTGTCTCTCTTGCTGCTCGATCTCCGCGTCGCACTTTCTTGCTCCGTACGGGCTGTGTCTCCGGCCGAGGACTCCGACTCGGATGCGACGGCGGAGTCCGCATGGCCAGAAAATAACGTGGGCGACTCAGTGTCATTTTTTGTTGTTTGTGCTTCTTAGGGGAATAGCTTGTAAGTCTCCGCAGGCCACTCGTCATGACGAGCTCCTGGCGGCAGCTTGGACCAGTTGTTATCATGGTTGGGCTTGGTGGCATGAAGTGATGTGTCTAAGGGACAACTGGCGGTGTGGCCGCAGGAGTTGCCAGTGCCAGCGGTGCGGATCTCGGGTTGTTGCGGTGTTGTTCTAGGGTTTGGGATTTGTTGTTTTTGTTCTTGTTTTTTTTTGGGGCGGTGGGGGAGGGGGGGGGGCGGGGTGTGGTTTAGGGGTTTTCCTTGCTTTCATATTTAGGGTTTGTTAGGGTTTACGGTTTGTCGGGTTTTGGGGTTTGTTGGAGGTTAGGGTTTGTTAGGGTCTCGGGTTTGTTGGAGTTTAGGGCTTGTTTGGTGGTATGGTCCGCCTTTGTAGTTTCGTTGTATTGTTCATTGCTGGTGCAAGGAACTGGCCAGCTCCTCCTCTGGCCCCGCTGCCGCTTGGTTGGTTTGCATTTCGGTTTCGCTGTTCGTGTGTGCGTGTGTGCGTGTGTGCGTGCGTTGGTGTGTGTGTGTGGGTGTGTGTGTGTGTGTGCCTGTGTGTGCTCGGGTGCCTTTGCGTGCCAGCGTGTGTGGTGCCCGGCTTCGGTCTTCTGATCCTTCGAGGTGATGATCTCGCCGGAGGACGCGGACGCTCAGGCTCTGTGGGAGGAATTCCTCGCGGCGGAGGAGGAGCGCGAGGGTGGGGATGCAGGGAGCTACACACTTAGGGAGCGAGAGACAGAGAGAGAGAGAGAGAGAGAGAGAGAGAGAGAGAGAGAGAGAGAAGGAGAGAAAATTTTCCGCGTGGAGTGATGTATGTGTCTAAGGCAGAGCAGGATTTCCGGGCAGCCGAGCCGTTGGTGCCGCTGGTGTGGATCTTAGTTTGTTAGGGTTGGGGCATTTTTTTTAGGTTTTGGGATTTGTTTTGCTTTTCTTCTTTGGGGGGCGGGGTGTGGTTTAGTGTTTGTTTGGGCTTTGGGGTGTGCTGGGGTTTAGAGTTTGTCGGGGTTTGGAGTTTGTTGGAGGTTAGGGTCTGTTAGGGTCTCGGGTTTGTTGGGGTTTAGGGTTTGTTTGGTGGTGTGGTCCGCCCTTGTAGTTTCGTTGTATTGTTCGTTGCTGGTGCAAGGAACTGGCCAGCTCCTCCTCTGGCCCCGCTGCCGCTTGTTTGGTTTGCATTGCGGTTTCGGCGTTCGTGTGTGTCTGGGTGTGGGTGTGGGCGTGGGTGTGGGTGTCTGTGTGTGTGTGTGTGTGTGTGTGCAGTGGTGTGGCACGCATGTTTGAAATGGACTATCCTTGTTGCTCTTGTGTTAGCTACTAGCTGCGCCGTCGGTGTAGGGAGCGCGCCAGTGGATCCGCTGACGTTCCAGATTCTTGGATAGGTGGCTGTACTTGCGCTTTTATGTGCTTTGGCTGGTCTTCAAACTTAGGTGATTGTTGCGGCACCGGACAGCGCCGAGTCGGGGAATGACAGCCCGACTAAGAAGTCGAGACCGGGGTTCGTCCGTGTTCGACTTTTCGCTCGTGTCCTGCGCTAATTTGCTCGCCTCGCGACAGGAAGGCGCCGTACAATACCAGCCGGCTTCCGTGCGGCGAATGTGGTCAGTGCCTGTATAAAAAGTCGCAAGGCCGGGTTTTCCGGCTTCGGGGTGTAAGGGTTCTTGTGGAGGGCTGCGGGGTTCATGTTCGGGGTTAACGTGCTTTGTGGGTCAAGGGATTTCGGGATGCGGGGGTTTAGCTGTATGCAACTTGGGGCTCGACGGTTCTGCGTTTGCGGGTCTTGGTTTCTCTTCCCCGGCCGCCGGCAGGCTACCCCATCCGGAGCGATCGCTGTGACCAGCCGATTCCACGCACCCGGATTGTTAATACAATCAGACGGGCTTCGCCAAAGGCGAGCCCGGTGGCAAAGGCCAAGGCGAAAGCTAAGGCCAAGTTTTTCCAGAGACCGCCGCGTAAGTAGGTGTGTAATGTTACAGGTTCATTTATCCATTTATGTATGTAACTTTGTATGTATCCTTGTCCATCTATTAGAGCGGTAATTAATTGTTTCACATCGCGGGGTCTCGGCCGTTTGCCAACTGCCATTTTCTTTCTTAAAAAAAACTCTTTGGTTGCTCAGTCCGACTTGTATATATGTGCGTGTGCGCATGTGATGTTTTTAGTAGCTGTGATAATACTAGTGCTAATACTCGTAATAGGAGTAACAATAATAGTGGCAGTATATAATATAGTGCATGGTGACGGCAATACGAATCGACATGACATCTCTACTTGCGTTGCCGGTAGTCGGACTGAGCGACCGGGGGGGCCGGGCACGTCTTTTGCGGGACTGTTAATTTCCTTCTTTGGCATAGACCTTTGTTGATTCTTATTTGTGGGTTGGTCTAGGAATGATGGCTGGCTGTCATTAAGGAAATTACAGTCTCGCAAACGTGGCAACTTGCGGGTCGGTGTGTCGGAGCGAAGCTTTGCTTCCAGATGCCGAGACACACCGACCCGCATGGGTTCCCGCGATGGACAGCTTCGTCATTTTTGGTTCTGCAATTTGGCTTTGTTGGAATAGAACTGGTGTCGTTTCTTGGAGATAGGTCTTTCTTCGTTTCGTGGTTGGTTAGCTGTCCATCGCATTTTGTTTCACGGGCCGTGGACTCTTTCTCCTAGGCTTGGTTGTTGGATCGTGCTGCTAGGTTCGGTTCCTGAGTAATCAGATACAGGCATACACCGCTGAGTGACTTGCTCCGTCTGTGCAATGGTTTTGGCGTTGGTGGCTGTGGTTATCGTATTTAGTTTGTTCTTCTTGTGCCTTGGGGAAGGAGTCCTTCGGGATGCGCTCCGTCAATGCGTGGCCTTTTTTCACCTGCCGCACTGGAATTCGTTTGTTGCACTTGAACTTGTGTGTTGCCCTCTTTGTATTTCTCACTTCCATTCTCTCTCTCTTATCTTTTTTTTCTCTGTCTTTCTCTCTTTCTTTCTCTCTCTCCCTCCCTCTCTCCCCCTTTCTCTGTCTTTGCCTCGCTTTTTCTCGCATTTGCCGAGCGCCCAACATCAGCATCGGTGGCTCGGGGGCTGAGCCCGGCATTTGCGTTGTTTCACACTTCGTTGTGCATCTTTCGGTTAAAAGGAATGTACTTTCGTCGCGTGCGGCACTGCATGGGTCTGGGGTTCTTATACAGTATTTTCACTGTATGTGACTATGTTGTTATGAGTGTTATCGTTGTCATTGTTACAGTTGGCCTGTAGGCTGCCATTTAGCAAAGTGACAGGCCCCGTGACTCCCCTAAACGACAGTCTCAACGTTCCACAGGTCTAGAGCACGGGAGTCTGGCTAGGGCTTGGTGACTACCTAGGCCCCCCAACTACCCTTTATTGTAGTCCCAAATTACCTCTGAATGAGAATGGTTAGAGCCCTTTAAAGGGTACTTGGGGGCTGGTGGGGTTTAGGGGCTTACGGGTTTAGGGGTCTAGGGGTATACGGTTAGGGGCTTATGATGGAATAGTTACTACCGGGACCCTAAAACCCTTCCTTTCTAGGGCCCGTTATTGTGATTTCCTTCTAATAAGTCATTTATAGAAGGTAGGTTTTTTTGGGGCCAGGCAAAGATTTGCTTGATGATTCTTTCATGGTTCAGGGTCGAGGGTTCAGGGTTTTCGTTTGAGGGTTTAGGGTTGAGGGTTTAGGATTGAGGGCTTAGACGTAGGGTTTTGCGGTTGATTTCGAGTTTCAGTACAGGTCCCATGAGGGAAGCAGGCCCTGCTTTATCCCTAACCCAAAGGGTCCTAGGTACTGTTATGGGGAATACCTCCCCAAATCATAATAGTAGTTCCGAATATAGAAACCCTACATTCTACTATACCAGTACTTTGGACCCTTTGGGTAGCAGATCACTGAGCTGGTTCAGGGTCTTCATCATGCAAGGTTTGGGACTCACGACTCTCATGCAGGGGCTTGAATAGTTATCCATATTGTTCCTTAGAGTTTCTTACTGTAGCATTACTATGATGTACCCCAAAACCCTATTCTAATTACCAAGGCTACTACGTTAGACTCACAGCATTGAGCCCCTTTAAACTAAACCCATGTAAACCCAAACCCACACCCATCAACTTCGAGGTATGCCTGCCCAGACTTTACGGCACTGATTCGCTGCACCACCTGCTACCTGGCCCCAGGGGTGGGGGAGATCTCCGGACTTCTAGGAGCTAGAGAAGGCCCTTATTCCCTTTTTAAGGGTTCAGGTTCCCTTAAAACCCCCTTTAAACCAAAAAGGGCACCCTATTTATTCCTAGGTTACTCTTTGCTCTAGACTTCGATTCGGGTGACATCGAGCTTAGGGTTTCAGGGGGTTTCATGTGCTTTGCAGTGGGCTTATGGGGGTTTCGCAGGTTTGGCGTTCGGGGTTTTAGGGGATCAGGGTTTATAGGTTTAGGATTTGAAAGCCCTAACCCTAAACCCCAAACCCTAAACCCAAAACCTAGGAGTTTAGGATTTGGGAGTTAGGGGTATTTAGGGTGTAGGGTGTGTAGGGCTTCGGGATTTCATGTCGGGGATGGTCCAAGATCTCGGCATATTTGGAACCCGGAGCATCCAACTCTGTCAATTTTTCGCAGAATCTTTGAGCACTGCTGGGAGGTTCATGGGTAGTTATAAGTGGGGTAGCCGTACTAATAAACCATATTAGGGACTTATAACCGCACTTATAACATATATCTACCCCTGAACCTCCGAGTCCACCCTCAAAAGCCTAACTTCAATTTCAACCCCTCGTCTCAGGTTAGCACTCACCGAAGACGCAGAGGCTCGCGTTCAGCCGGATGCCACGCAGGCGTGCGCATTGGAGTTTCGAGGGTGCTTGCAGATAGGGATGCAGGTATACACCTTACTTGGGGTTCAAAGGTGGCTAGTGTTGTGGCTTATGCTTCTGACCAGCCGTACTTACTGTCTACATCACGTGGTGCACATCCTGTAAATGTGGGTGGTGCATAGGTGAGGGATCTTTGCGATGTTGGATGTTGGTGGGTACCTTGGGTTCCGAATTTCTTAGCTGCGTCTGTGTGGATCGTCTGGAAGATCAGAATAACAAGAACAATAAGACTACGAATACCAATGTGGAGCCTCCAAGCCTGTTGCCGGGCTTGGGACCTCAACCTTAGCCGCCCACTTTCAGCTGCTCCACCGTCAATCCTCAACCCTGTACCTAATCCTACAGCCTTAACCGAACTCTGGAGGACGCTATACCCAAAAGCCTCCTGGATTCGCGATCGATTGGCCCGGATGCCTGGGCACCGGAAATCTTTATGCTTTTTCGGGCATGTATCAGAGAGTGTAGACGACGAGTCTTTACAGAGTTCGGGAACGAGCTTCAGGCATTTCCCTCCTTGCCTTTGTTGGTAAATGTTGCAGGTTCCGCTTTCTGTGTGTATAGTGGGGAGTATTCTTAAAACTCTCCGGTTGAACATTGCCCCACAGGGTCCGTTCATATCAGTATAATGCGGAGCCCCCAAACCCTTGTCTGACTAGGCAGGCCGTACTCCGGGGCCTAAAACCTCTAAAGAGTCGTTTCGAAGACTTGGTATAGAGACTTTATTTCAGCGTAAAAGGCACCCTTACACAGTGTCGGGCTTAGCGCCTAAGATTTTTCGAACTAAGCGGTTTTGCGCTCAAATACCCTATATGGGTCCATGTGCCCGTATCGTATATACTTTGGCCCTAAAAGTGACTATCTGGGGAGTACTTTGATGCCAAAGTATATACTACATGGGCACCTGAACCCTTAAGGATACCTTAACCTACCAAACCCTACTTTTGTAGGTTCTTGTTATGAAACCCTAATATGGAATACATAGGGACCCTACAAAAAAGTAGGTTCTTGTAGGTTTACAGTAAACTCACAGTCACGGCAGGGCCTAAACCCTAAACCTTGGGTACGGCCCCCACTCAGTAACAGCTGGATAATATTCATAATATAGATATATAAGGCCCTTAATAGTATAGCCATATTATAGGATAATAATCATAATATAGATATATAAGGCCCTTAATAGTATAGCCCTATATTATATAGACTGTTACTGTATATGGGGGCGGTACCCAACCTCAACCTCGAATCTCGACTCTACCCGGACCTTCACTTCAGCTTCGCGCGACTTCCGGGTTTCGGGGTTTCCGGGCTTTCGATTTTTTGTGGCCTTTTTTGGGATTAGGGTTTAGGGTTTAGGGTTTAGGGTTTAGGGTTTTGGGATTTAGGGTACAGGGTTCAGAGGCTTCCAGTTCTTCTGTTGATGAAACAGTCTGCTGTCCGGAGTTCATAACGAAGAAAAAGCGGTGTGAGCCCCCACGAGAGTTTTAAGATTAGCGTTTAAGTAGAGATATCAAGAAACCGAGGCCCCTATAGAACCCGTTAAAGAGCCCTTTAAGCGAACCCTATGAAACCCTCACAAAACCTGCTGTTCTGATGCCTAAGGCTCCTGTATGAAAGCTTCCAAACCCTTAAAGACACCCTGATGTAGAATTTTTAACGAACCCTCTAAAAGAGTCCTAAGAAAATTGGATAGAACCCCCGTAGAGGAACTTCAGGCCCCCGCCGCCCACCCCCTTCATATTGAAGCTTTAGGGTTTA